CACCCATCACCACGTACCTTCACACACACCCATCACCACGTACCATCACACACACCATCACCACGTACCTTCACACACACCCATCAACACGTACCATCACACACACCCATCACCACGTACCATCACACACACCCATAACCACGTACCATCACACACACCATCACCACGTACCTTCACACACACCCATCACCACGTACCATCACACACACCCATCACCACGTACCATCACACACACCCATCACCACGTACCTTCACACACACCCATCACCACGTACCTTCACACACACCCATCACCACGTACCTTCACACACACCCATCACCACGTACCTTCACACACACCCATCACCACGTACCTTCACACACACCATCACCACGTACCATCACACACACCCATCACCACGTACCATCACACACACCATCACCACGTACCATCACACACACCATCACCACGTACCATCACACACACCATCACCACGTACCATCACACACCCCCATCACCACGTACCTTCACACACACCCATCACCACGTACCATCACACACACCCATCACCACGTAACTTCACGCACACCATCACCAACCACCCCATCCTCACCATCACACACGCACACCACGCCATCCACTGCATACATATCACTTAGACGTACATCACACACCACGTATCAACCGCGTACACCCCACGTCACATCACACGGCACGCTTGAGATTGACCGGGGGGAGGGACGCATGGAACACCCCCCACTACCCCCCACTACCCCCCACTACCTGAAAAAACACCCCGCAACTCCCCAGTCCTGTGCACCGCGGTGGAATCAATCACAAGGCAAGGCAGGTGGTGTCACTGAAGGCTGCGTGATTGATAGCTATTTACTTGCGAGTGAAGCGGCGAGCGCACAGTGGGTTAGCGCCTTTTTTTATTATTTTGTTACGAATTGCGGCCACCTGAGTTCGATTCCCGGCCACGGCGATAGCGGTCAGTTGTGAGCGAGATCTGGATCCGTTCAGGGAGCCCGCTTCACCAATCCGCGCTGAACATCGTGGTGGGGCATGGTCAAACAGCCCCTCACCTCCCATGCCCGACACGGCGTTTAAAAGGCCTTCATCCAGCAGTGGATTGACCAAGGACTGTACACATTTGCTGCTTAATTAACCGAGAGGTAAAGGGCCGACGTTTCGGACACGCGGCCTTCTTCGGGAGTGGTACGGATACTGTAATAATTGTCATAATAATCCTCACGACCTCACGCGGCTCATCCCGTTGCCATGACTGCCACGCGTCTCCCTCGTGGCCATGGAGCCGCAACAGGCAGGTGGAGCCGCACCTGAGCGCCGTGCAGGTGGTGGAATCAGATCCCTCCCAAGGGGGGAGGGATGCGGAGGGGCTAGGGGAGGGGGCTGCAGGGGCTGAACAATAGCCACGATAATCAATAGCCACGATAATCAATAGCCACGATAATCAATAGCCACGATACTCAATAGCCACGAAAATCAATAGCCACTGTAATCATATCGTCCGTTTGTAAAACATCGTCCCAATGAAGTAGCACCCTCCTTATACAAAATACACACCACACAGGGATCATCGTTTCCTGTTTAATGTTACTTTAAATATTTTATTTCTTGACACAATGTTAATGAATTCTCAATCATTAAAGTTTGTAATAATATATTAGTAACATTCTTAAACCATAGCATTGCCTATGAATAATAACAACTTAACATATTCGTCAATAACAACGGTACGTGTGAGATTAAAAGAAAAAAATGTGATATACGACGTATCGGGCAATGGCCCTTCGGCAAAGCACATACATAGAGAAACCAGCTTGAGACTGCACGTGTTTACTTACACAAGGGGGCCTGATCATAAGAACAACATTTTAAAATATTATTGGTTATTTCGGTAAAGTCACGTAGAAGGGAAACAATAAAATAATAAAAATATAAAACAATAAAATTCTCAGGACGTTTCGACTGCAACACAAACACCTGATGATGATTGCTTGTGATGATGATTGCTTGTGTTGCAGTCGAAACGTCGTGAGAATTTTATTGTTTTATATTTTTATTATTTTATTGTTTCCCTTCTACGTGACTTTATCGAAAGAACCAAGAATATGAATCCCTGCAGTCACGAAAGCTTTAAATCAAAACATTTTACAAATATGTTTTTCTGATGAGCAGTTTTTAAATTGGCATATGAATAGTTACCTAATAGTAGCTATTGGGAAACAGAAATCCCCTTCAATTATCAACAAAACAAATTGGCAGATGATGTCTCCCCTACATACATCTCCATCTGTCCACATAAAATACAGATATAGCTTACACAACCCATCAACTTGCACGGCATTCTGGGAGTGCAACTTTCAGCAAGATTGATTCAGGAGAAGCAATACTTTGTACAGCGACTCCTCTACTTACGAACATTCGACTTACGAACTTTCAGAGGTACGAACAAACCTGTTCGTGTGTCATGTAGATGCCACATGAAGAACCAGTGGCATCTACATCTGAAAAAAACATGAAGAACCAGTGACATCTATATCTGCAGAATATGAAGAACCAGTGGTATCTACATCTACAGGAGATTATACAACTTCTGAAGCCAATCCCCGTGTTTAGTGTACATGCCGTGCAACATGTTTGGAATCGATAGGACGAACAAATCGACTTACGACCAGACCTCTGGAACCTAACTCGTTCGTAAGTAGAGGAGTCCGTGTACGTATGTTGAACTTCTTTCGCACTGTACGCACCTAACCGTGCAGTGTTTCAGCGACAGCGTTTGTCTTGACTTGGCTGGTCTTCAGTCGATGCGTCTGAAAGTAAACACTCATGAGCTGTGTGCAAGATGCTCGTATTTTGTGGAACGACGGATGATATGTGAAGCAGATATTGTCTGATAAAATCAATTGTTATTTATATTCTCCACAAGGACGCGTATAATTACTTCCGTAATCAAGAACGCACGGCTAGACAAAAGTATTTACCTATTGAATGGCCTGTTAAATCGGCGCTTGTATGACGTGGATCCGGAGTAATGGACGGCAAGGTGTTTGTGACGTCACGTCACAGCACGTGCGTTATAATAAAAGCCGTGGAGTCCGTACACTTGTGATGATTTAGGCGACTTAAGGTCCATCTATGTTGAGTGAATGCGCAGTTGAAGAGCTGTTACGGAATCTAATCGTTTTTAAAACAAATCAATCGCAGTAGAGAAACGAGGCGACGAACGCGTGCAATACGAACGATTGCTGAGTTATGGGAATATGATATCGCGATAATCGTCAATTCGTGAACATTTTATATCGTATCGTGAACATTTTACATCATATCGTGACAAATGACATCGGGGCAACCAGACTGCGTTTAGAAAATAACAAAAACATAACTCAACACATTCGTCAATAACACTGTTGCGTTTCAGGATATGGCCCTTATTCAGAGCCAATAAAAAATGTCCATTACCCGAAAAGTCGCCTATTATATATTTCCCCTTTTAAGGCCACACAGTATGAATTGACGAGTGTGTTGTATTTGTTTTGTTCATTGTGCGTGTGTGCGCGCCAGTGCCAACGCAGCAGCAGCGTCACCAGATATAATTTTTAGAATTCCGTGAGCAGCGGTCTCTTTCCATCCATCTCTCTCTGTCTCTCTGTCTCTCTCTCTCGATGTCTCTCTCTCTGTCTCTCGCTCTCGTAACCCGCCAGGTGGCGCTCGCCTCCCGCTAACGACGCTGAGACGGGCGGCGGCGGGGGGCTTGGAAATTCCACATCTCCGTCCCACGGGGGGTGGGGATTAAATACACACAAGCAAAGTTGACTCCACAAAACTGTTACCATTTTAACCAACCCTGGGTGGATGATGGTGCGAGTGACTTGCACCGTAAGCCACGCGGCTTGGGCAGCCTCGGTGGCAGTGGCGCACGCCTGCGATCCACCACTTTCGGACAAGGGTTGGTGGGTCACGTACAGATGTGTAAGCCTCTATTTGGCCCGCGAGCGAAGATATAGCAGCAGAGTACAATGGGTTCGCTGAACCTGTCTGTGTTGGACCCTTGAGCATCACCCTCCTGGTATCTCTCTGGCGGGGTTTCTCCAGCTTCTGAGTTTCTCATGGGGTGAACCTGGTTTGTACGTGGATGGGTGACCACCAACCCGCCAGGCCTTCTAGCCAGGTGCTGTAGGTGTGTGGCTGCGAGGTGTGGCCAGGAGATGCCAGTGCTGCGTGCCACTCCCCTCGTGCACAGCAGCGCGGTGTGGGCTTTCTCCGGTCTCCTGCCATCCCGCCTCCGATTAGCACGGTCTGCTACGTACGGTGCGAAAGAGGTCCAACATACGTACGTGCAGAGCCAAACGCTACATTTGATGGAATTGGACAAAATATTGCAATGAAGCAGGACCCTCCTGAAAGAGTCTTAAGGCTCGGTGAGGTTGTCCTGTGTGAATAAGTTAACGTCCACCGTATCCTCTGGATCACAAGACGCACCCTCCTCCTCGTATGTTACAGAAAATTATATATGCGTACGTCTTATAACCTCGTCGGTGTGTGACTAGATATTGGCAGTCACAAGCTTGGGGTGCGTTGGAGCCACGATGGACACGGACGACAAACTGTTCGGTGCAGTAGGGAAACTTGTAGAGAGACCTGGATCAGACCCACACACCGCCCGGGAAAATAGGCAGCGCGGAGGAGACGGAGCGATGTACTCGCGTCATCCCGGTCCCAGTCCTCCTCGCTCCACGATGCCATCCTCAGCGAGTTGTTTAATTTGCAGAACAGCTCCCCCCCTCGCGGGGGAGGGGAGGGGGGGGCGCTCCCGGTGGAACACCCAGGAATGAGGCCCGACCTGTCCTCCCTCCTTCCGATCTCACTCCATCCCCCTATCTGGGCACAGCACGCGGGCTGAGGAGGAGGGGGGGCAGGGCGTGGTGGGCTCAGCGTTGCCCAAACAGCCTGGGTGCAGGGTGGGGGTGCGTGGTAAGAGGTTGTTCTACAGGCACACCGCCTCTGCAGTTAGCACACAAACTTCACTGCTGCCTGCTCGGTTGCCACCCTGGGCTGTGCGCGGTACAATGCCGGGCTGAACTTTAATTTTCGTTGCGCGGCGTCTTTGTGCCACCGCATCTCAAGACGCCGAACAGCAACGGTGGCATATGCAGGCCATCCTTTGGGGAAAAGAAGGAACGCTTTATTCAGTTGTTTGTTGTTTCATTTGACATTAAGAAATACATCATACGCAGAGACAAAGAGGGGGCTGGCCTTGAGTCTGAATTTGAGTTGGGACAGGGGAGGTCGATAGCGTTGCGACGGCTGTGGGAAAAGTGGGCAGCAGATTTGTAATGAGCAACTTCCCTCTGAGTAAAGGTTGACTCGGCAGGGCTTCGATGGAAAGCCTTTCGGTTGGTTACTGTAGTGGAGTAGACTGGCATGAGAGCGGAGAAGGTGGGCAGAGGCGAGTCCACGGTGGATCTTCAATCATCTCGGATCAACTTCAAAGATCGCTGAAGATCGAGATTGAATTGATCTCTGGCCAATGACCAACCACCAGCAATACTGGCCACTGTTTAGGGCCCTCCGTAAGCCGCAGCAACCGCGGGCTGCTTGAGATCCTACACGAGCCGCATTGACCAGGAGATGGAAACGCAGCAATGGCTCATTGAGAACAAACCAAAAATAATCCCCGTTTGGATCTGGGAGCGTCGTCACTATGCTGAAGAACGCGCGTGAGTCTTCTTTGGGGGTGGGGGGGCTTTGGGCTTCTTCCCCCACGCGAAATCAAACTCTCATTCGTGAAGAACTGGCCAAAACATTCCGACGTGGCAAGAATATCCTGCAACAACAAAAACGAGTCTTGAGACTCGGCGAGTTTGTATTATTATTATAACCACAACATGGGGGTGTGAGTACTGGGTGGATGATTTACATTGCACGGTCGTATTCTCGCGACTTCGGGGTGGCGTTCATCCGGCAGCGGACTGAGCATGTCTCGACCGTGGTTGTCGGTGTGGCGGCGGCGACGGAGTAGCGAGCCCCTTCAATGCGCGATGCTTCCACGAGGCGGCGGGGGCGACATCGTGGCCCCCGCTCGGGGTCTCCCCTCCTCCATCAAAAGGGTCCGCGCACCCCTTGTCAGGGGGTGGAAGCGGGGTGGAGGGTGGAAGAAGAGGAGGAGGAGGGGGGGGGGGGTGTCTCGAACAGGCGAGGGAGCCGCCCCTGACGTCCGAACGACGGCGACGAGTGACAACCACGAGGAGTCGGCGTTAGCTCCGCGGAACGGGCAGCGCGCCCCAACTCCACAACCCCCACCCCCAACTCGCCTCCCTTCCACGCCGAAGGAGTTCGGCGGCCGTGGCTGAACTCATCCCGCTGGGGACGCAAGTCGAAGTTGAGGGCGGCGCGCATCGAGACGCAAGCCGAGAGAGGAGGAGGGGGGGGGGGAGCGCTTTACTCCGCGCCTACCTCGACTCCCCCACCACCACCTCTGCCGCCGTGTGCAGAAGAGAGCTGGGTGGTGGTGGTGTGTGGTGGGGGGGGGGGCACACAGGGGAGCAAGCAGCCGATGCTGCCCCGCTGAGGGAGCAGCCCGGGGGCTCGCGCCAGGAGGAGGAGGAGAGCCGCAGTCGTCAGCGTCTCTGTCTCTCTGTCTGTCTCTCTCTCCTCTCTCTCTGTCTCTCTCTCCTCTCTCTCTCTGTCTCTCTCCTCGCGGCACTCGCCCGCCCGCATGGCGGGAGCTGAGGCGTGCGTGCACTCTCCCCGACGCCTCGACCCGCTCGCCGTGGCCGAACCGCTGCGCAAAGGGAACAAGTTTCTCAAATGGGAGGAGGTGAGAGTCCCAAACCTTCTTGCCTCCTCTCTCCTCATCCTCCCTCTTTACTGCTCGCTCTGTTGCCCTCCTGCACCCCCCCCCACCGCTCCCGTGGTGGTTGTTTTGTCGGTGGTGGTAGTGGTGACGACGTGTCCGCCTCCCCCACACCACCACCACCACCAACTCGCTCCGTCTCCACGCGTGGGGCCCCGTGAGACCAGCGGTAACGCGGCTCCCTGTGATCCGCGGCATCTCTGGCACCGCGTTATTGGGACCCCCCCCTCGTTGCGCTGCGTGTTTCTCAGGGGGAGCCACGTGCCCCCCCTCGCCTACCCCGTTGTCCTCGCGATCCAAATTCACCCCCCCCCCAAAAAAAAAACCAGGCCCTCCGGGACAGGGTCCTCTTGTTCCGTGTTCTCTCTGACTGGCACGCCGCTTATTACTCTGTCCGTGTTAACAGGGGTCTCGTGTTCCCCACGTTACTGCCATTCTGTGTTACTGGCCCCGTGTGACCGGGGGGGGGGGGGCCCTGGGGGGGGACCCCTTTCCCAGTGCCACTGTCCCCATGTAACCCATGACCCCAGGGGGGACCCCTTTCCCAGTGCCATTGTCCCCATGTAACCCATGACCCCCGGGGGGGGGACCCCTTTCCCAGTGCCACTGTCCCCATGTAACCCATGACCCCCGGGGGGTGGACCCCTTTCCCAGTGCCACTGTCCCCATGTAACCCATGACCCCCGGGGGGGACCCCTTTCCCAGTGCCACTGTCCCCATGTAACCCATGACCCCCGGGGGGGGGACCCCTTTCCCAGTGCCACTGTCCCCATGTAACCCATGACCCCCGGGGGGGACCCCTTTCCCAGTGCCACTGTCCCCATGTAACCCATGACCCCCGGGGGGTGGACGCCTTTCCCAGTGCCACTGTCCCCATGTAACCCATGACCCCCGTGGGGGACCCCTTTCCCAGTGCCACTGTCCCCATGTAACCCATGACCCCCGTGGGGGACCCCTTTCCCAGTGCCAATGTCCCCATGTAACCCATGACCCCCGGGGGGGACCCCTTTCCCAGTGCCACTGTTGCCGTGATATGGAAAATGGTTGTGTGTATGGCTAGGATTGATGATATGCGATGTGATTGTGGCTATGGTCATGGTAGTATTGTAGTTAGGGATATGGCCGTGGATAGGTTTGTAGATATATATACGGACATGGCGATTCTTAAGGAAGCGGTTATGGATGGGATTATGATCCAGGGATTCATTTCAGACGGGTCTGTATTTAGCAGCGACCAAAAAATATTATAAACCGGCACACCACATCCAGTATACCCGTGCCTACGGCTGTGGCTACTAGTCACGTACCCCAACTCCAGTCTAACAGCGAGCCGGTTAAAATCATTCAATGGGAAATTAAATCCTGGCTATAGTTATGGTCTGGACTGTGGATATGGCCATGCTGATGTGACTGTGGCCAGAGCCAGATTAAGTTTGAATGGGGGGGGGGGGCTGAGGCTGTTGGGATTTTAGGGAGGGGGGGGGGCCCATCTGTGTTTACTCAAATTCCTTCCCTTGATTTTTTTTTTATCACCACCATCACCCCATGCCCAATGCCGAACTCTCGGTCGGCATTCACTCTCGGTTATTGCAGCTCGAGCAGTTGAATTGTGATGCACTAATCTGTGGGGCCGGGTCATAGTTGAAAATACCAAAACTGCCCTAATATCGGCGCACACGGCCAACTGACTGGCCCATAACTACGAACCCATAAGGTTTACCCCGTATTCTTGTACAGGTGTAAAGACAGTGCGGAGCCATAGCGGGACAGTAAGGTTCCCTGGGGGCCATGGTTACTAATGATGATTGATGGGACAAGCGTTGACAGGGTCACGTGATTGGGAGCACGAGGAATCTAATGTCGGGAAAGTGCAATTAGGGCGGTGATTGACAAGATAAGGTTCCGGAATAGGGGCGTGGCCGGACCGGGAGAGGATAATATGAACCAGCGCGAGCCGGGGCTTGGGGCTGCGTGGTTGTAGGGAACTGTAGGGAACTGTCGTCATCGTCTGCGAGTTGTCTTGGGGGCCGTCCATAAATGACGTCACGCACCTGGGGGGGGGGGGGGGGGTCGGACATTTGTGACGATGTGTGACGAGGGGGGGGGTTTGAGAAATGTGACGTCACATCAAAATGCGCAACTTTGAATAAATATAGAATTGCTATAACAACACAAATTGTTCTAACAACACTCGTACAACATCAGAGTGCAGCGCCACATTGAATACGCACTACAATGACAATAGTTTAAAGGGATTCGAAGCATGTTTTATTTTCAAAATGGAAATATGGTTGGGGGGGGGCAGAGCTTTGTGACGTCATATTTGAGGGGGGGTCTGACTCGCCGTGTGACGAGGGGGGGGGGGGTCAAAAATCGTCCAAAATCTCGTGACGTCATTTATGGGCGGCCCCTTGAGACTCGAAGCGATGTCTCAGAATAGTCGTCTAACTACCCAAGTGTAGAGAGAGTCACTCGCTGTTACTCGTTGAGGAGTTGTCAGCGGACTTTATTCATAACAAATATACAGGAAGACAAGACGGTGTCTCTGAGAGCTACATTACACAGGGGGACATTGAGTTTCCAGGTCAGTTTTCAATTTCAGTTTCTTTATTTTGGTATAGCCCGGTGAGCCATTCGACTCTTGAATCGGGTGCAACCACAACAAACAAAAAAACAAAAACACGAACAAGAAAAACATCTTAAAGTGACTATGCGACTGTGCAAACAGAAAAATCCATACGGCGTACAGCCGTTTCAATATGGGCAAAACATTGTCTGTTTGTGTTTCTCTCCCTTGTGATGGGATTTTGTTGGATGAACGTTGAGATTTCTAAGGGCACGGGGTGGCCAATAAGGTCTGACTTGGTCTGTAATAAGGTAGGGCACTGATAAGGGGTTGACAGCTATGGGGTCGTATGATACGGTGATGCTATGGCTGTAAAGACAGCTACCGTGTTACAATATATTTTGTTACAACCATAACGCTGGATTGTTGTGTGGGGGGGGCTCAACATGTCACAGGCCGGGCTTCGGCTCCTGTGTTATTCCGACCCTGGTGGCTGTGGCTAGGGGATGTGGTTGGTGTTAGGGGATATGGTTGGTGTTAGGGGATATGGTTGGTGTTAGGGGATATGGTTGGTGTTAGGGGATGTGGTTGGTGTTAGGGGATGTGGTTGGTGTTAGGGGATGTGGTTGGTGTTAGGGGATGTGGTTGGTGTTAGAGGATGTGGTTGGTGTTAGGGGATGTGGTTGGTGTTAGGGGATGTGGTTGGTGTTAGGGGATGTGGTTGGTGTTAGGGGATATGGTTAGTGTTAGGGGATATGGTTGGTGTTAGGGGATATGGTTGGTGTTAGGGGATATGGTTGGTGTTAGGGGATATGGTTGGTGTTAGGGGATGTGGTTGGTGTTAGGGGATGTGGTTGGTGTTAGGGGATATGGTTGGTGTTAGGGGATATGGTTGGTGTTAGGGGATATGGTTGGTGTTAGGGGATGTGGTTGGTGTTAGGGGATGTGGTTGGTGTTAGGGGATGTGGTTGGTGTTAGGGGATGTGGTTGGTGTTAGAGGATGTGGTTGGTGTTAGGGGATGTGGTTGGTGTTAGGGGATGTGGTTGGTGTTAGGGGATGTGGTTGGTGTTAGGGGATATGGTTAGTGTTAGGGGATATGGTTGGTGTTAGGGGATATGGTTGGTGTTAGGGGATATGGTTAGTGTTAGGGGATATGGTTGGTGTTAGGGGATATGGTTGGTGTTAGGGGATATGGTTGGTGTTAGGGGATATGGTTGGTGTTAGGGGATGTGGTTGGTGTTAGGGGATGTGGTTGGTGTTAGGGGATGTGGTTGGTGTTAGGGGATGTGGTTGGTGTTAGGGGATATGGTTGGTGTTAGGGGATGTGGTTGGTGTTAGGGGATGTGGTTGGTGTTAGGGGATGTGGTTGGTGTTAGGGGATGTGGTTGGTGTTAGGGGATATGGTTAGTGTTAGGGGATATGGTTGGTGTTAGGGGATATGGTTAGTGTTAGGGGATATGGTTGGTGTTAGGGGATATGGTTGGTGTTAGGGGATATGGTTGGTGTTAGGGGATATGGTTGGTGTTAGGGGATGTGGTTGGTGTTAGGGGATGTGGTTGGTGTTAGGGGATGTGGTTGGTGTTAGGGGATGTGGTTGGTGTTAGGGGATATGGTTGGTGTTAGGGGATATGGTTGGTGTTAGGGGATGTGGTTGGTGTTAGGGGATGTGGTTGGTGTTAGGGGATGTGGTTGGTGTTAGGGGATATGGTTGGTGTTAGGGGATATAGCTGTGGTTATGTATCGACTCTTAAGGTTATTGCTGATGCAGGAGTTGAGAGGCATTGCCTTCAACCCCGCGGTCTCGTCCACCTCCTCCTTGGGGCTCAAAGGTTGCGCTGGAGAGTGGCTGCCGTGCCCATTCGGCCTTGCGGGGGCGTGGGAACCCGCGGGCGTTGTCGCAATGTCGCCCCCACCACCACCACCACCCTTGCCCCATGACTGGGCCTTGCCCTGCACACAGCTCGGAGCAGGAAAAGGCACCGGGAGGAGGGAGAGCAGAGGGCAGGCAGGAGGGCAGGCAGGAGGGCAGGCAGGAGGGCAGGCAGGAGGGCAGGGGTCCGCTCGTACAGATGGGAGGGGTGAGCGGCAGGGTGAGAGTGGGAAGGTGAGTGACGTGGTGAGGTGCAAGCTGAGTTGCAGGGTGAGGAGCAGGGTGAGGAGCGGGGTGAGGAGCGGTGTGAGGAACGGTGTGAGGAGCAGGGTGAGGAGCAGGGTGAGGAGCAGGGTGAGGAGCAAGGTGAGGAGCAGGGTGAGGAGCAGGGTGAGGAGCGGTGTGAGGAGCAGGGTGAGGAGCGGGGTGAGGAGCGGTGTGAGGAGCAGGGTGAGGAGCAGGGTGAGGAGCAGGGTGAGGAGCGGGGTGAGGAGCGGGGTGAGGAGCGGGGTGAGGAGCGGTGTGAGGAGCGGGGTGAGGAGCAGGGTGAGGAGCAGGGTGAGGAGCAGGGTGAGGAGCGGTGTGAGGAGCAGGTTGAGGAGCAGGGTGAGGAGCGGTGTGAGGAGCAGGGTGAGGTGCAGGGTGAAGAGCAGGGTGAAGAGCAGGGTGAGGTGCAGGGTGAGGAGCAGGGTGAGGTGCAGGGTGAGGAGCGGGGTGAGGAGCGGGGTGAGGAGCGGGGTGAGGAGCGGCGTGAGGAGCGGTGTGAGGAGCAGGGTGGGGAGCAGGGTGAGGAGCAAGGTGAGGAGCAGGGTGAGTGGAAGGGAAGGTGTGTGGTGTTCACTGGTGGCGTCTGCAGCTCGGAGCAGGCAGGCACAGCTGGGCCCCGAGTCACACAGCTCTGCCGTGACACCGCAGACTGAGTCACCCTTTACTCGCGTGACCGATTTTTACTCGAATTCAAAGAATCACTGATTTACTGCGGTGGAGGGGCTGAATTAGGAGGGCTGAGCTGAGGAGTGGCCCTGTCGGTTCTCTGTTGTAACCCGTAGCCCCTTCTGCCGGCCTCCCCCCCACCTCCACCGCCCACCCCCCACCCCTCTTCTTCGGCCCCCTCCTTCCATCTTGGACCCCCCCCCCGCACCCTCCGCCCATAGTCAGCAACTGCATCATCTTAAAATAACTGACGTGAGAACGTGGCCAGGAATCCCAAGAGCTGAGAGTAACAGACGCTAACGGGCTCCTCGTAAACACGGGCCGAGCGGGGGGGGGGGCCCGCTCCGCTTTGCAAGCGTCTGCCGCATGTGGCTCGCCTACGTTGGCTTTGTCGTCGGCCTTTGAAGTTTGTATTCCGCCGCGGTGCTCCCATTTGGGCCGTGCTTCATTTAATTCCAGGAAACCCACCTGTGCGTATCTATGATTGGGAAGAAGGGGGACAGCCTTGAGCGTTGGCGGACCCCCCACCGTGTGCCTGGCGGGCTGTCTCCGGGTACCGCTGCGTCCTCGAAACGCGCAGCTCGGCGCTCATTGAGGCCGCGTGGGGACCGGCAAAGCGTGCCGATGTAGCGCTACTAAACTCGCCACACAGCTCACCAACACCGGTACTAAACTCGCCACACAGCTCACCAACACCGGTACTAAACTCGCCACACAGCTCACCAACACCGGTACTAAACTCGCCACACAGCTCACCAACACCGGCACTAAACTCACCAGAGCTTGCACGCTCGCCAAAATATTTCTGGCAAACCACCCAAAATGTTTCGGACCATTGAGGGACAACTCCGCGTTGAGGCAGACCGCTTGGAAGTCCGTGTACACCGGCTGACCATTCACGCTCTGGTCATTCATATTTGCGATAAAATCTTTCGAGTTGCCCTCACATGCCTGGAGATTGTTTAGGGTATGCACGCGGCTCGCCAGTGCCACTGCCCAGATGCGCGCAGCTCTGGGCCAGATTGGCAGCGATGTACCGAATTATCGTGAAAGCATTCGCGCTCGGCACGCTTTTGCATTCCGCCCGTGCCGCGCAATTGCGAGTTTTCACTGCTTTGCACGGTTTCGCTCTCCTGACTACATCGAGGCTCCCTTAATACCCTGGATTTGCGGGCTTGCTTTTATTGTCATTATTATCATCATCATCATCATCGCTGCAGCTGCGACGACGGGGGTGGGTGGGAACGTGAGCTCACGTCCCCCCCCCGCAGTCGAGGCAGACGCGCGCGTTGCACGCTCGCGGAATTCACCGACGAGCCTGGACACGCAGCCAGGGGAACGAGGGCGATGGACCGGGCTGCGGTGGAGCCTTGGTGGGGCCGCGCCCTCCGGGTCGTTTTTTTGTCTCTCACCCCCGGTTCGATCCGTCGTTGGCATTGGCCAAGATATCCCAACGTAGCAGGAGCCGGCCCGAAGCAGAGTCTTCAGACTCGGCGATGCTTTCCGGGATAAACGAAGCACTTGACCCAGTACACGCGCGGCCCTTGCCTGTTTACCGAGTACCTGTCTCGTGGTATTATACCGAGAGAGACACGAAGGGGAACAATGTAAAAATTCGAGTTGGAGACATCACGTTGTTGAGAAAAGCCACCTGGGCTGGAGCAGGACGCGTCGCTCGAAGGGATGGACGATGGCCGGTGGTCAAGACTGACGGCAGAGTGGCAGCGAAAAGAGCGAGTCGCGCCCGACAGGAGATGGAGCGATGAAATCGGCTCACGCATGGGAGCCAACGTAATTGCTCGTAGCATCGCGAGATCGCGAGGGATGGCTATGGCACAGGGGGGGGGGGGTCTTCGTCGAGCAGCGGATAGACCATGGCTCACGCTGTGTGGTGATTAGCGCATGCCACTGTACACGTGTTCGTTGTATGTGCACTTTAGTCACGCACCTCTGTGTTTTATGGAGTACAGTAAGCCCTAAGGACCGACTTCGCATGTTGATGAAACAGTCACAAGACCCACACACATGCTCGCTGCCTTGGCGATTTGCCCATTTGTTGGTCATGCAAAAAGGTGGTTTCATTTCACCAAATATTAGACAAAAAGGACCATTCTTTCACAACACATGAATAGACGCTGTGTGTGCGTGTGTTCAGTGATGACTAATAAACAGCTTAGAGCCCTTTGAGGTCTGTATCTCTTACAAGTGTGTGCACAAAGACAAAGATCCCCCATGTCGCCTTTAACAGACTTTTAGGGTAAAGTGCTGTGAGCGAGCACCTATGAAGGCTGGGACAGAGCAACCTATGAGTGGGTGGTGTGACCTCATCGCTTCCGGCCATCATCTCCCCAGTGATATTTACAAATGGTGCCAGGTACTAATTTAAGGCTGAGTTGATCTAGGAGAGGCCCATAACCGGTTCTGACATCTCTCACCACAGAAGTTGGCCGTGGCTGGGAATTGAACCCAGGACTCTAGGTTCACAGGACATTCAATGCTCGAACCACTATCCCACAGCTACCCCTCCCCCATTACACACGCACCCACCCACCCACATGCGCACGCACGCAGGCAAGCACGCGTAGTTCGCTGACTCACGAGTGATGGGGCCCGAGTGCTGTTATATACATCACAAGCTCTGGACACCGCTTCACATGCCACAGGAAGTTGCGGTGAGTTTTTCGTGCGTCTTGCCGCGTTCCCGTGACCGCTGGGAAGCGAGCTCGTGCGGTCCGAGAACCAGGATTTTGGTGGGCTTGGCTCCGATTCCCACGGCGACCTTACCGGAGCCATGCCTGGGTCACAGAAAAAAAGGCTTCTCTTCCCCACCCCGAATATTCCCTTCCCTTTGGAACCAATATTTGTCCACACAGAGGGCAGCACTTTCCCACCCGGTCACCCACTCTGCGTAAGATTTTTCACTTGGCAGTCACAGAGCTGGAATTGAGTTAAATTCAGCGCCGAACCAAACTTGATGCGTTTTTAGTCATTTGTGACTTGGGCTGAGGCCATAAACTCACTCCACTTGAGATCTCGGTTGAATCAGAGGTATTGACCGCCCGGACATTGAACTTGTGACCTCGGCTCTCGGACCTCTGAGCCGCACGGCCACAACCTTTGGCTCGTTGTTTCGTGGGCCGTGTGGCCAGCGTCAGGCACCGTGTGCCGGTGTGGGCCACCTCCCGCCCCGGGACCCCAGCTCACCCGCACGCCATCACCCGCGTGGGCGACATCGCGACAAGCCGCGCCGTCGTGAGCGGGCCTCTGAGTGGGACCGACGGGGGGGGGAGGGAGAGGGGTGGAAACTGGAGACGCGCGCGGATTTATTCGCTTATCAGTTTAAATGGATTCGTAATTCTAATCGCGTCTCCGAGGAGGCGGCCGTGTGGCTCAAGGGTCAAACGCGCCGAGCCGGCACCACCGACACATATATACGCATGTATGTATGTAAATATTATTTCGCACAGTACGTAGCCAACCGTGCTAATCGGAGGTGCGGGGGACGGACAACAAACCAAACGCATCCCGGGTTCGAGTCTGGGTTTCGGTCGCCCCGCGATCGGACCGGGTTTGAATGGCGGCGAGTCGATGGTCGCAGCACAAGAAGCTCGTCATATTAACGTTAATACATGTCGCCTAATTTCGGCGAAAATTCCAGATTTGCGAATTTGCACATTTCCGTTTGTTTCCCGCGGGGATAAAAAAAATCCCGCGAGCAGGTTGTGTGGGGTAGGTGCGGCCCACGACCCCCAGCTGCGGGCGGATTTAGCGGTCACTTGAAGGGTCCTCGGAAGTAGTTCTGCGGCATCCGCCTCTGTAGGCCGTTCACTTTGCACGGGGCGATGCGCCGGGGTGTGCAAAGGCGCGAGTGAAATCCGGTCGCGAAGGACAACGAAGGCAGTTGCGCCTGCGTTTGATGTGAAAGAAAAATACCACGGCCCGCGTCGCCGTTTGGCGCACACGTTGTGGAACAGCGATTACAACAACAATGATGACGACTGTAATTGGCGAACGTAATAATGATAATAATAATCAAGTAGACGTGGTATTGGTGCTTGTGACGCACGGCTATCACCGAGGAAGGCGCCACTGCGATTCACAGACGAGGCGTGCAGTAGTTTCCGCGTGCGGTTCCCAGCTGAGCAACTCGCCCGACTCGCGCTGAAGAAGTTGGAGGTCACTCTGCACAGGTGGCGGTTGTCGACGATTACGAGCGTGTGTCCCCGTGTCGAGCGGTGTCTCGTTAGTTTGATCGTCGCTTCGCACGGGGTCACACACCCCGACCGACCCCGACCGCGAGGGATGCGTCCGATGACCGCCGCTGTGGTTTGCTTCTGCCCAATAGGAAACCAACTCGCTGGCGGCCGTGACCCTCATGGTTGACCCCAAGGGTTACTTCCTCTACTGGACCGACCAGAACAAGGTCAGCGGCCCCCCACCCCCTCGCCCGCACCCCCCCCCACCCCCCCTCCCCCGCCTGCACCGCCGGCCCACGTAGCACCGCCGCTCCACTGCATGCCTCTGGGGCATTGAGAAGAGTTGTGATGATATTGGAATAGTGGCGGTGGTGATGTTGTGGTGGCGGTGATGGTGTTGTCATGGTGATGGTGTGGTGGCGTTGATAATATTGTGGCAGTATTGATGCGGTGGATGTGATGGCATAGTGTTGGTGTTGTGGCAGTAATGGTGTGGTGGTGGTGGTGTTGTGGCAGTGACCGTGTGTTGAGGCAGGATCTATGAGTTGTAGATGAGAGCACAACCATAACAGGTGTGGCGTGTAAGGTTTTCTAGTGAAACGGAGTGCTTTGTTGTGGCTGCCTCTGTGTTGTGGCAAATATTTCCACCCTGGCAGGCACGGTGTTGTGTCAGAACTGTGACAGGTGTGGTGTTGTGGCCGACGAGGCTTGACGGCCGCAGAAGGTTTATGTTGTGGCCTAATTGGTGCCATGGTGGGCTCCGTGTTGTTGCAAGAATAACATCGTAGCCACAGTGTTGAAGTCACGGTGTTGTAGTCACGTTCGTGCGGTTGTCATGGTGTTGCGGTGAGAACGGTGTAGTGGTTGGTTGGCTCGGCGTTGCGGCAAACACCGTGTTGCATTTGCCGCGGTGTTGTGGCGAGTACGGTGTTGTGGCGAGTACGGTGTTGTGGCGAGTACGGTGTTGTGGCGAGTACGGTGTTGTAGTTGGGATGGTGCTGCGGCGGTTGCCGCGTTGCGGTTGGGCCGGTGTTGCGGTGAGCTCAAGGACGCGAGTCCGCGCGTCTCGGTTCCCACGCGGTGGTGCGCATCGTTCGTCTTCATAGCGTCGCGTGCGGTTCCCACGCCGTGTCTCAGCCCCGCGCGCCCTCGTACGTCCTCCGCTCGTCTCTGCTGGACGCTCTCCAAACGACTGCCGTCCGCTGCTGCCCCCATCACCGCCCCCATCGCCATCCCCATCGCCGCCCCCATCGCCGCCCCCATCGCCGCCCCCATCGCCGCCCCCATCGCCGCCCCCATCGCCGCCCCCATCGCCGCCCGACGAAGCCGCCCAGCGAGCGGCATGGACGGAAGAGACGCCGTTGTTTTGTCGTTCATCCCCAAATCCCACGAGGGCCGCTGTCACGGCCGTCCACGGCGCTGACTCAGCGGGCGAGTGCCGAGGGGCCGGCGACGACGCGCGGAGGGAAAAACAAACACACGCGTTGGTGAGCGTTTATAACGACCCGGCCTTATGTGGGCCGGAGACGTGGAGGCGACGGCGCGCGTGGTGCCGGCGGTCACCGGCGGTCACCGGCTGTCACCGGCGCTTACGTCGTCTCCTGCCGAAGTCGAACGTCCCCGGTGTTGCGCAGGCTCGGCTCCTCCGATCCTCTTTCCCCATGCACCTCTGCTGTGTGCGTCTTCTCTGGTCACATTCCACTGGCCTCACTTCAAGTTCCCCGCATCCTCCCCTCACCCTCGGTCTCCCTCTCCCCGTGCCCTGCACCGGCAGCAACTCCATCGCCCTTTTCATCGATCTGTAAGTCTACGGGTCTCTGTGTGAGTCTGTGGGTCTCTGTGTGAGTCTATGGGTCTCTGTGTGAATCTATAGATATCTGTGTGAGTCTGTGTATCTGAGTCTATGGGTCTCTGTGATTCTATAGGTATCTGTGTGAGTCTATGGGTCTCTGTGTGAGTAATGGTATCTGTGTGAATCTATAGATATCTGTGTGAGTCTATATGTATCTGTGTAAGTCTTTGGGTCTCTGTGTGAATCTGAAGATATGTGCGAGTCTGTGGGTCTCTGCGACTATATGGGTCTCTGTGTGAGTTTACGAGAATCTGTGTGAGTGTGGGTCTCTGTGTGACTGTATGGGTCTCTGTGTGACTATATGGGTCTATGTGAGTTTACGAGAATCTGTGTGACTGTGGGTCTCTGTGTGACTATATGGGTCTCTGTGTGACTGTATGGGTCTCTGTGTGAGCGTGGATCTCTGTGTGACTATATGGGTCTCTGTGTGACTATATGTATCTAATCGCCACAATCCTTCTAACAGCGCCTTCTTTTTTCCCCTCTCAACACAGACCCAAACGATCAAAGTCTCGCCCCCCTGTCCACTGAGAATCTCAGCAACCTCCGCTAAGCCTCTTAAGATATTCCCAACATCCATATCAGCATTCTCATGTGGTTCACCAGCATGAGTATCATTATCATTATAATAATTCAGCAACAATTATTATTTACCCAGGTGAGACGTCTTTGATGTGCTGCTACAATGCTGCCATATGCGAATGATCAGGGTTAATGAGTTCGCCCTGACCCGGTGATGCCCTAGCACACTAATTGATTCGGATCAATTCCTGGCCGCTGATTGGCCATAATTAAGGCCTCCGGGTTCTTTCTTTTTGGGCCCCTCTCTCCGCACTCGAGGGTCGTGCGCTCTCCAATTCACGGGCGCCGCTGCTGCCGCTGACGATCGGAGCTGTCCCAATCCTACAACAAAAGTGTCTGCTGCTGATGCTGCTGCTGATGCTGCTGATGACGCTGCTGCTCCTTCACCCCAGCCTCCCCACTTTTTGCGTGCGTGCGTGGAGAAGATCTTATCTCCGCTTCTCCACGGCGACGTGACCGGCAGCCTGGCCTGCCAGGGGGGCCGCTCTCCATCACGCCACGAGGCCCCCAATTGCTGGCATCGTAAATATCCCACAGCGGCCATGGGGGGAGGGGCGGGATGGGGGGGGGGCATTAAAGCTGGCAGGTTTTTACAAACAGGCCGCGCTGGAGATTTAGGGCACGTGCACGCCCTCAGTCTCTATTTACTCTTAAACGGTTCGCGCCAGCCTCCATCAATGGCCCTGATCGGCCCACGCCACTGGCTACCAACGTCCACCCTTATTTGGGCAGCGGTGCTGCGACGCAGCTGATGTAGGGGCCGCGACGGAGCCGGTACCAGGTCTCCGTGCAGGTGGCAGTTTCGTACGCGGGCAGTCATCACAGGCCTCCAAGTGGGCGGTGCTCTGCCGTGGGTGCCCCCGATCCCAGTCTCAAGTGCAGTGGATCCAGGTCTCTCTGGATGTGAAGGGTGTCCCAAGTCTCCCCGTCGAGGTGACGGAATCCGAGGTCTTCTCACAAGCGATGGGGTCCCAGTTCTCCCTGCAGGTGACGGGGTTCCCAGGTCTCCCCAGAGGGTCGCGTCACCGCGACTAACCCGGGGCACATGTGCCGTCCGGCCACCGTCAGTAGCAAGTGGTAACCGGTGTTCGGCCTCTGGGTGGCCGAGAGGTGGCCAGAAAGCGGCCCGTTGAGATTTAAGTAGCTCCAGGACGCGATCGAAACATAATTCGGCGCGTCTGGCTGTCACGTATATCACGTCCCTGGCGGCGTCGGGGCGCGGAAGTGATGCTAATTTGTGTACAAATGTGGAAACGCGACGATTTGTGTCGAATGCGATCACGGCGCGAGTGGGCTGCGCGCGTTATTGACGGTTGCCGCGGCGCTCCGCGAAAACAACAGTCGGTGCTTGATGAGCTTTACGACTTCCTTCATGGCCGGCGTCTTTGGCAGAGCGGTTAGTTTCACGTTTAATTTATTCTACGCGTTCCTGCCCCGAGCCGTCCGCAACCCCGTCCCCCTCCACACCGCAGCTCCGCTCGCTCCTCGCGGTGTCATTGAGGCTCTTGTGTGTGTGTGTGCGCGCTTGACTGTGGGTGTGTGCGCGCTTGACTGTGTGTCTGTGTGTGCGTGCGCACTTGGGGGTGTGTGTGTGTGTGTGGTGTCTGCTTGAGTGTGCATTTTTGTGTTTTGCACACGCCTGTGTACATGTGTACGAGCATTTGAGTGTGTGTGTGTGCGTGCATATGTGCTCGCTAAAAGCACTTGCCCCAACAGTCTGTTCAGGCTACACGGGGCGTCTTTGTTTGTGCTTGCGTGTGCGAGCGCGTGCGAGCGCGTGCGTCTGTGAAGTGAGATTAGCACACTGCGCTATGAACCCAGTGACCCGAGTTTCATTCCCGCTCACGGCCAACACCAGTGACGAATATCTGAACCGGTCCTGGGGCATCCCCTACGTCGACCCAGCCTTAAATGAGTACCTGGAGCTGAGTGTAAATTGTGGCCGCGCTTGGTGTTGGCCACACCATCCCCTTGTTAACGGCCTTAATAGGTGCTCTCAAACCGAACTACTGGCCCAAGCAGTCCGACACTGAACCGGCGTCTTTGTCTCCGCGCCGTGCATGCGCGCGTTTGTTTGCCGAGCGAGCGAGTTGGTGCGATTGCTGCGTCTGCCAGACTCTCGCTGAGCAGTTGAATCTGTGCGAGATGGAGGAGTGCCAGGGCTGGCGAGAGACATCTGGCGTGGTGAGAGTATGGGGAACGTGGGCAGGGGGCAGCGCACGCAGCGCAGCGCTTGGCCTCCAGCACGCGGCTCTCATTCTTGCCCAGCAAATACCTCGACACAATTACGTAATTAGTTGCTTCCTCCTCGGCTCACGGCCATGGCTTTTTCGGGAAGCGGTTGTGCAATCGCCAATTCTGCCCCGTGCGCGTCCGCCAACTCCTACGCGTGACCGCCCCATGCCAGTTGCCCCCGGCGACCTTCGGAGGCCCCGGTAAAACCCTCAACCCCCCCCCCCCCCCCGCGTATCTTGTCGGCAGGAGACAGAATGCCTGGAGATAACGAGCATCAGGGACACGCGGACCGGACGCTACGCCAAGGTGCCCCGGGTAAGGCAGCGCCGCTGGCCGGGCGGAGGCCGGGCGGAGGCCGGGCGGTGGCCGGGCGGAGGCCGGGCGGAGGCCGGGCGGAGGCCGGGTGGAGGCCGGGCGGAGGCTGGGTGGAGGCCGAGTGGCACGAGGTTGCTCCGGGAGGCCGGCCGGCACCGCGCGTCCTGGCATGGACCGCTTGGTGGTAGAGAGCGGTTGCAAAACGACCCGCGAAGCGCGCCGGCGCCTCTGGGGGCTGGAGACAGAGAGTGAGCGTGCGATTTGAGAGTGAGTAGTGTGTGTGTGGTATGACCAACATCTCGGCCGTGGCAGATCACTGTTATAATTCAGTAGGCTCACATGACATTGACTTCTCCAAGGCAGAGGTTCTTTGCAAGCCATCTGGCTACCATGAGAGATTCACGAGGCTATCCACATATACAAACACAGAGACAATTTCAACCGAGAAGATGGATTCTGGCTTAGCAATCATTGGAAGGATTTGATAAACCATTTCGGGTCTTAATTGATTGTTCGTGCTTACGGTGGCTTTCAGACCGTATCCATTATTTTCGTCTCCACCCTCTTTTCCGAACATAGATGGACTCGTCCATCTCAATAACTGCCAAATCGCTCTCCGTGGTGCTGACGTTAAAAAAAAAACGCCACTTTTTTCAAATTTTCTTGCTGTAGTTTTCACACCTAATGATGTGATTGCTTGTGTTGCAGTCGAAATGTCGTGAGAATTTTATTGTTTTATATTTTTATTATTTTATTGTTTCTCTTCTACATGACTTTACCGAAAGAACCAAGAATAAGAGTGTGTGATAGTTGACAGTCATCTTGATCAGTTAATCTGTAATGCCCAGGTCTGTACTGTGACCTCTTGCGACCAGGCGTGGTGCTCGCCACCCAACCCCTCATGCCGTGCCATGCAGGCCTTAATAGGTGCTTCTCGCGAACAGGACTCGCCCCAACAGTCTGTTAAGGGCTGAACAGGGTGGGCATCTTTTGTTTTGGTCTTCATCGAGCTGTGTGCCTGTGTGCCTTGTACGTGCGTGCGTGGCTTCTCCCTGCTCAGAGCCAACTGTGAAGCGCCGAGTTTAGCACTCGGCAGCTCGGTGTGAACGAGCGGGCGGCACGCGGAACTCCTGGAGAATTCACAACGTGCGGAGCCCCGTGCCTGCCCGCTCGTTCGCTCGCCGACTCGCTCATTCACTCGCTCTGTCACCCGACCGCTCATTGAAAGGCTCGCCCATTCCAGCTGCTCGCTCGCTCGCTCGTTCACCTGCTTACTCCTACGCCCACTTACCCACTTGCCTACATGCCCCATTCACCCGCCCGCTCATTCACCCGCCCACTCATTCACCCACTCGCTCACCCGCTCACGCATTCGCTCCCCCGCATGTTTTTGCACCTGCTTGCCCGCCCTCCAGCTCGCCAGATTACTCGCCCAGTCGCCCACTCATCCACTTGCCAGATGTGGACACGTTTTGCGTAAGCGGCGCGTGAATTTCTTGAGACAGTTGAGAATTTGACTAATCCTTAGGCGCAGCTAACATCGTACTGACCGCGCGTCACTTGTAACGTCACTTTGCACGGCGCAGGCCTTGATAAACCCAAGCTCGTGGTATTTTGAGGTCACATGGACGAGGCCATGTGTATGCACGTTTGTGTGTGTGTATGTATGCACGTGTATGTATGTTTGTAAGTATGCGGAGCGGTGGAGCAGTGGTTAGCGCATTGCACGACAAACCCGGCGACCCAAATTCGATTTCCGCTCAAGACCATAACACTGGTAAATATTTCGACCCGGTCCTAGGTTGACTCAGCCTTAAATGAGTATCTGAAGTGTGTAAATCAGCTGCACTGGGGAGACAAAGGCAGTCCGGTGTGATGCTGCATGGCCAACCAGCCCGTTTGCGTGCCGTTCCAGCCTTCATAGGTACTCACAGCACTTGCCCCAACAGTCTGTTAAAGGCTACACGGGGGATGTTTATCTTTGTGTTTGTAAATATAGCGATATTCCTGCAAAGGACACAGTGGAGCTCACTCGCACACAAGGCCACGCGGTATTGATTTGGAGCCCAAAGATCAGGCGCTCCGGATAAACAGGGTACACGTGGGTCACGGCAGGGGCTGAGGTCAGGGGTCATCTGTTTAAAGGTCACGGGCACTGTCTGACGGCCAGATGACTCCCACACTCCGCCCACTCCATACCTCTCACCACAATGAACACCCGGCACCTCTCATCACATACCCTGTACCTCTCACCGCACACCCGGTACCTCTCGCCATATTCCCGATATTCTCACTACACACCCGGTACAGGATCAGGATCAGAATCAGAATCGATATTTATCCCAGAGAGCTTACGAAGGTCTTTTCTCACAGATCTCCAGTTAGGGGCGTGTCAGAAAGTTACAACAACGATTGGAGTGCAAAGGTTAGGAAAGGGTAAGCCAATCACCGCTTTCTATGATAACGTTTGTTTAAGGGCGCTCTCTAAATTTGAATGATTATAACAAATAAATAAATAGTGTAGATAAAGTATATAAGTTCAAATTGCATAAGATCGGGACACTGATTCCCAAGCTTGGGCAAGCTCTCACCACACACCTGGCACCTCCAACACACCACACTTGTGTTGGTGGTGGTCGGGCGTAGGGGTCACTTGAAAGCGCCCCCCCCTCCACCCCACCGCACCCCCACGGGTTCCACCCTTTGAAGCCGTGGCCTCGTTTTTTTTGGCCCGCAGCTGCGGCCAAGCGACGCTCGCCCTTTGATGGGCGGAGCCCCCCCCCCGGCACCCAGACCCCCCCCCCCCACCCTGGGACGACGTGGCGCGGCACAGGCCCGGTGCGGCCGCCTCTGAAGCGACCACACTGTCTGAAGTCCGGCCGCGGTGCGCACGGCCCCCGGTGCGGCGCTCTCGCGCTCCCGTTGGACACGCGGCCGCCGGGGCCTCCGATAGCCAAACGGAGCGTGCCGGAGCTCACTCTGCCAGGGTGGGGGTGGAGCAAGCGACGAGTGTGGGATCATTGGGCTGGGAGTTGCGGCTTCCGAAGCCAAATGCTTCCACCTCGCGGGAGCTTCTTTTTGTTTGTCGATCACATTTGCGCGTCCACGCGTGGGCGTGCGCGTATGCATGTGTGTAATGTGGAACTTCTATCGCACCGTATGTAGCCAACCGCGCCAATCGGAGGTGTGGCGAAAGGACAACAAACTAAACACTAAAAGCAGCATCCGCGTGGATGTGTGCGATCATCTGTGTGCATGCCTGCTTGTCTGTGTGCATGTGGGTGTGTGTGTTGAATAATTATCGTTCATTGAGAAATGAACGGTAATTCATATTACCTCTGTATGCGCACGGGAATTGAAATAATGACCACTTCGTTATTTGTTGACCGCCTAGTTCCTCTATATGGACGGGCCACCCCTTTGCGTGTGCGGCCGTGGCTGTGCAGGAACCTCGCTTCCGCGAGTCGGTGGAGTCATTCACGGGGCCGCAGATGGAGACGCAGACGCTCACGGTGGTGTCCGGGCCCGACCTCGTCAACACGGCCTTCCTCAACTTCACCAGCTTCACCGAGGGCGTGGCCCAGGTGCACGCCTCGATCCCCCCCCCCCCCTCTGCCACAAGATCCTCCGCCAGAGGCTGCAGAACGACAGCGTGCTTGACCTATGACCCACGTCGAACATTGATTAATTGTGCACTTGCATACCCACACACCATATATGGTTTCCCTCTGACCCCTCCCATGTCCACTCCCATGCCCCCACCGTGACGCCACAGTGACCTCCCCATGACCCTACATTGACCTCATGTGTCCCTGTCCCGTGTTGCCCAGGTGTGGGTGGAGGAGCTCTTTAACTTGGCAACGAACCTCCTGGCTCAGAGCGCCTCCCGGAGGACCTTCCTCGACAAAGTGTGAGTGTTGCTGTCGGCGCAGCAGCTCTCCCTGCCCCCCTAGGCTTAGGGGTGGGGAGGGGGGGAGCTGAATGAGGGTGCTGATGCCTTTCTCTCCGTTTTCTTTGAGATGCGATGGGACATTAATATTTCTCCATCGCGGAGAGGCTCTGGAAGCGGCGCTTTGCCGAGCAGCGGTGACGGCGGCCATTTGTCAGTCACAGGCGAGAGCCGGTGCCTTCCAGTCGCTCCACACGAGGTCAGCCACTCGTCGGACGCTGTGGCCGTTCACCCGTTCTGACGGCGCATAATGCATGGGTGTTGGAGTGTCCTGTTCCGAGTGAATGTAGCTGACACAGGGTGTCCTTTTGCGGGTGAATCCGGCTGATGCAGGGTGTCCTGTTGCGGGTGAATCCGGCTGACACAGGGTGTCCTGTTGCGGGTAAATCCGGCTGATGCAGGGTGTCCTGTTGCGGGTGAATCCGGCTGACACAGGGTGTCCTGTTGCGGGTGAATCCGGCTGACACAGGGTGTCCTGTTGCGGGTGAATCCGGCTGACACAGGGTGTCCTGTTGCAGGTACACGAGGCTGATGATAAGGCTCAACCAGGAGGAGAAGATTCCTGTGCGCAGGTGAGCGTGAGGCCAGGAGCGGCCGGCTCGCGTCGCTCGTTAATACCTCCCTAACGACCCCTCCCCTGACTCACCCGACCCATCCCCGTGCTCACCCCATGCTCACCCCGCCCTCTCCTGTGCTTGTGTTGAAGTGTTCTCCGCACGTTCCCCGCGGACAAGCGGCGCGTGGAGAAGGCGCTGGCGCACTGCGGCCTCCCGTCCGGCCGGGTGGGTGGCGGCCAACGGGGCCCCCTCTCACACCCCCGACCCCTGACCCCCGACCCCATGCACGTGGAGATGCAGGGCGTCATCTTTAAGTGTTGGAGAACTACCCCTAACACTGGCACTAATACTAACCCTGGCCCGAGGCCTCGACCTAAGCTTGGCCTGAACGCTCATACTCACCCTGACCCGAACCGTAACCAAACCCTAATACTAACCCAAACTTTCATTCTGACCCTGACCATAATCCTAGGCCTAACTTTCATCCTTCAACCCAGCTCTAGGCTTAACCCTAGCCCTGCCCCAACCCTAGACTTATTACTATGACATTGATCCTGATGTTAGCCCCTGATGCTAGCGTTGATGCTAATGCTGATCCGAACACTGATCCTCTCTTTGCAGTAATCATCGCTTCGGGTACTGATCGACCACTCTGTGTCTATGCCTCCGTCAGAACGACGTCATAAACCCCGTAGACTTCTCACCGTCCGTGTTCTGGGACTTCGTCAACCAACTGTGTCAGCGCACCGACATCGACAGCATCTTCGCTGAGAGGTGTGGTGGGGGGTGTGGTGGGGGGTGTGGTGGGGGGTGTGGCGGGGGGTGTGGTGGGGAGTGTGGCGGGGGGTGTGGTGGGGGGTGTGGTGGGGGGTGTGGTGGGGGGTGTGGTGGGGGGTGTGGTGGGGGGGTGTGGTGGGGGGTGTGGTGGGGGGTGTGGTGGGGAGTGTGGTGGGGAGTGTTGTGGGGAGTGTTGTGGGGAGTGTGGTGGGGGGTGTGGTGGGGGGTGTGGTGGGGGGTGTGGTGGGGAGTGTGGTGGGGGAGGGGTTTCGAGGCCGGCTTGGACAAATGTCTCAGCTGCGGTCGTTGACCTTGGCCTCGTGGCTTAGAGGCCTCGGCCTTGGCGTCGGGCCGAGCAGATGCGGCCTTGTCTGGCCTCGGTATTGGCCTCAACCTTCAAGGCTCCTGGCTTCGGACTTGGCCTGGAATCCAAAGGCTGTGGCTTTGTGGATGTCACGACAGGCCTCGTCTTGTTGAGTTCAGGTTTATTTCGTACCACGTTACGACGCGGATTCATAACGTGTCCGAATGTGACCGCATCTTAAGATGCTTCACAAGCAGCAATGGACGTCATTTCAGAGCGGTGTACGAGGCTACAGAGTAGAGAGGGAGAGAAGAGGCTTCACTGACAGGAGAGGCAGAGGAGAAGAGGAGAAGAGGAAGACAGTTTTGAGCGGGAGGCAGTTCCAGACCCCGAGGACAACAGAGGAGAAGGAGCAACCTTTGTTTGTGTAGAGGTCGTCCGCGTTTTTTTGACTGAAGTCTTCGGTTTTTCTACGGCCCACCCCACCCCACCCCTGCCCCCCCCATCCTCCCCATCCTCCCCCCTCCTCCCACTCCCGTCGTGAACCCTGCCTGTCTAGCGGAGCCAAGAACAAGCCGTACCTGACGCTGGATCAGTTCACGGACTTCGTGAACTTGCGGCAGCGCGACCCGCGGCTCAACGAGCTGCTCTTCCCGCCGCTGCGGCCGGCGCAGGTGCAGCTCATGATCGACAAATACGAGCCCAACAGCAACCTCGCTCGCAAGGGTGAGCGCCGTGGTTGTGCGTGCGTGCACGTCCATGTGTGCACGCTTCTGCACGTGTATGGGGAGCGGTGGCGCAGTGGTCGAGTAAACTGCGCTCGCAGACCTGCTGACTAGAGTTTGATTTCTGACCATGGCCAACATTAGCGGGAGTGATATCTGAACCAGTCCTGGGGTTCCCCCCCACCAAGGTCGACTCAGCCTTAAATGAGTGCCTGGTGTGGTGGGGAGACAAAGGTGGCCAGGCGTGATGCGTGTCACTCCACGCCCTTTACACTGTTCGGCTTTAATAGGTGCTCCAGGACAGCAATTGCATCAACAGTTGGTTTGCCTATGCAGGGACCTCTGTCATGTTCTTGTGTGTGCATGTATATTCTGTTGTGTGCGTGCACGTGTGGAGCGGTAGTGCAGCAGTTGGCGCATTGCACTACGAACCCTACCTGGCGGGGGCACGGTAGGAATTGAGCAGGTGGCTGCTGCTGCTGCTGCTACTGCTGCTGCCAGCTTGCGCGACACTGCCACCCACCCCCTCGTGTTCCGTGTCGGCCTTCATAGGTGCTGCTCGCGAACAGCAATTGCCCCTACAGTCTGTGAAAGCGGGGGGAGGATCTTTGATCTTTGTGTACGTGCGTGTGTACGTGCGTGCGCGTGTGTGTGCGTGCATGTGTGTGCGTGCGTGTGTGTATGTGCATGTACGTGCAGGGCAGATCTCGGTGTCGGGGTTCAAGCTCTACTTGCACGGCGATGAGAACAGCATTGTTCCGCCCGAGAAGCTGGACGTCAACGAGGACATGAGCTGCCCCCTGTCACACTACTTCATCAACTCGTCCCACAACACCTACCTGACCGGTACCACTACCACCACCATCATCAACAACCACTAACCCACCACAACCACCACGCTCTCCCACAACGCCCACCTGACAGGTGCCATCACCACCAGACTCTCACTATACCTAACACCTACTTATCGGGCACGACTGTCCGCCCTGTTTCCTCTGACATCTACACCCCCGTGTCCCCACCGTGCCCCACCCCATTTCCCCCCCCCCTCCCGTATCCCCCATCCGTTTCCCTCCTCCGTGTGTCCCTCCCCCGGTCCCTCCCGTGTCCCTCCCCCCGTGTCCCGCCTCTATGTCCCCCTCCCCATGCCCCCCCCCCGTGTCCCCCTCCTCGTGTCCCCCTCCCCCCCCCCCCCGTGTCCGTCCCCCCATGTCCTCCTCCCCGTGGTCCCCCCCCCCCGGTGCCCCCCCTCGGTGTCCCCCGCCGTGCCTCAGCGGGGCAACTGAAGGGCTGCTCCACGGCGGAGATGTACCGCCAGGTGCTGCTATCAGGCTGCCGCTGCGTGGAGCTCGACTGCTGGAAGGGGCGCACGGCGGACGAGGAGCCGATCATCACGCACGGCTTCACCATGACCACCGAGATCCTCTTCAAGGTACGGAGGACGTGCGGGACCGACGCTCAACGGGAGGCCCACGTGCGTACGCGCCGCAGTGTAGCTCAAAAAAAACCTCACGTGTTTTTGTGAAAATAATTGGCAGCCACCGGCAACGGCTCCGCAGGCCGCTCCCCCCCCCCCCCCCCCCCTACGGCCTTGCACGTGACGCCAGCGGGGGGGACCTCAGGTAGGGGAGTGTCCGGGGTCGAGAATACGCGTGGCAGGGCAAGGGCACGGCGTGCGTAGATCCTGTTAAACGTCGCCGCTCGGTCGGGGAAAGGGGATTATTTTCAAAGGTTCCTGCACTGAAGGCAACACGACAGCCAGAAGTGGCTTAGTGGTACAGCAATGGATACTTTAATCTATCCGTGCAGAGATTTGAGTGTTAACCCTCCCCCCTGCCCACCCCCCCCCCCCCCCCCCCCCCTTGTATGCGTGGTGGATTTTCTCCAGGTTCTTTCCACACAGAGCCAAACTCATTAGAAAAATAATTGGTGAAACATCTAAGAACAAGTCTGGAGCCTAACGAGGCTCTCCGGGGTGAATACAGCTGCCGTTATTGTTTATTGTTGTTGTTGTTGTCGTGTTGTGTTCCCAGGAGGCGATCGAGGCGATTGCGGAGAGTGCCTTCAAGACATCGTCCTACCCGGTCATCCTGTCCTTCGAGAACCACGTCGACTCGTACGCATCCCACGGTGTTCCTCCGTGTCCCTCCGTGTCCCACCTCATCCCTCCGCCTCCCGCCGTGTCCCTCCATGCCCTGTCCACATCCCAGTTTGTATTTGTCGCGTTCTTGGCCATCCGTTTTCCACCCTCGTCAATCGTCCACGTCCGCCCCGTGTCTCGTGTCCGTGCCAGACGCTGTAGATTTAGAACGCTGCCTGCAGTGTGTGGACGTGGAGCTCCACTCCCTCAGCGGAGATCTCGGAATTTTGTTTTGGTCTCTCCTGCCCCTCAACCACCACCACAACACCACCAACACAACATTACCACAACACCACCACCAACACAACATTACCACAACACCACCACCAACACAACATTACCACAACACCACCACCAACCCCCCTCCCCCCACCATGGATGCCTCAGGCCCAAGCAGCAGGCTAAGATGGCGGAGTACTGCCGACAAGCGTTCGGGGAGGCCCTGGTCACGGAGCCTCTCGAAAAATTCCCGGTGAGCTGCATTACACCGTGTCACGCCACACCATCACGCCGCACGCCGACCTATGTGCCAGTCCCACACGGTGTCGCAAACACACTTCCGTGTGGTGCCCAGCCACAACCCGTGCCTCAAACACCACAACCACCACCGCAGCCAGTGCCCCACCACCGTGCCTCACCGTATTGCCCGTGTCCCCGGCTGCTGCCGTTGCAGCTGGAGCCGGGCGTGCCGCTGCCGAGCCCCGGGGAGCTGCGTGGCCGCGTCCTCGTCAAGAACAAGAAGAAGCTGTTGGTGCGCGCGGGCGACGCACGGCGCCGCCTGGAGGGAGTCCCCTCCAACTCGCCCAGCGAGTCGAGCCTCGGGGAGCTCCCGGGAGCCACTGGTCAGCTCCCTCTCCTACCTCCCTGCCTTCTCTTCCTCCCTCCCTCCCTGCCTTCCTCCCTCCCTCCCTGCCTGCCTCTCTGCCTCCCACCCTGCCTCCTTCCCTGCCTCCCTCTCCGCACCATGGCATGGCACACGGAGACTAAATCAGACACGAGCTTGGCTCGTCTAGACCTTGGGACTCCCCTTGGTCTACTCAGCCTTAAATGAGTTCCTGGTTTTAGGAGACATCAGCACAGGCGGCTGGGCGTGGCGCTCGCCTCTCCACCTCCTCGTGTGTTGTGCCGGCCCTCATAGGTGTTTGCGTACAGCACTTGCCCCAACAGCCTGTTAAACGCTGCTGTCGGGTGGGATCTTTGTCTTTGTTGTGCGTGTGTGCTCAAGGCTCCGAGCTGCCCGACATCCCCCAGTCGCCCCTGGCACCCGGCAGCCCTGACGGCTCTGGGCGCAGCTCCGACTGGCACAAGTCCGGCTCCTTCAGCCGCTCCATTGGTACACAGAACACCCGCACACACCTAAACCACATGCACCTACACCACACACACACACTACACGCACCACACGCATACGCCCACACACCTACACAAGTCTACACCACGCACACAACCTCCTCACGACCATCATCGACACTACGTTACGGCACGTGCGTGTGCACGGGACCTACGATCACCAGCGTAAGCTCAGCGCGTGTGCTCCGTGCCCCCCCCCTCCCCGCGCACTCCTCGCCGTCGGTGCAGCAGAGGTGCTCGAGGGAGGCAGTGACGAGGATGACTACACCGAGGAGGAGCTCAAGAAGGTCACGACTGACGAGGTGGGGCCTCGCTTCCCCCGCCACTCCCCTCGTTCCACTCTCTTCCCCGGCTCCATTCGCTCGGCACCCCAGTTACCCCCCTCCCTTCTCCTCCTCCTCTCTATACCTTCACCGGGCAGTGTCTGGTGGTAAGGAGTGAGTGTCTGGTGAGTGGTTGAAAACACCTGTTTCATTCACGGTGGTTGCCCATCCAAGGACTGTCCAGGCACCACCCTGCTTAGCTGACGAGATCTGACCCGATGGGGGGGGCACATTGGGGGTGATTTGGTCACAGGCGGCATGGTTGCAATCGCAGGCGCTCGGCTAGAGGCTGCTGCTGCTGCTGCGGGGCTACGTTATAGGCAGCAGGGGGCAGTGCAGCAAATCCATTGTTGCACTGTGATATTGGCGGGCAACGAAGGGTGTGGTGAGTCTGCGGCGGTGAGCGTGGCGTCGCAACGGCTTGCGACCGGGCGTGTTCAAGTTGTGTAACCAGGTGGTGGGAACCCGGAGGCCAGGATAGAGCCTCCTTCGCCACAGTGACATGGGTCACCAAGTTAACAAGCAAACCATTTTAAAATAAAGCAATTGTGATGTCGTGTTTGTGATGTGGAGTGTGTGTGTGTGACGCGGCGTGCGTGCCGCGGTGTGTGTTTACGATGCAATGTGCGCGACGCGGTATGTATGTGTGTGACATGGTATGTATGTGTGTGACATGGTATGTATGTGTGTGACATGGTATGTATGTGTGTGACATGGTATGTATGTGTGTGACATGGTATGTATGTGTGTGACATGGTATGCATGTGTGTGACGTGGTATGCATGTGTGTGACGTGGTATGCATGTGTGTGACGTGGTATGCATGTGTGTGACGTGGTATGTATGTGTGTGACGTGGTATGTATGTATGTGTGTGACATGGTATGTATGTGTGTGACGTGGTATGTATGTGTGTGACACGGTATGTATGTGTGTGACACGGTATGTATGTGTGTGACACGGTATGTATGTGTGTGACGTGGTATGTATGTGTGTGACACGGTATGTATGTGTGTGACACGGTATGCATGTGTGTGACACGGTATGCATGTGTGTGACACGGTATGCATGTGTGTGACACGGTATGCATGTGTGTGACACGGTATGCATGTGTGTGACACGGTATGCATGTGTGTGACACGGTATGCATGTGTGTGACACGGTATGCATGTGTGTGACACGGTATGCATGTGTGTGACACGGTATGCATGTGTGTGACACGGTATGCATGTGTGTGACACGGTATGCATGTGTGTGACACGGTATGCATGTGTGTGACACGGTATGCATGTGTGTGACACGGTATGCATGTGTGTGACACGGTATGCATGTGTGTGACACGGTATGCATGTGTGTGACACGGTATGCATGTGTGTGACACGGTATGCATGTGTGTGACACGGTATGCATGTGTGTGACACGGTACGCATGTGTGTGACGTGGTACGCATGTGTGTGACGTGGTACGCATGTGTGTGACGTGGTACGCATGTGTGTGACGTGGTACGCATGTGTGTGACGTGGTACGCATGTGTGTGACGTGGTACGCATGTGTGTGACGCGGTACGTATGTGTGTGACGTGGTATGCATGTGTGTGACACGGTATGCATGTGTGTGACACGGTATGCATGTGTGTGACACGGTATGCATGTGTGTGACGTGGTACGCATGTGTGTGACGTGGTACGCATGTGTGTGACGTGGTACGCATGTGTGTGACGTGGTACGCATGTGTGTGACGTGGTACGCATGTGTGTGACGTGGTACGCATGTGTGTGACGTGGTACGCATGTGTGTGACGTGGTACGCATGTGTGTGACGCGGTACGCATGTGTGTGACGCGGTATGTATGTGTGTGACGTGGTATGCATGTGTGTGACACGGTATGTATGTGTGTGACGTGGTATGCATGTGTGTGACACGGTATGCATGTGTGTGACGTGGTACGCATGTGTGTGACGTGGTACGCATGTGTGTGACGTGGTACGCATGTGTGTGACGTGGTACGCATGTGTGTGACGTGGTACGCATGTGTGTGACGTGGTACGCATGTGTGTGACGTGGTACGCATGTGTGTGACGTGGTACGCATGTGTGTGACGCGGTACGCATGTGTGTGACGCGGTATGTATGTGTGTGACGTGGTATGCGCGCGACGCGGTGCGTGTGTGACGCCGTGTGCAGGGCACGGCCAGCATCGAAGTGAGCGCCACGCAGGAGATGTCGAACCTCGTGAGCTACGTGCAGCCGATCAAGTTCGACTCCTTTGCCGACGCCAAGCGTGAGTCTCCCTCCTCCAGCCGCCCCCGGCAGGAGCCGGGGCTTCGGAGTTCAGCCCGCCCGAAATCAGCCACTCCACTCGCCGAGAATGTGTCACCGCTGTAATGCACTTTCGTTGCCCCGTTCTAACGAGATCCATCGTCCCATTGTAACGTTGTTAAACTGTAGCCTTCCATTTAAACGGCACCCGTCTGTTAAACGGCACCCACGCGATAGCCCCTGCGCAACAGTCGAATGTGCTCATGCTTTGATTCTATACTCTAGAGAAGATCCGGTAAACGTGGAACGTTGGGCCAACGTTGGTCCAACGGTTTCGACCACCTGTCAACATTGGCACGTTCACTGGGAGGCGGGGGGGAGACGGGAGTCGGCTGGAGGTGGAAGAGAAGATGCTTGTGCCCGGAGCGGCGGGTCCCGTCTACCGGCATTGCCTCACTCGGCCGCTGTCGCCCCCAGGGAGGAACCGGAACTTCGAGATGTCGTCGTTTGTGGAGACGAAGGGGGCCGAGCAGCTGACCAAGTCTCCTGTGGAGTTCGTTGAGTATCCTCCCCGACTGGACCGCGAGTTTTTTTTTTTTCCGAGAGAGCGGGAGGGGCGCCGTTGCCAGCTCCTCGAAGCGGAGATTTGCTGAACGAGCCTCAACCAGTCACTCGATCACCCTTCTATGATCGTCCAATTTATCACTTAGAGACTTTACCAGGTATTACGCGTGGTAAGTTGGTACAGGGTCCTTCACACAGGCCTGGAATAGCTCTTAAATCTGCATCGTGCCCTCATCCCGGATGCTTGCTTGATTTGTTGCTTGGATGAAATGTTGTCGCGAAGGAAACCCAAAGTTTCGATTTTAAAACTTTCGTGACTGCAAGGATTCATCTTCTTGGTTCTTTCGGTAAAGTCACGTAGAATGAGAATGAAACAATAAAACAAAATAAGACAATAAAATTCTCACGACGTTTCGGCCACAACACAAGTAGCCTTCTTCAGGTGAAGGAACAGACACCCAAAGTGTCGCCAAATCTGGTGATGAAATCACCAGAGTTGGCGACGCCGATAGAGAGGGGAGGAGTCCGACGCTCCCTCACCTCGGATTCTTAGCAGGTCGTGGCACTTAACCCTTGACCCCGCATCAGGTACAACAAGACGCACCTGAGCCGCATCTACCCCAAGGGCACGCGCGTCGACTCCTCAAACTACACGCCACAGCTCTTCTGGAACGCCGGCTGCCAGATGGTGGCCCTCAACTTCCAGAGTCTGGGTGAGTGCTGGCCTGTCGGTGGCCCCCGTGCCCTCCAGGGGCCACCTGGCCACCTCCAGACTCCCACCAAAAATGATCGTAATCATCGTCGTCATTAGCAATGATCAATTCAGAACTGGTTGGAGACCCTCCCCCACACCCCCAAAGCTGTCCCCATCTCTCACAGTTTTGCGATGCTGCAATTCATCCATCTATAGCCCTTGCACATCAACTGATTTTATCGTCCTGTCAGAAGTGTTCCCTTCCTTTGGCTGCGATTCCGCCATTAGCTTCGACCGCTGGCCGTCACCGCTTCTTCCAGCGACGCGTCCTGCCAAAGCTCTCCGACTATCCCTCAGTCCGTAAGATGTCGCCGACTTGCGTATGTTGGCTGATCCACGCGCTCATCTTCCCCCATTCCTCCCCCGCGCCCCCCCACCCCCCCCCCCCAGACCTCGCCATGCAGCTCAACATGGGCATGTTCGGCTACAACGGGCGCAGCGGCTACCTGCTCAAGCCCGAGTTCATGCGGCGCTCCGACAAGCACTTCGACCCGTTCACCGGCAGTACCATCGACGGCGTCATCGCCAACACCGTATCCATCAAGGTCGCGCTGCCCGGCCGCCCCCGACACGACCCGACCCGGCCTCAACCCTGCCCCGGCTGTAACCCCATTTCCTTGCTCAAACCCTGACCTCACTGCAGAACGCTGGCCCCCGGCCCCATTCTCAGATAAGAATGGGGCGGCGTTTCTCACGGAATATTTTTGTTCCGAGATTAGGTGGCACATGACTCGTAGCCACAGCCATAGATAGAGGGAGGGGTTACAGTGAATGTGGTGTGCCGGGTACTGAAATATTTTCCTGGCCCTGCCCCAGGTAGACACATCTGAAATTAAGCATTGCTCATTGGCCAAACATCTTAAGCTGGACCTCCTGGAAAGGAGTATCGGGCAGTGGTGTCTATGCGCATGGCTGCCTGTAATCCAGCACTGGAGGCAGCAGTGAGGATTGGTGGATCACCAGGGGCGGAGCCAGGATTTTCAGCTCGGGGTGACATTTAACAAATGTTAATTTCAAGAATGATTAGAGAGTCAGGCTGTTGAACTAGACGCCATCGGTTGGCGACACACTGACAATGCAGTTGCACGGAGTCCGCCAGACCAAGTGTCGTACACTTACACACGCAGAATGTCACCCCTGTCACCCCCCCTGGCTCCGCCCCTGTGGATCACCACACCAATGTTGTGAAACTTCCTTCCCTTGGGCGTCGCCAGGAGAAGGTGGTATGAGATTGTTTCCCCCTACATGCGTGGGCTTTCTCCAGCTTCTTCGGTCTCCCTTGCACATGTAAACAATCATTAATTGGCCGATAACGCCTTAATATACAGAGGACTGCAGAGCTTGAGCAATTGATGGCGCTGGCTCCTCGCACGGTTGCCTTCCCATGTGCCTGTGGTTCCTCACGCCACGAAGTCCTCTCTCTTCAAAAACGAATACCATGTGACGACGCGTTACAAGTATATTTTTTTTACATGACGTCATTCGTGCAAGCAAAGCTGGTTGACGAGCCACCTTGCTGTAGTGCCGGCTGCTGGCCACCTTCCCCAGTCCAGCGGATCACAGGCGCGCATCACCGCACGCTGTGACACACGTGTGATTATGCTGCTGCTGCTGCATGTGATGATTCGTGCTATCTGCGCCACATGCGCCGTCCGTGTCACCCACTCCATTTGTGTGATCCGTGTGATTCGCGCGTGCAGGTGATCTCGGGGCAGTTCCTGGTGGACCGCCGTGTGGGCACCTACGTGGAGGTGGACATGTTCGGGCTTCCCGTGGACACCAAGCGCAAGATGTATCGCACGCGCACCAGCCGTGACAACAACCCCATCAACCCTGTGTGGAACGAAGAGCCTTTCGTCTTCAAGAAGGTAACGAGCATGCCACAGCCACTGCTCGTAATGGTCCCCATTGTTGTGTCGTCAACAGCCCCCAGCGCAGCGTTGTGGACCTGGTACCATGGTACCAGCCTAATTAGGCCCTCTTGCTCATCCCCGCTCTAACGAGCAATCACGGTGCTACTGCCACGACGGGCGCCGTCACTTGGCCCTAACGAGCACACCCCCCCCTTCACCCCCTGTGGGCGCCGCGCCCAAACTAGCGCCATCACCCGGGCGACCTGCGAAAGAGAGACCTCCCGTCCCGAATTTTCTTTTCCCGCAGGTGAAATTATTTTAATAAAATAACAAAAAAATAACAAGCCGAAAGAGCGTCCTTGCTCGAACGAGCGGCTCGTGCCACGGGGGCCGTCGGCTCCGCCGCGTGCCACGGGGGCCGTCGGCTTCGCCGCGTGCCACCATCCCACCGGCTGTGGCTGTCACCGCAGGTGGTGCTGCCGGCGCTCGCCTCGCTGCGCGTCGCGGTGTTCGAGGACAGCGGCAAGTTCATCGGCCACCGCATCCTCCCGGTCTCCGCCATGCGTCCAGGTGTCCCCTCCCCTCCGCCACATAGACACGCGGCGACGCAAACGGGACAGCACAACGCGCCGCACGCCGCTTTCGCCCCACGCCGCTTGTGCCCCACGCCGCTTGTGCCCCACGCCGCTTGTGCCCCACGCCGCTTGTGCCCCACGCCGCTTGTGCCCCACGCCGCTTGTGCCCCACGCCGCTTGTGCCGCACGCCGCTTGTGCCCCACGCCGCTTGTGCCCCACGCCGCTTGTGCCCTCTCTGCCTCTTCGTTTGCGTCTTGGCTTTCCAGCGAAGGCTGAGCGCGTTCAGGCGTCGGCTGTCCTTAGTAACGTTCGTAAATATTATCCAATAAAGTGAAACTCGAGTATCAAGTCGTATTGCTATTAAGGGGTAAACCAATGGAAAACCGGTAAAGTTGATCAAAACTTGGTGACAAAAACCAGCGCTCGCCCTATTCTCCGCATGTAGGGCAGCTGTAAGGAGGAGTCCATGCGTATGCGTGATTTTCCTTCCTCGTTTTGCGTGTGCGACGCCGCCAGGATACCACCACATCTGCCTGCGCAACGAGAGCAACCAGCCCCTCACCATGCCGGCCATCTTTGTGTTCATCCAGGTCAAGGACTACGTCCCCGATGCCTTCGAGGGTGCGGAGACGCGCACCACCACACGCACCACCAAAGACAAAGATGCCCCGTATAGCCTGTAACAGACTGTTGGGGCAAGTGCTGTTAGCGAGCACCTATGAAAGCCGGCACGGCACACGAGGCGGTGGGTGGCCAACACCACGCCCGGCCGCCTTTGTCTCCCGAGTGGCGATGCTCACACATCACACCAGGTACTCATTTGAGGCTCAGTCGACCTCGGGGAGGCCCAGGACCGGTTCAAATAATCATCATTGGTGTTGGCCGTGAGCGGTAATCTAACTCGGGTCGCCGGGTTCGTAGCGCAGTGCCCTAACTGCTACACTACTGCACATACACACAGCACCACACATGCCGTGTATCGCCGCAAACCGCCTGAATGTGTGCGGTGTCGTTGTTGTGCCCGGCGTGTGTTTTGTCTGCAGACATCATCAGCGGGCTCTCCAACCCCATCCGCTACCAGAGCCTCATCGAGAAACGAGCGCGACAGCTGCAGATGCTTTACATGGACGAGGTCTCGCGCCACACCCACACACGCGCAAGCACGCACATCCCTCAACCCCCATACACGCGTGCACGCACGTCCACGTGGGTTGTCGCAAGGCCGCCCCTGTTGGTGCTAGAAATCCACCCCGTGGTGCGCGAAGGCCGCGGCTGCGGTCACCGTTAATCGATGCTGACGGGCGCCGTCTCCGGGTGACGATCGCGAGCAGCTGGAGGAGAAGAGGCCCACCGCGCCTGCAGACGGCGCCGGTGGGACGTGGCCGGGCGCGGGGCTGGCGGCGGAGCCGCTGGTGACGGACCGGCGAGCGTCGGCGGGGAGGGGGGACGAGCTGACCGCGATGGCGCGGCCGGGTGGGAAGGAGGAGCGGAGGAGCGCCAACGGCGCGGCGCCGCGGATCGGGGCCTCCTGGAGGACGAGCAGCCTGACGCCGTTCGGCACGGCCCTGCTGCAGGAAGCCCTGGGTATGACTTTACCGCACGTCGTACCGCACGACAGCACTCCACATCACGCGCCGCGTCAGTTGTCCCTGCTCGCCGCTGTCCATACGCTCGAGCTGCGTGCGTTCTCTTGTCCGCAGGGTTTTATCCTTCATCTCCGAGGAAGGAGAACATCATCGGTGTCCTTCGAGGTAAGTTCCCCGCCCCCCCCCCCCCCGTGCCCTCAGACTCGTGAGCTTTCCCGCGGCAGCCTGCGCCGCGTCCAGCGAGGGTGCTGGCAGAGTGGTGTTGAGGGTTAGCAGCAGCGCGCCACTATTATCGGGAATGGGCCTCCCTGCCCTGCGCGATCACCCCTGATGCACCGGGGCGATAGGTCTACGGTCATGCGGGGCATGTTTTGGCGGGAACTAGCGGGAACTAGCGGGCACCAAGCTCACCGTTCCCCTCCCCCACCCCCCCCACCCACCCCCGCACGGTGCGGTATTCGGCCACGCAGAGCTGCGGCCAGCGTCGCTGGAGGAGCTGAAGCAAAGCCGGGCGCTGGTGAAGCTGCGGAGCAAGCAGCACAAGGATCTGCAGGAGCTGGCGCGCAGGAACGTGAAGCGCGCCGCCGAGACGGGCAAGGAGCACGCGGCGCAGCTTGCGGCGCACGCCGACCAGCAGCAACGCCGCCGCACCTTCGCCGAGCGCAAGACCTTCTACGCCCGCAGGTACCCCCCCCCCTCCCTCCCTCCCCACCCTCCTTCCCTTCGGGCCCACACGCGGTTGGTACCATGGTCCCTCCACGCCTCTTTCTCGTTGCACAGCCTGCTGGGAGGCGGAGCGTCCGCGGAGGCGCGGGCAACGGCGGCCGTGGGGCAGAAGGCGCTCGAGGTGGCCGAGCTGCGGCGCCGGCAGCGCGAGGAGCTGCGGGCCCTCCGCTTGGAGCAGCGCACGGTCGAGAGAGACCGCTCCCTGCAGTATACTGCCCAGGTGCTGCCACGCCCCGCTGCGGCACCGTGGCACGAGCACCGCACTCAAAGTGCACGTGCGATTGGATATAAATCCCCCCCCCCCCCCCCCCCTGCAGTGTGACGAAATCCTAGCGGTTTCTGCCGGACGTTATCTCACCTGTTGGCTCGAGTGTCTCGCGTAGTCCGTTCCCGTGTGACCCCGTGACCACCCCCCACCCCCGCTGCCCTCCGCAGTTCTATGAGCGGCTGCTGGCGGCAGCGCAGGACAGCCAGGCGACGCTGCTCAAGAAGCTGACGGAGACGAGCGAGAAGTATGAGCGCGCACCACCGCAAAATCCCGAACCCGGGAAGCTTGCACCGCAAGACGCACCACACAGTGCACATGTAGTCTAGAGAGAGGCAGTCGGTATTTGGGCTCTGTGCGAGTGTACAAAATAAAATGTGGATATATTTGCCATCTTAATTTTGGTTGAGCTTTTAAAAATTGCTCCTTTGGTTTTGATGCAAAACCAAATCAATGGGTGTATATGTTCCCACGTGACAACCTGATTGGATTGACTGGCGGGTGGTGGACAGTCATAGTTGACAATTGACATTATACTTGCTCAATTTACCAAAACAAACTAATTATGAATCGTTATGGAATCTGAATGCAATTGCATCTTAAGCTGCTGCAGAGACTGTTCAGAGAGGAGATCGGTCATAGGCAGGGAAGAGAGATGAATGTCCTGAGCCTGGACTTTAACTGAGGCAGGGAAGTCAGCAGCATGGATGGCTGAGAAAAGGAAGTTCTAGACTGAGAGGGCAGCAGTAGAGGAGAATGAGTTACTATCTCTTATTACTATTTTTATTTTACCAGGTAAGGCCCACTGTGCTATATAGGTATTTTTCAGAAGCAACCTGGCCACAAATGATAACTTGGCGAAGTGGCGTACGTGAAAATTTATAGCAGCCAAATGCTTTCAACGCATGTTTCTAAATGAAGAGGGGACCCGGAGAGAAATCCACATAACCATGGGGAGAATGTGCAAACTCCAAATAAACAGGCATCGTCAGGGTCGGGATCGAAACCCATGATCTGCTGTATGCAAGGCCAGGTAGTTAACATCTTGCCACCATGGCCGGAGAGTCACGGGGATTTTGACCGCTGGTCTTGGGCCGTCTCCCGTGCCGGCAAGCCGCAGGGCAGCCACGACAGGCAGCGGTTTTGGCACGAGCCGCGCTGATGACAGACCGTATCATGTGCAGGGAAAAGAGGGAGCTCAAGAAGCAGATGGATACCCTGCGGCTCGGCAAGGTGGAGGCCGCCTGCAAGGAGGTCAAGGACAAGCAGGAGTTGGAGAGGTGAGCAAGGCCATGAAATCCTCACCACCACCCTGTCACACCAAGAATTCCACACCATCAGAGGAAGCTCCACACCACCACCATCTGCGTTTGTCCGTGTGTGGCACCGCATGTCTGCGTGGCCGTGCAGGCACAAGGAGCAAATCACCAACACTCATATCCAGGAGGGCGTGGTGAAGCTCAAGGCGGTGAGAGGCTCACTCTAACACGGCAATTGCAGTGCGATGTAATGGTGGTCACCGTATTGTTGGTAGTGTGCTGTTGAGACCGTGGTAACGGAGTGGTGCATATTGCAGTAGGTAATAGCACGGTGTTTCCTTCGGTGCGATGCGGTAATGTTAATAATGCCATGGCGTGTTGTGGTGATCGGCGTAATGTTTGAATGGCACGGTGCGGTGATGTCGCGGTGTGGACGAGCAGCTGCTGGAGTCCCAGAAGAAGCGTCAGGAGCGCATCGAGGAGAAGCACCAGCAGGTGGTGGCTGCTGTGAAGCAGGAGGAGCAACTGGTGAGCAGCATTGCCTGTAGGCCAGGCCGTGTTCACGAGCACATTGATGTGTTTCGGGAGTGGTGGCGCAGTGGTTAGCAAACTACGCGACAGACCTACTGGCCAGAGTAAAATTTTATGACAATGCCCAATATTAGCGGGAGTGATATCCAAACCGGTCCTGTGCCCCAACGAAGGTCAACTCAGCCTTAAAGGAGTACTTGGTGTGTGGTAGACACGTGCTGATGTTTGCATGTGTATTTGTGTGTGATCTCAGTGCCGCAGGGAGGTTGAGCGTGCCTTTGAGGAGTGGCTCCAGTGCCAGTCAGAGGGGGCAGAGAGCGGCCGCCAGGAGCAGATGGCACGACCGTGACGTGCATGCCCACCATGGGCACACTGAGAACACCACCACATCAAGACCTCTCTCCCACATCACCGGCTATCCTTTTTTACTTTATTTATTTCTTAATAACTTTGTACAACTTCTCCAAAACGGGTTTTCTTGGGGAACTTTTTGTATCACCCTTTTGTATTTTCCCCCATCTCTGTTGAACGTTGTCTGCTTTGGGAGGGGTTCCCGTGAGAGTTGTGTTGCTGCCTTTGCTGCTGTGGCAGGGGAACTGTGGGGGCAAAACCGCAGCCCTCACTCCCCACCTGGTTTGCGAACGCCTCTCCCTAGCGTTTTTGGTGACACGGAGCTCCCGTGCTGCCACTTTCCCCGTGGCAGTGTTCGCGGTTTGTCGCTTGCTGCTGGTTCCTCCCGGGTGGACGTGGCCACTGCCCGCTACTGGCGCGCCTCCCCCCCCACCCCCACCTCTCCCCTGTGGTCGGCCATGGATTCGTGATGATCACAGTCGCTGCTGCCGTCTCCCGTGAGCCATGCGAGACGTGGCTGCACTGAGGCTCCATCTGCGCGAGGGCTCTGCACGTCGTGTGCGCGTACCGTACGCGCGTTTGTACAAAGTTGAATAAATGCACGGACTGCACGCCACGCTGCCTCCAGCCGTTTCTCAGGAGACGTGCGTGTCTTGCGGAGCTATCGTAGCACCATCGTAAGATCCAGGATCCTCGACAGGAATCCACGAGACTGCGGCAACTTAGGGGACCACAAACGGTAGCAGCAGCACCACCACCCTCCTCCTGCGAAAGAGTCTTGAGACTCGGTGAGGCTTACCTCTGCAAACAAGTGGAATAATCATAATGTAAAACAAAAATAATCTGAAATTGGTAATAAGGTTATCTGTTCTATAAAATGTTACGTTTTGTGTTGAGGGTAAACACAAAAAGGGAACAAAGTAAGTTGTCATCGTGTTTGTAATAGGTAGGTACAAAATAATAAAAGTTTAAAATGTTTAAAATATTTAGCACATTGGCAATCGTTTCCATTTGTATGAAACCAAACTAACTTCTCTAATTTTGTCTGGAGACATCGCCAAATAGTTCCAACTTTAGGTAATGTATATTCTCTGGCATAGTTTTACTTTAGCGCATGGCATGAGAACATTTATTCTTCCGCTTGTCAAACAATGCAAGCTTGTTCGTAATTTTAAAACCTTCTAAACAGTGGTGTGGTTAATAGCCATGCACACCCTTCAGCGCGATCTCTCACATACACACTGGTTTTTTGTTCACTTACACAACAGTAATCTCGCACTGTGGAGGGTTTGTGGATCGCGCACACGTTAAACTCCGTTCCCCCTGGGCATCGAGGTGTCATACCCTGGCTCGTCAGACGGCGATACAGTAAAAAATATGGACTCCACTTGTTGCATCCATATGGGATAGTGTTTCCCCCCAACCTGGGTGGTAAACCGCCATTAAATAGCCAGTAATACCTTTGAGGGCTGCAGAATTTCGGTAATTGTTGGCACTGGGTCACCACGTTTTCCCGCTTCTCGTGGTTCTTCAATGCCGAGTCGTTTCTTCAAGCAGATATTGTGCGACAGCACATTACAGGTTGAATTAATCGTCCACGTGGTGCTGCAACCTCTTGCTAAGTAGGGAGCCACCACTGGGGTCATTCTCCGTCACATGGGGCCGTGAGAGCGAGCGGAAGGGTGGGGGGGGGGGGGGAGTCACATCAGTGACGAGAGATGTCGGTGCGGCCAGGCTGTCGCTATCTTTTACCTGTTCCAGGCACGGGCAGTGGTCTCCATCGCCTGCTGGAGCCCTGGGCAGCCTCGCTTCTCGTGCAACCAACTCTTAGATGAGCCGGAGTCCCACGAGCTGCGCATGGCATGGTGGCGGGACACTGCAACGGCAGCAAGTGAACCTGCTGCCTGGATTGTTTGCGTCATAGACGAGGCGTACGTTTGTTGAAGAATTGACGGAACGCACAGGGTCAGACACTTTCACATGGCCTGTGGTGACTGCAAAGACAAAGAACTCCCACAGCTTGTTTGAGGACACGGGATTTTTTTTACTTTACAAAAACTTAAAAAGTTTTAACGGTAATTCCCATTTTTTAAAAGTCCCACGTGCGAGCCAATGCAAGATATGACCGAGCTTTATCGACAGCCAAGCGGATGACCTTCGCCTGCAGGTGCCTGGACAAAAGGAAACCCCGTCTGTGGGTGCTCGGGCCAATCCAGGTTGACTCCAGCCATGACAGGTGTAGGAGGGCGCCAGTCGTGGATTCAGTTGGCATCCGAGAAAACCGTCAGAATTCACGATGTAAGGGCAGAGAGAGTTGCTGGGGTCCACACGGGACACTGCCCACCCCTTAACAGGATACTTCACGTCATCACCGTCATCATGAACTTCATAACCATCACTCCATTACCCGAAGACGCGTGCCCCTAACGGCAAGCAAGTCGTACCCAGTGCACGAGTTCTATATAAACAGTACGGACGAGGCATGGGCACGGCAATGGACACAGTGCCATCTGCTAAAGCTGGGGTGTGGCTTTATCGTCGCGATGACGGCAAAGGGGCCGTGTGATTAAACACCGCGCCAGGTATTCGTTTAAGGCTGAGAACGTACAGGATCTGTTCATAATACACGTCACCGATGACCACTGTTGACCTTGGCTGGGAATTCAACTTGGGTGGCTGGGTTGGTGGTGCAGCGCAGGGACCGCTGCGCCGCCACACAGCACTGTGTCCTCTGCTGGGATCAGGCCTCACACTCCGCGAATCGTGAACGCGGAGAAAACCGTGCAACGCTTCCAGGTTCTCCCTTGCACAGCGCCGCGAATAAACTACACAGCATGTACGCAGGTCGTCGTGTAACCATGACGACCCCTCGCGGGCTAACGAGACCCTTCATACAGCGGAGAAACAAAACCGAGCCTCCTTACAAAAATCTACAATATACAAGTATATATTTGGAAAATCTACAATATACAAGCATATTTTTTCTTAAACATTTTTTTACATCTATTATTAGCTGCAAAAACAAGACTTCAGTGTTTTTATTATTCTCCGCTCACAGCTCAGTAGTTGCATTCGCAGTGTGCGGGCCCGGTCGTTGGACGACATCGAGGTGAGTGACGGGCCACCCTGCGGCAGGGAGGCACCAGCCGACTGGCGCCAGCGGGGCCCACCCCATCGCGGCCGACGCCAGCGGGGCCGTCCGTCGTGTACGAACCTCGGCGCCGAGCAGCCGGCAACGTGGGACACGTGCATGGCGTGGAACACTGGGAGCATCGATGCCAATGTCCAATTTTGGCCACCGGCCCCTAAAAACACTGGCCAGAACCCCCGTCTCAGCAAAGCAGGCTCCTCCAAACCGGGCCGCGACTAGGCGTGAGAGAGGCCCTGCTGATATTGCTTGTGTGTTGGGCCACTCGCAATGACCCGCGGCTCGGACAGACGCATCCGCTCCCATTGGGTTGAGCAGCGGGCTGGGGCTAACCCCGAGATGAGTGCCAGGTGGGGCACCGCTGCCTGTTGGGACCGGGGAAACCAAGAACAGAACCAGACTCGACGAGAGTGGGTGCGCAGGCAGCAGCCAACCCTGCCACCTGCTCCCACTCCACTATAAATTACAATGCCTAGGGCCTTTCCACCTACAATACTTGATAAATACAAAAAAATAACAAACTAAAAAAAACTTGACGGGTAATACTATAAGAAGAATCCTCAAGGGGGAAAACAGCGAGTTGATGTGAACACCTGGGCTTGGCAAGTTCCAACCCCCCGGCCAGCGGAGAGGTGACGACGATGACGACGCACGGCGTTCTATCACGATCCACGGCCTCGGATGGAGCCGACCGCGACAGCCGCCATCGGCTCCGGATAATTTGCCCGCGCTTCCTCCCCCCGTCCCCTGGGCGCGGCACTCCCAGCGTAGTGATTCACTTTACAAAAACAAACATTAGTGTCTTGAGAAATGTGCGGATATGTATAAAATGAATAAGACCTATCTTTCCCAGTGTGCACCATACAGTATTTTTAGCACATGATATGTAAAGTATGAGATGTCAATTAAAAAAAAATGCTCGGAGGAGACCAAGGCTGGCATCGTTATAAGACGTGTAGAAATGTCGAGCACTGCTAATTATCTTTCTTCAATTGCCAAGCGCCGACCACGCTCCAGCCTTCGGCGACCACCAAGACGTCCGTTTCAGGTGTGATTTTAAACTCTGCAGAGTTTACCTTGCTCCGTGCGAGAGCCGGGTCCCCCCACACCTCAGGCTTTCAAGTATCACACGCAGCAGAGAATGACTCCGGCGCCGCAGCGCCACAGGGCCAGTCGCCGGCATAGGGCAGCCCCCAGCGCTTCGCTCGGCCGTTTCGCCATGACTATGCCGCGACAAACATTCCCGTGCCGCGGGAGGAATCGCGGGGCGGTGCGGATAGGGTCGAGGGTCGCGTCGTGCTCGGGGCGAGAGTGCGTCTTGCGTAAAGCCCTCATCGTGGCACCTTGTGGCGGAGCGGGGTGGCGGAGCGGGTTGGCGGCGGCAATCGGACGGGCGAGGGGCCGGCTATCGGCCGCGGTGCTGCCGCATGAGCGGTACGATGCAGGCGGGCGGCCCCGCGTTCTGCAGGAACGGGTGCTGCAGCAGCTCCAGCGCCGTGGCCCTGAGCGCCGGGTCCCGCACCAGCATCTGGTCCAGGAAGCCCCTGAGCAGCGGTGATGCCTGGTCGACACACACGCCCCCCCACTGTTAGCCACCACTCCTTCACATCATTCGTAGTGCAACTTTCATTGTTATACATCAGTAGGTGTAAGTTCTATTTTTGAAAAATCTGTTTCTAGGAAATTCTCTCTAACTTTAATGGAGGAAAGGCTTATCCACGTTCCTTTTAACACAAATCGACACTCGCATCAAAACACCGACGGTCGTTCACGCCAACGGTATAGGCCTAACAACTTTCATTACATCGTAATCCAGTTCGATATGGATTGGGACAGTGCTGAACAGGCATAGTAGGAAAACGGCAGAGAACGTTGCCGGTGGTTTGCGAGCACTAAAGACAGCCGTGCAGCTGGTTTGGCGGCGCATCTACCCACCTTCTGGATGTTCTTCATCTTGGGAGGGACGTTGTCGCGGATCCTGCGCATGGCCTGCAGTGGCGGCTCGTTGAAGTACGGTGGCTCCCCGTCAACCATCTCGATCACCATGATGCCCAGCGACCAGACATCCACCTATCCCGTCGCACCGCCCGGTCACACGCCACGCATTAAAAAAAAACACTGCTTTGAACTACAAAGGCCACCTCCGCCATCCACAAATACAACCGCTGCCACCAAACAATACACTCCGCGGACGCTTGTCAAGTCTGCAGACTTCGTCAAGACCATGTGCGCACAGAGTCTACTAGACTAAAGCACGTCGCTTCGCAGGAGGTGTGGGGGGGTTGGTCACCTCGGGTCCGTAGGGCAACCGGGAGATGACCTCTGGCGCCATCCAGTACGGGGTTCCCACCAGTGACTTCCGCCGTGTCACCTCCTTGGAAACTTGAGCGCAGAACCCGAAGTCCGAGAGCTTGATCTGGGGAGCAGAAGAGAGGCGGTGGCACTCGACTGCACTCACGGAGCTGACAGGAGGTCGGCCCCCAAACACTACGGGGCACGCATTTCTCTACAGTTGCCTCCAACACCAGCTGCACACTTGACGGAGCACAGCGTGAACGTGGGAAATGCAGTAAAATGACGAGACGTGTGTGACTGTCAAGTGTGATACCGCACGCCGTGACAGGGTCACGCAGCATTCACCCTTTGGCGCCAGCCTCTAAGAGTCCCTCCTCCTGGCAAAGCCGTCAAAACGAGCCCCCCTTCCTGTTCCCAAGTTTTCGACAGAAACGGTCGATCTGATGCAGCCAGGAGGCTGTGGGCCGCCTTCTCGGCCTCCTCCTCCATCCACGTGGTCCTCTAGCTCAGAGAACCCAGTGGGCACGGTCAAGCAAGGGGAAGCGAGGAACCACGTGCCCAAAGTACACCAGTTGGTGTTCCCGTACCATGCAGGTACAAAGCCTCATCATGGTCGAGAGCAGTAGCCTGTGGTTAGAAACAGTCATCCTATCAATTCCCCAAGATTTAGTGAAGAGACCTGTCAACAAAGGAGTGAAGTCGCGGCCCCCAATGATCCCCGTGCATCAGAGCGGGTGCACGCAGGGAAGAGTGCGCGTACCCTTCCGTCGGCCGTGAGCAAGATGGAGTCGCTCTTGATGTCGCGGTGGATGACGCCCTGGCCGTGCAGGTAGGCCAGCGCCCGCAGCACCGACACGCACACCGTCGCGATCTGCTCCTCGTTCATCCTGGCATCCATCGCACGACGTACCGGCGGGGGTCAGGGTGCGTACGACGGCACGAGGGTTTTAACGGACAGCCTCCAAATCGCCTGGGGCCATGCGCCCGGCGTGTGCGCGTGGGGCCATGCACCTGGTGTGTGTGACGATGTCGGTGAGCGCGCCGCCCTCCAGGAACTCCATGACAACCCAGAGCTCGTCGGCGACGAGGTAGCTGTTGTACATGTCCACGACGTTCTCGTGGTGGTACTCGCGCATGATCACCACCTGATGTACACGCGCAGACTCGCGTTACACTAACGCGAGCATTCAGCCTCCTCCTAGGCCACACTCGGGGTGCCGTGGATATGGTTACACCGTGATATATGTACGATACAAGGCCTTTGATAGTAATGTTGTCCATTTGGCAAAATATCATTGTGATTAGCGTCACTCATCGAGTTGTGTTTCATTTCCTCGCATAATATTTTAAGAATAACAGTACATTTTGATTTAAAGCTTTCGTAACTGCAGGGATTCATATTCTTGGTTCTTTCGGTAAAGTCACGTAGAAGAGAAACAATGAAATAATACATCTTTTTTATTTAGTTAATTGTTTCCCTTCTGCGTGACTTAGAATATAATATAACACAGTAGTTGAGTTCTAAATAGTTATAGTACCCATTAAACGTGCTTGTTATCCCTTTTCAGAAATTATACGCAGCCTACACTATCGTAGTGGTTAATTATATTATTCCCTGTGCAAATGACAGCACGTGTGTTATTGGTTGAAAAGTGGCATTTATTAGGAGCCTCACGGTAAGCTTAATAAGACTAAAACTTTACAGGAAAACGCTAAACACAATTACAGGGTAATGGAAGCCTGACATCACGACGATCTTCATATCGTGCAAGTGTATGTGACGGCAACCCGAGTGTATGCGGCCCTGAAGAATTCCAACCCGTCCACCTTGCCACTTCACGCTCTTTGGAAGACTGAGAGAATAGAATGAGACCCGCACCGTGAACGCCGGTGCTGTGCGCCTCACCTCGTTGAAGAGCAGCTCCCTGCGCTGCTGCTTGCGCAGGTGCATCTTCTTGACGGCCACCTGGCGGCCCGAGCGCCGGTCCACGGCGAGGCACACGACGCCCGTGGAGCCCTCGCCGATCTTTATGAAGTTCTCCAGGTACTCGCTCGGGTCGCCGGGGTCCACCACCTGTTGCAGCGCCGCGCGGAACTGCTCGTGCGAGATGCGCGGGGGCTCGCGCTGCTGCTGTTGCTGCTGCTGGTGGTGATGATGGTGATGCGGAGGCTGCTGTTGCTGCGGGGCCAGTTGGTGGCTGGGAGTCGTCTTGTGCACCACAGGTGGAGCCGGTTTACCACCAGGGGGAGGCCCTGTGTAGTGAGGCGAAGGGTGAGCGCCGTGTTGCGGATGTGGCAGGGCGTGCTGCGCCGCAGGCCCCACCAGCTGTGCGCCTGCCGCAGTGTAGGTATGCTGCTGCTGCTGCTGGTGCTGGTGCGGCGGCGGCGGCGGTGGGGCTCCGTAGTACGGAGGGGGGCCGCCGTGCTGCGGCGGTTGTGGCGGTAGCGGCGGCGGCTTGTACGGTTGCGGAAGGGCACCGGCTCGAGCGTGCTGGCCCGGGGAGGCCGTGGGCTGCTGGGGGTAGGGCGGCTGGGGCGGCCGCTGACGGGGCAGCTCCACGGAGGCGTGCGTGCGCGGGCTCACGTGCTGCCCGTAGCCGGCGATGGGAGCCTGCTGCTGCTGCTGGTGCTGCTGCTGGTGCTGCTGGTGCTGTTGAGACCGCGGGGTCGCGTGGGGGACTGGGTGCTGGGGGGGCGGCGGACGCGACGTTGCCGGTTTTGGGTAGGGCGCCGGCGGATGGCTGGATGGACCCGGCGAGTACTTACCTGGACCCATGTCCCCTGGTCGGGCCTGTGGGAACACATTCTCGCATGACCCCCAATTCCTCTTTTTGCCAAACCTATAGAAAAACAAGTTTGGTAAGAATACGTGTGCGAATGGGGGGGGGGGGGTGTGGCACGTGCCCCCCCAATGATCCGATCGAAATGAGGAATTTGGAATTTCGATCGGATCATTAGGGTTTATTAGTAATAAATCGGTATTTTGCGCCCCCCACTGCCACTGTGTAGCATATTATTATTTGCCAGGGACTCTATGAGATGACAGGACATTAGTCTGAGTCCATAATTGGCAATAAGTAATGGCAAAGCAGTTATAAGTGACTCACATAATTGTGCGCAGTTGCGTATACAGTACACGACTTCCCTGAAGGCATTCACCTTCAGCGAGCGCGATGCCGATCACACAACGCGGTTCGAATTCGACCCTCGATTGATGGCTATGCCATCGCCGCACTCGCGTCGAATAAAAAGCAAGGGATAAGTCCTTACTGACTAACAACTCCTCTATCATTTTTCATTGCTGGAGGTGGCAGATGTGCAGCTGTCTGGGTAAAACACATTTCCAATTTGTAACGTTTGCTCTGGTTTGTGGTCCAAGTTTTGGGAAACCCTCTTGATCAAATGGGCTGGTTTTCAAAACAGCAAGTCTCTGATACCAACACAACTTCATACTGCATGGTGGTTTATATTGTATCATCTGGCCAAGAGATATCGCGCCCTCCCCTCTGTTATAAACAGATGGATGGACATCACTAAAGTATACATGCTTTCAACTTAAGTTGCAAGGCATTAATAACCACAAAATGCATGCATATTACACACAAAGTTCATCATTTTGTATAAAGGCATATACAGACACTCATTAGTTAAATTGAAACATCTGAACATACATAGGACCCCAGAGCTTGTGCAATTGTTAATACTGCCGGCTCACTTCCTGGCTGCTGCTCTCCAGCATGTCTGTGGTTCCTCAGATTGCGAGATGAAACTTGCTTGAATGACGACACTACATAAAACTAAACACTTTATACGATTACAAGTATTGCTTTTCGACTCACCTGTAACCCAAGAGCTGCTTTGCAGATAAGTGTCGATAAAAACAGACACGAATAAAGGTTAAAGATATGCCTACAAACCGCCACGGTTGCATGAGCAAGCTTCCTCGCGGTGGAACCACAGATAACCATGCCGCTGGAGTGACCCCGTCAGTAGAGAACTAGTGGGGTCACGACCGGAGAGGTGCATGCGCAAGAGGGGACAGCCCCTACCTTTCCCGCAGCTGCCACAGGGCCCTGCCTCGGGTAGCTGTTGGACTTGTACTGGGGCGGCGAGGGTGCCGGGGCGTCAGAGCGGCTGCCCATGCTGGGGCTGTCCCCCTCGCGCAGGCTGGGCCCGGACTTGGGCCGTTCCTTACGCTCGGCCAGCGTCGTCGGGCTCACGAAGGACGACTTGGGCCTCCTGTCGGCCGCGTCGCCATGGTCCCGGTCCCGGTAGGCCGCGTGTTTGCCGGGCAGCTCCGCCGGGCGGTACGACACCTTCCTGACATCGGCATATGCGCCGTACTCGGGGGGTGGCGGCCGGCCCTGCTCTGCCTGATGAAAGTGCCACTTGTACGGCTCCTGCTGCTGCCCATTCTGGCGGTGCTGCTGCTGGAGTGGAGGGGCTTGGCGAGAGGGGGGCGGGTGCCGGTTGCTGTTGTGGTCGCGGTCGTCGTAGCCGTGTTGGTAGGACTTGCCGCCACCGGGCCACTCCCTGTACTCGTAGTCGGCACGGTGGGGCTCGCGAGCCGGCGTGAGGTGCCGCCCCCCGGCCTCCTCGTCACCGTCAGGCTGGTCGGCCTGTCCGTCCTCCTCGATGACGCTCGGACGCTGCTTCCCCGAATCACGGCGCGCGTACGGAGGGCTCTCCTTGCGCAGGGAGTTTGAGCGCGACACTGAGATGTTGCGGAACTCCGAGAGCAGCCCGTTGATGGCGCTCTCTGCCCTGGGTTTGCTGCTGCCCCTCACGATGGGCTGCAGGGAAGGAGCAGAGACGGAGGCATTTGAGGCTGCGCGACGTTAACTCTGGTGAACGTCATCCTGACATTACTAATCACAAAGTTCAAGACACCCATTAGTACGGTACCACGCAAGACAAGGCAGTGAAGACAGTTATTTGGAACATCCACTTAAAGAAAGCTGCAATGCAATAAAGCAAGCAGCTATTATCTTGTAGATCACAAATTCATGCTTTGGGTCCGCGCCTATCTGACACAAGTTTGAAGCTTCATTCATGAGAAAATAGCTTTACGGAAACTTTTAGATGAGCTTTAGTGATGTCATTGCGGCGCACCTGCCATACTTTTTTAAAACGTCACTGCAGTGACATGGGGACACCGAAACATCACATTAGTGCTATTTTACTCATTATTATAGCTTGGTATTCGAACAACTCTGAACACAATGCCTCGGCACGTATCTACACAGCGGTGACTCAACACTGTGATCCAGCACTTTGGAGACAAGGGTTGGTGGATCGCACAGATCTGTGAAACTCAGAAAGCCAATGGGCTGCGAGGTGGCACGCAGTTGGCTGTACAGAGAATATATTCCTGATTTCATCTGTGTGGCTATTTGAATGTAATTCCTCCGACGTGTGGAGTTTCCACAGAATACCATTTTTTTCCACATGCAAGACACTCTTTAAAATAACACTGGCGAAACATTCTAAAGCAGGACCTTTCTGACAGAGTTCTGAGACTCTGAGCCTTCCCCGGATAAACGACTCTGCTTTCACTGTTCTTAATCTTGCATCTTCCTGTTATCACGGCACACACAAAAGCAATTTCCAACTGGAAGCAGACCAAACCCGCAGGGTGTTATGACAAACCACTGAGCCGCAAGCGATAATTCAAGCTGCCACTGGTGAGACCATCGTTACGGTGCCCGGCGCACGCTTCTGCCGCTTTCCGCGCTGACAGATGGCACCGTGGTGAAGCTCCCCGGGCTGGCACTCGCCCAGACAATCAGACCGACGTGGCACCAACCCCGTTTAGCCGGCGCTCAGCCCAGCCCCACCATCGGCTGACATGCGCCCTGCCTGCCGGTGCCCGCATGTGTTCTATATCCACTGGGCGTTATTACGCGTTCGTTTGGCAGATGGCGATTCTCTTAAAAGGAAGATGCAGCATAATAACAGATACACTGTGTCCTCCTTCAAATACTGGGCTATCAGGTATGGGGGAAGGGGGGCGGAAGTGCTCCAGAATAATAATTCCTTCAAAACAAAAAGCCCCATTACTTCCAAGAACAACTAATCTAGCCAATTCACACAACACGTAATGTTATTTACGTGGAATATAAAATGTATATTCTGGATGTATTTGCATTCTAAAAGCAACGTAAAATTTATGTACAAAATCAACACTGAAAGCACCGCACATCGCAAGGCCCTTTCTGGAAGACACAAGGCAATACTCGAGGAGTAGCTGTACAACCCGATACAAAACTGGGACACTGTGGTGAGGGACATTTCGGCGCAGAGTGGAGATACAGCCAACTACAAGTCAGCACTGCTTTATGTGCCGACCAGTCCGAGTCTTGGGAGCATGATGTTTAAATCTCTTTCCCCAACCCACCCCTCCAAATTGATTAAAATTTTAAGGGATCCCCCTAAAAAAAACTCCATTATGTACATCTGTTGAACTTCTTTCGCACCGTACATAGCCAACCGTGTTAATCGGAAGATGTGGTACATCCACCACAGCTGTTGCTGTTTTGAGGGCGCATAGCGGCTCTGATCTTGTAGCTATGATTTTCAATCATGAATTACAAGCTTTATGAATGAGAATAAAATACTTTAACGTTCACATCAGGTGAGTGCTGTAGCTCAACCTCGTAATATTACTGCAGTGACGCATTAAAAGGTACAGCAGTCGAGCTGCGCAGATGTGCTACAGTGTGCCTCTGAAGTCAATTAAAAGTATTTTTTTAGTCATTAATATTCAGATTTGTGTTGGACAACTCAGGAAAGCCAATGGTTCATAATCTGTGAAACAAGAGTTTACTCTTTGTATTTCATCTTCCTTTAAGAGCGAAGATCTCACCAGATCCCTGCTCTACAAACGATGTAACCGTTTGATATCTAGTAACGGTCTTTTGCAGTGCATGGTGGATGGCCAGTTAATCAGCGACCGTTATTAGAACCACGTGAGGGCCGATGGCGACGAATCACTTTCCGCAAGGGATACCTGCCGAAGTGATCTGATCGCTTCAATCAAAAGCTGGTATTGAGAATGGCGCAACCGTCGAGTGCCATCACGCGCAAGGGGAACACGCTTGCTCGTGACTGCGCGCGGCGATGACAGGCAATGACCGGAGACAGAGGGAGACGAGCACGGCTCCAGCGAGATCCGTGGGGCCCGCTAAGCCCGTCCTGTGCCAGTCCCGTTGCAGCGCCATCATCTCGCCGCATCGGATGGCAACATAATTGTTACATCGCAAACCGCTTACCGAGTATTCGCAGTTTCGCAGTTCTGGGAAAACGCTCTGGGTTTTTCCCCCCTCCGTCCCTCTTCAGCCTCCCCTCTGCTGCATGCGTCTCATCTTGGGTGAAGGGGGAGGGGGGTGTGCGGCGAGGGCAGTGATAGTGTGTGAATGCTATACGCTGTGGTTTCCCAATAACTGAAGCTCCTGGCAGACGGGAGTGCGTGTGGGTCCTTCAGCCACAGTCACTTTCCCTTTGTGTTGTCAAAGGGAGAACGGAGCAGAACAAAAAAAAAACCTCAATACGGGGTGGAGAAAGGCCTGGCTTGACGCTGCGTTGTGTTCTCCCCACAAATCCATGACTCAAAGGAGGGGAAACTACGCACACGTGCATTTCACAGGACAGCTGATAATCACTATCAGGAGGCTTACATTCCAAACACGTAACCTCTAAACCTTTCTCATGTGCGACCCTTCTGCATTACTACACGCACACGTGTTACTGTAATGGTCGTGTGTGCAGCCCGCTGGCATCGGTGTTAAATTATGCTGAAAAGTCGTAAGCTGTTATTACCCTCCCTCTGCCAACGTAATGGGCTCTTGTTAAACTCATTGCCGCCCGCCCACGTCGCCTCACGCTGCGGAGCAAGCGGAGGCACATGCGCCCCGATGAGCGAGGCACGTCTTCCCCGGGCCTCGCAATACGAGGGCCACCTCTGGGTCATCTGTGCTGCGCCAACAGCTGAGGGGGGTCAGCGCCACATGCCTGAGCTGGGGCTGCCGGGAAAATCTCACACATTCCAGCATACCGCCTCACTGTATATCATGGCACTGTAGCCGTCCTCCCTGCCTATGCCTCACTGGTTTATACGTGTGTGTGTATATATATATAAAATGGGTCACTTAAGAGAGAATAGCTCGAAAAGACTCGTTTTCTTAAATCGCGTGTCACTGGTAACACGGACAAACTGAGGTAGGGCGGCTGGGGCTGTGTCTCAAACTTACAACGAAACGGGTCGTTACGAAGGGGACGGCGAGGAATGGACCGCACCATCGCGGCAGTAAAGCAGCAACAGCGCGCACGAGAAATAACGGCTTGCGTGAAATAAGAACTATTCATGCGCAGCCAGCGACATGGGGGGACCAGCATTAGCACCGTTGCCATGGAGTACGGCGCTCGGTTGCATAAGACAATTTACAATCGAAATTGATCAGAGGGCCATTCGTCACCACACTGTGGGAAAGTCAGTTGTTCTCCTTCAGAAATAGTCACCCTCCCATCATAGTGCTGCCCCAAGCTCAATTGCACAGGAAAACACTGCGAATGGACTTTTGTCAGCGCCAGAGTGGATTAGGGGTAACTTTCCCTCAAACTGTTTTATGGCACCGGCCACAAGGACCCCGTTGAGCAATTCTCTGCTCGGACCGAGCAATGTACACACACGTTCCATGAGGTCCGGCCACTATGAGGAGCGCATGTGTGAGGCCAACACAGCGCTGAACTATTTTTCAGGGTGGCAGTAAAAGGTGTTCCAGCCAACCAGTAGTCCTAACCTTATCTCAAACCTAACCCTGTCCATTCCCTTATTTCCTTGCACATGGTTAAGTTGAGTCCATGACCGAGCCCCGTAAGACCAAAAAAACTAGCTTAGCTTTGCAGCAGTGGTATTTTTCACAGCAGTCGAGTTTTCCCATACACCATCAGCATGTGCAGGGCATGGAGTGAGAGATACCAGCAAGCAGTTGGCTTGCGGGCAAAAGCGCATCACAGAGATCTCTGCGTTTCTCTAACTGCTCGGCAACAGTGCAAGACCGCATCCACTGCTGCCAGCAGACATGGGCAAAGGGCACAAAACAATGCCCACCCAAGCGTGCACGCACGACTCACTCAGCTCAACAGCCACTGCAGCAGCTCCTTATCCAAAGGCTGTTTACTTTAGAAAGGAAAAAAAACTTTAACACTAACATAGGGAGATTACCGGCGCTCAGCGCAATGCAAAAATAAGTACATTTTAATTACGCTTATAAACACCGCAGCTCTGACAAGTGCACGCCCCTCAGCCACACGAGGGTTGGAAATTCCACGATCGAGGCTGCGGCCATTTGAAGGGCAGCTCGCCGAGCTTCAAGAGCTCCTCCACACGCACCGGACGTGCTGGCACGCAAATCGATAAGTGCTGACAATTACTTTGCACAAAAAAGATAAATCAATCGCAACGACATTCCAGGAGGCAAGCACGTCTCCGTGGCATCCGCGCTCACAGTTAAGCCACGTCAGGAAGACCGACCGATTGCGCATCCCCCGTCTTCACGAACGATGAGAAGCCTCAGCAGAGCAGAGGCCAGGCCCCTCTCGGGTGCCAAGGGGCGGGCCCGTACGCACTACTCGTGCCGAGGCCGCTGTGCACACTCTGCAAATAAAATCCTTACCCTACAATTCTGGAAGCCACAAATAAATCACTGCCATGCAATTCTAAAAATGGACAAAGCAGCCAAGGTGCTGGACGCATCACTCGCACGCGAAACGCACGCCAATGGTGCGTATTTAATTTTGCAAACACCGCCTTGTCAAGATGCATATTGAAGGAGACCTCTAAAGACGGCACAAATGTACTAAGCCTCAGGGGGGGAAGGGGCGAGAGGCACCACTGCCGTGCCGGGAGGTAACAAGCGCGGTAACCAGCGCCTCGCGTGGCCCCTTGCGAAGGTCTCAAGACGGCGCCGCGCCTCGCTGGGCACACAAAGAGCCCCACTGCAGCGTTGCAGAGTAAACGGTTCAAAAGGTCCCTTTGATGTTCGCTCAGGGGCCGTGGCCCTGTCGCCCATTATTTATGCCAAGTTTAGGCTCCTTGTGAAAACGTGGGAGGGAGCTCGGAAGAGGAGAAGGAAGGACACTGGTGGGCGTGAGAGGCGCCTCCATCACGGGCACCCTCACACAAGAGCCCCACTGTTGTTTGGGAGCGGCGACTTGAGGCAGCGCGGGAGACAGAATGAGAGCAGGGTTTTTTTCTTTTCTCTTTCTCAGTCGTTGTTAAGCACGCTGGACCATTGTGTCTGCATACGAGTTTCAAACTGGCACGGCGCGAGCTTGAAAGAGAGATTAAATAGCCGAGCGTAACACGACCGGCAACCAAGAAAACGCATCGTCGTACGCAAAGCGGACGCAGCATCGACGGCACAAACGATGCACTTAAAAGCACGCTCGCACTGCACAAACGCTTTAAAAATCACGCCGTGTTCCATACTAAAAATCCACATTGTTCAATTCTGATAGGAGACAAAATTGCCCAATTAACGCCTCGGCAGCCGCTGTTCTATAATTCCAGGAAGGGCGCTCAATTACCCCGTGTAACTCGAAGCCCGCGACGCCAATCGGACTCACGGCTTGGGAGCACAAGCGTCTACCCCCCCCCCCACCCAACTCCCCCGAGGGGGACGGGCGCAGCTGTCTGCGCGCCGGTCCCAAGCAGACCCCCAAGCGCCACCGCGTGCTGCTGCTTGGTCGCCAGCCCACCCGCCCCACCTCCCACGGCGTGCCAACAGGTGTTGCGCCCGCATTCCGGCACGCGTGCCACCACTCAACGACAACTTCCCCACGCCGCCCGGTGGGAGGCGTTGCGTCTGGGCAGCCTGCCAGGGCACTAATGAATTCTTTAAAAACATGATTACTTGCTCATTAATCAATACGTAAATAACACCGGGCATGGATAGGCAGCGACGCGAGCACCGGCGCACGGATTGTCCCAAAACTAAAGTGAGGCGAGTTTGCGAAGCTGCCTCCGAGGCCCAACACTGCTGCGAAAGTTGGGCCAGCGAGCAGAGACAAGCCTAAGAGTGGGGCCCGATCTCAAACTCCTGATAAACACGGCAGGTTGTGTACAGCTGCGCATAACAGCGAGTTCAACCCGCAAACCCCTCGGAACACGTAATATTTACCAAACAAAGCGTTTGCCCCCTATGACCTTCTGTGGATAGCACAGTCGGGGGGGGGGGGAAGACATCGCAGTGTCACAATGGCGCCACGTTGAATAAGGGTGGCAGCCCATTCATTACTGCCCCGCGGTAGTCTATTCGCATATATAAGGCTCTGAGGACGAATACTTCTGACAGCTGCATAACCTGCAACTGATGTCATTTACCTGGTCATATAAGACACCGCCACCGCAAGAGAGACCGAATCAAATTGAACAGCTGCGATTACTTGCATTGGAGTGTTTTTTTGTTGCGTTTGTTGTTGTGCACACGGGATGGCCTTGCGTGGTGCACGCGCGCCTTCATGCTGGTGTTGTGTGTACACGGGCTAAGCTTGCCTTCACAAGCGTAATTGTTATTGTAGGGGTTGGTGTTTTAAGCCACTTACCTTCCTGGGTTTGGCCGGGTCAGTCGCGGTTTCAGTGTCCCGATACATTCGCGAAATCAATATTTTGTCCCGGCAACATAACAGCTGATGATACGGGCAATTTGCGGGGCATATGAGGAGCAAACAGGGCTGTCAGGAAGCCGGAGGCCTCTCACTACGTGGGCAGGGCTCGTCATGCAAGTGTGGTGCGGTTTAAAAAAATGAGTAGGGGTAACATCAGCTCAGTTTATTTTGGTATAGCCATGTGAGCCATTCGGCTCTTGAATCGGGTGCAACCACAACAAACAAAAAAACAAAAACACGACATAGGGAAGGTGGGTGGCCAGCTCGCCATGTGTTGTGGTTGAGCCTCCTGGACATTTTTATAGCTTATTGTTGCTGTATGTACAGGCCTGGATTGCATTTGTGGGTGTGACTGTTGTGGTGGTGGTTGTTGTTGAGTACATAGAGCTTGGGTAGCCTTCACTGGGTGAGTGTTATGGTGGTTGCTTGGCATATACAGCACGGGCTTGCCTTCATTGGTGCCAGCTGGATGGGCGTGATGTAGGAGGGGTCCACCACGGGCTTGGGCCGGTTGGCTGTGTCGGCCAGCAGGCTCTGCCATTGTGGCGGGAGCCCAGTAAACTTCCTCTCCTCCTTGTCAAAGTCTGTGTGGAAGCGGTGCTCGAAGTTGGACGGCGCCGAGATCTCCAGCCGCTTCTTCTTCTTGCCGAACATGGTGACGGCAGCGAAGGGGTGGCGGCAATGGCCCCCGACGGCTTACCCGCCCCCTACGCCAGCCAGGGGAGCCCACTGCACGACACGGGACGGTATACGAGTCACCACAACGCCAGCTCCCACAAGCAAGGCCCCCCCCCCCCACCCTCGCTCTTGCTACGGCCTCTACCCTGATAATCTGGGCCGCCACAAACCTGACGACTTGGCCTCACGATGGAAAATGTGGACTGGAATGAGACTTTTTATCATCAAGGATTTTCTGAACGCGTAGAGAGAGACATCCAGGTTGGAAGCAAATCTTAACGCTTAAAATGCTAATTTGGCTTTGCTGAGCAGGCAGTACAAAACCAACTCTCGCACAACCATATATTTGAATACCACCTGCCACATAACTAAATCTCACCGGATCAGCTCATAAACAACTTGTTGCTTCCCTACAAGAAGTGGATTCTGCAGCAAGCCAAACGACAGCAGAATCTCATAAACGTGTCGGACTAACTCCCACAGAACCAGCTCATTGAGAACACGTTTCCACACAATCAGTTCCCATAGAACTAGCTTCGACAACCAGGTGTCATTGAGAACGCGTTTCCACACAATCAGTTCCCATAGAACTAGCTTCGACAACCAGGTGTCATTGAGAACGCGTTTCCACACAATCAGTTCCCGCAGAACCAGCTTCGACAACCATGTGTCATAGGTTTAGCTCATAAAATTCCTGGTGAACCAACTTCCACTAAACCAGATTCTCCCGAAACCTTTTTCTCAGGAGAAACAAGCTCCGGCCAGCTGCGAGCATAGCCGCGCATCTGACGTATGTATGCTACCTCTTGAAGCAGTGTTGTTGTTTTTAAAGAAGTTTAAGAATTAAAATAAAACTTTGAGTCATTGTGAGGAGCGGCCCCCTGCCCAGCCCTGCCGGAGGGCGTGTGGCGGGGCAACGGGGGAGCACTTGCCCTTCACCCCTGCCATCTCCGCTCAGCCACAGAGGTGCGGCTCGGCCCTGTTAACCGCGAAACGCACACACGCCTACCACGCCGGCGCTGTTCAGGAGGTTTAAAACACCCGTGGGATCCCCCTTTATAGCAAATCTATATTTCGGTAAACAGCTCGGGGCCCCGTCCACATCGAGCAAATGATTCTCTCGTAAAAGAGAAAAGGGAGCAAAACAAAGCTCTGGCAGTAAAGAGAAGACACTCGTGCCGACAATTCCTGTGGGACGACGCGAGTTGGAATTATGAGACTGAATGGACGGAACGGTCCTCCCTAAAAACCCAGAAACCTCCGCCGGCAGTTTTGGCGCGGCCTAATAACAACACGGGCCCGCTATATTATGGAAATAAATCACGTTCTGAATTTCCTTCACTCTTGACTCATTAGAACTATTAAGCGCCACGCAGCAGGAAGAGCGGAGCAGGCACTTTCCCTGCAGGAGTAGCGAAGCGTGTGGATGTTTGTCTCATAATGGGTTTCTAAGCGATTTACTTCACGCACCCTGAACGTTCTAATGGGAGAAAGCGTCTTAATTCTCCCGCCTTGAGAGAATTTCACCAGCGCACACGCGAGACGAAACGTCCTAATTACCCTGGGAGTGCACAGGGGTTGCCACTAAAATTTAGCAATGCTCATTTTCATTACAATAAAAACCGCCCTTCGTTTATGCTACGGAAACCTCGCCGAGCCTCAAAGCCGTCTCTCAGGAGGCTCCTGCCGGGGTGGTGGGGGAGATGTAAGGCAAACTGCTTAATGAATATTTCTGCTCCCAACAGTGCGTCCACTTGCAGCGGCCAAGATGTTCATCAGCAATTAAGCATTTAACAAAGAGCAGCAATTAATCAGCAACTGTCCCTGTCGGACACCACGCAGGGCCAAGTTACCAAAGAAGCAAGGCACAGGGAGGGCACCTCTCGACCTCGTCACGAGGCATGCAGGGGACGATATGACACACACACGCACACGGCAATGCCGTGGGACTAAGAGACACACGGAATGATACGAGACACAAAGGAAACGAAAGGAGAGAAACATGGAATGATGACATAGACACATTGCGAATTGGCATACAACCCTATGAGAAATATAGAATTCTATCGGACAATTCAATGAGACACGTGGAAAGCTTTAACGCAGACACAGGGAATACATACACTGCTATGAGACGTATGCAATGCAATGTCACACACACACCATTCTATAGGACACGTTGCATGCTATGGGAAACATATGCCATGAGACCAAGATAATTCTAATCGACAATGCTACGGGGCACGGTGCACCTAGACACTCCATGCAATGCTATGAGCCACACTGCTGGGGCAAACACAACTTATTCCAACAGACAACGCCAATAAGTCAACCGCGCAATGGCATGAACCAAGCCATTAACCGCATTTAATTTGCCATGAACCGACGTAGATAAAAAACCCCCCACAAAACTTGTCACTCGATTTGCTCTTAATCCCGCAACCGCCAGCGTCATTCGCAGTCGTAAAGCGAATGTCGATCGTCAATCTCGACACTCGCCAATGGATCTTCTCTCGGCTCTCTGTGTGCCAGCAGAAAGCAGCAGCAGCAGAGCACGGCTGTAGATTTGCTGCCGAGTGACACGGCGAACGACGTAAAATGAATGTCAATTCACAATAAAAAAAAATGTTGGAAGAGTACGGGATATTGGGGAGCGGGGAGGAGGGGTGGGGGGACATCCACACAGAGGGCAGCGAGAGATGGGCAGGCAAAGACAGCGAGGGCAGAGCAGGTTAAGGGGGACGGGCGGGACAGCGAAGGGCAGCATGGTGACGAAAGTTAAGACAGCAGTGGACGGCGAGCAAAGGGGCAGAGAGATAGAGGGGCAGGGCGGGGAGAACGAAATGACGGAGCTGGGCTGTGTGTGGGCAGCGAGGATACGGCAAGGAGGACAAAGGCAGAGGGAGGGAAGGGCAGCGAGGGAAGGGGGAGAGAGCGGAGAACAGACAGGGCAGCGAGGGCCGTGCAAGGGCAGCGGCTGAAAAGGGAATGCAGCGATTGTGCAGTGAAGGCGGGGGCGGGGAGGCGGGGGCAGGGAGGGGGGGGGCAGGGAGGGTGGGGGCAAGGAGGGTGGGGGGCAGGGAGGGTGGGGGCAAGGAGGGTGGGGGGCAGGGAGGGCAGGGAGGGTGGGGGCAGGAGGGCAGGGGAGGGAAGGGCAGGAGGCTGCAGGTAAAAGCTGCCTGTTGCTAGGGCGACCGAGCAACGGTCCCGGATCCCCGCAGAGACAGAAACCCAGACACGGAAACACGGAGACACAGAGGCTGAGACACTGAGACACGGAGACACAGAGGCTGAGACACAGAGGCTGAGACACTGAGACACGGAGACACAGAGGCTGAGACACGGAGACACGGAGACACAGAGACCCAGACACAGAAACCCAGACACGGAAACACGGAGACACAGAGGCTGAGACACTGAGACACGGAGACACAGGCTGAGACACTGAGACACGGAGACACAGAGGCTGAGACACAGAGACACGGAGACACGGAGACACAGAGACACAGAAACCCAGACACAGAAACCCAGACACGGAAACACGGAGACACAGAGGCTGAGACAGAGACACGGAGACACAGAGGCTGAGACAGAGACACGGAGACACAGAGGCTGAGACACAGAGGCTGAGACACAGAGACACGGAGACAGACACGGAGACACAGAGGCTGAGACACAGAGACACGGATACAGAGGCAGAGACACGGAGACACAGAGGCTGAGACACAGAGGCTGAGACACAGAGACACGGAGACAGACACGGAGACACAGAGGCTGAGACACAGAGGCTGAGACACAGAGGCTGAGACACAGAGGCAGAGACACGGAGACACAGAGGCTGAGACACAGAGACACAGAGACACGGAGACAGACACGGAGACAGAGGCTGAGACACAGAGGCTGAGGCAGGGCTGGACAGACGCCGAGAGTCGCGGTAAAGGATCAGAGATGACAGACATCCCCACTACCGCCACCATCAATCCAGACCGCAATCACAACCATTATTATAATCATCACTACCATTATCACCATCGCTCCCCATCACCAACATTAGCAACCACCACTACCATCATAATCATTCACCAGCACTACCATCAACAACAGCACCATGAACACCACCGCCACTGCACTCGTCACCAGCACCATCATCATGTGGCGGCAGCAGCAGCAGCAGCCAACCCGTCACCGGGGCAACCAGGGAGAGGGGGGTGGTGGTGATGTCGATGCGGAGAAAGAAGAGGAGTAGGTGGTGTGGATGAGGAGTGCCGATGTTGGCGGCGAGGTTGACGGGCGAGCGGCGAGGAGCAGAAGGCGGCGGCGGCGTCACTCACCGCGCAGCTCTCACTCCAGCGCGCCCGACATCTCACGCGGAGCCTCCTCCACCACCATCCGGGGCCTCGCCCGGGACGTCACTTCCGGGCTGGGGAGCCCCGCCCTTATCTCCTGCGCTACTCCTCCTCCCATCACCCCCAACCTACCCCCCCCGCCTCATCCCCCGTAGCCCCACCCCCCCGCCTCATTCCCCGTAGCTGCACCCCCCCGCCTCATTCCCCGTAGCTCCACCCCCCCGGCTCATCCCCCGTAGCCCCACCCCCCCCGCCTCATTCCCCGTAACCCCACCCCCCCGGCTCATCCCCCGTAGCCCCACCCCCCCGCCTCATTCCCCGTAGCTCCACCCCCCCGCCTCATTCCCCGTAGCTCCACCCCCCCGGCTCATCCCCCGTAGCCCCACCCCCCCGCCTCATCCCCCGTAGCCCCACCCCCCCGCCTCATCCCCGTAGCTCCCCCCCACCCTATCCCCTACTCCGTCCATCCCCCATATCCCCACCCCCTGATCCCCCCACACCCCCCGCTCCCCTCCCCCACCTTATCCCCCGCTCCCTCCCCTCACCCCCCATTGCCACACTCCCTTATCCCCTCAACCCCTCCCCCTACCTATCCCTTCCCTCATCCCCCCTACTCCCCTCCCTCATCCCCTGTAACCCCACCCCCTTTATCCCCCCCTCAGCCCGTGCTGCAGGGATTAACGATCCATCGATTCAGGTTTAATTAACATGACATCGATTCTCACGCTCACGTTTAAACTCGTGCGGTATAATGCTAAACTTCACTTTCGTCAACAGCACTGTGGCCTTACGAAGTGTAATGGATGTGTCGGGTAATGACCCTTCACAGCACAGACGCCAGAGGTAGAATCAAGAGGTAGTGTCTCTGATCTCTGTGCTGTGAAGGGCCATCGCCCGAAACGTCGCCTATTTGTGCACCACCACTGCCAACGGAGAATGGACTATCCCCTGCTGGATGACCGAATCAATGTAAAAACATCACATGAATAACACCGTGACGCTAAAAGGAAAAATATGTTAGGCACGTTTTGGGAAATGGCCCTTCTTCGTAGTTGTCAATCTACTGCTGGATGAGGGCCTCCCTGCACTGTGCAGGTCATGAAAGATTATTGACCATACTGCAGTCTGATCAGAGTCGAAAGGTAGGAGAGCATAGATTGTGAAGCAAGATACAGTACAACACTGGATTTTCCTGCTCAAAACATAGCCCTGCCACAAGACTGCAAACTGCAAGGTGATCGCCTATCCAAGTACAATCCAGGCTCAACCCTGTTTAGCCATAAGCAACCAATATACATGCCAAACAAATGGTAATGGACCTATATGCACCGCTAAATAGTAAATTTGTTCAATGATTCATTAGGATTCCACAAATCCATCACGGATTCCTATGGGGTGAGATATGTCGATTAGACTGGTGGCTTTGGTGGCACCCACTTGTGATCAGATGGCAGCATACTGATTGGAATGAATCTATCTGTGCGGCGCTTCGAGTGTCAATCATCCTCGTATGATTGGGTTATATTTGGGAACCCATAAACCAAACACCAATATATGGAATTGTCCAACAATTCAAGAGCCTCCCGCAAAGGAGTCTTAAGAGACTCAGTGAGGCCTTCCCATAATAACTAAAATACGTAGCAACCATAGCGTACTCAATGCACTGAGAAAATTGTACTTTACTTCACACGGACATGTACACACACCGAGGATTCACATTACCGGCAAGGACCCCAGTGTACACACGGAAAGGAAATGTAAATGAATGCGATCCCATTCACAGCATAAATTCATGTTTGTTTTCACCATTTACAAAAGCAGTGCAGTAAATCACAGGCGAGACACCGTGTACAAAGTCTACGTTACCCCAACCACCACAAACCCCACCCGGGACAACAGGGGTCATATCTCGGCTCATGCCACCTACACAGACCAGCCCGTGGCCCACACAGGAAAAACGTGGCTTGGGATCTACAGGCAGGACCGACAACATATGGAAAGATCTCAAGTTCAAACCTTGGGGAGGGGCGGTTTACTCAACTCATCTTTCCTTGGGATTTGATCAAATGAATAACACTTTGTGGGAAGGGCAACAGTTCCATGACAAACTGGCCCTCTCCCTTGATCAATTCGGAATTTCCGCTACCAACCCAAGGCCACCAACCTCCAGAGAGGAAGCGCTGATGCACTCAATTAGTGGAGTGGAGCCATCACTTTCACAAGACTGCAGGGGACATGAATGGCCCTTGTTCTGTCGTCAGGTAATTATCCACATTAAAAAAAAAACATTTGTATTGCTTAAATTGTGCAGCTGTGTAATATCACCGTTGTCATTGGCATTGTCTAGGAGACGAGATATAGATTCAATTACATGGCCTATATTAAACACACTTACCAATCCTACCGACGTAAGCAGTGGGCTTCCGGTGTCCAAACCCATTATTTACTGCATACCGATTTTCAAAGCTAAACATATCACAAAATATCATATTCAGAGAAACAAAAATCTTGATCCAAGTTTTGTCGCGAAAAATCAACATGCAGTGAAAGTGCAAAAACAATTGGCAGCCTACCACTAACATCGGGAGGGTTTGCAAGTGTGCACTCACATCCCGAGGCCTACAAGCTGTGCTTCCAATGCAGCTTCTCTTGTGTCAGCTGCAGGAGGAGCTCAAAGTGCTGCCGGATAATAGCGGCGATGTCAGGGTCACGGGCCGGAAGGGCACCGCTGGTCCCAGCATCGGGCTGCGACTGAGCCAGAATGTCCTGCTCCAAGGTCCCCTGCGTTCGGGGAGCGAACCCAGTTGCGCCGAGGTCGGCGGCCACCTGACGCAGGCCCTCGCGGAGCAGTGTGGACAAGCGGCGGCGCTCCTCCGTCACGTTTCCCAGCAACAGCGTCTGCGGGGAGTTTTTTTTTTTTTCCCACGTTTTGTTTGACCGGCACACAAGCTAAATTGTACGAGAATAACAGCAGCGCTCGGCTAGGTTTGACATGAATAGCATGTCGACAGGAAATATAGGTCATCAGCCCACTCATACAATACATCAACATTAGGCGTTCATGTTTTAATTGGCTGTGCTGTGCAAGCGCCACGCACACACACACACATCTTTTCATGCCAGCATGTAATAGGCACAATTTATGAAGCGTTGAAAATTACCGCGTCGCACGCGTGTAAATAATGCAGCGAGCAGGAAACGCCACGCGCGCACGTGCACACACACGCACTTGCTGGTACAGGCACACACACTTGCTGGTACAGGCACACACACGCACTTGCTGGTACAGGCGCACAGCAGCGTGCGTCTTGGAAGCCAGCTCCTCAGTTAGCCGCCTGCACTCGTCAAGATAGACGAGGTTCTCAGGTCCCAGAGGCTTGAAACCGCCATACGGCTTTCTGCAAGCAGCCACCATCGGTGTGCTTGACGCTGATTAGGGGACAGGTCAAATTAAAGTTATTTATGAAGAAACCTGGCATTTTTCAGAGGTGGTCCAGTGGTTCAGATTTCAGTGCTGAACTAGCACAACTCAGATTGAGTTTGCATCCAGGCCGTTGCCACAGCTCAAGTCTGTTGAGCAGTCTCAGTCTGGCCATTAATTACCGTACAAAAAACCCATCACATTCAATTCCTGTGAGCACTTAATTTGGCTAAATTCCAGCTATAAGAATTCATCATTACAGTTGCGACTGATACGTGACAAACATTACTGTGGCAGCGCGAGTGGGAAAGTACTGCCCCCCTGCCGTGTGGAACACAGGATGCTTGAGGGGATTACATGGGGCTGTTTTCGAACATGAAGGGTCGCACTGCTCTGCGAGATTTATGAGTTGGTACTTAGCCTCACGACATAACACCGATATCAAAATAAAAACATGAAAATTAAGGGGGTAAAAAAATCTACTGCATGGGAGAGGCATAGGGTTGAAGAACCCTGTCAGCAAGTGCCTTGTTTACCTTTATGGACGTCATACTGGCCTCCTGCACCATCATTCCAGAAGCCTTCGTGTGCAGCTGCGTGGTTCGCCTGCCCCTCAGCTTTTTGGCCACCCTCCCCGTCTCTCGTGAGATATTCTGTACCGGCCAGGCTCCTCTCAAGGACAGCAGCCGCATGCCCTCTGTCGATGCTGTAGGTCTTGTCCGTCACCTTGGCTTGCGAGCTGGCAGTGGGCACCATGTAGGATTGCCGTTTGTGCACCCGTTCCTCTGCACTGCTGGCCAGGGTCAGCTCGGACTGGCTTCTGGCAATAAGGTCACTGTCCCTCCTGCCTTTAGCTCCAGACGCAAAGCTCTTCCGCTGATGGGACTCACCTGCCAAAGATATACAATGATACCACCTCGCCACCAGTCTGTATTTTTTTTATATACACGGTGTTACAACAGATTTAAGTGTAAACCATTGGAACTGCCGTTTTGATTGTGAAAATGACTCACAATTACAAGGAAATACAATGAGTAATTTAAACAGCCATAACTGACGAAGACCACATGCAGAAGGGGCGACGCGGGCCGCTATGCCCCATTACAGGCCCTGCTGGCATAATTACAATCAAGATCCACAACCCCACCTCTCGCACGGAGATCATTCAAGGAAGCCGACTTCATGTGATCGCGAGACATTTCCGCTTGCAGGCCACCACACGACCGCCGGACCTGCACTCGCACGGAGGCAACCGCACCACCGTGTGCGGCATAGCTTACAACCCCAGCGCATGCTCGAGGCAGTTCACAAGCAGTAGCTCGAACAACAGCAGCAGCGGTGGTGGCAATGTCGGGGTGGTACAGACGTACGAGAGCCACACTCAGGTTGCACGGTGGGAGTGCCGCGGCGACTCTCCGGGTGGACACCCGAGTGGTCCCCGTCGTCTCCAGCGTCCTCACATGGACAAGGACATCAGAATTAAACGAGTTCTAACAAAAAAGGCCTATGACCAAATGACCTGGTAGATGCCCATTCCAAAATCATGGTCGCAAAGCCTGGATAGTCCTTGGATGGGTGCCCACGAGGCAAGACATATGTTGTATGCTGCAGGGCTACATTGTAGGTAGAAGCAAAATCCGTTGTTGCACTGTACCTCCATGCTCCCCCACATCAATATTCCCGACATTCAAACCCACACCGACCAACCTGGCACTGCAAGGTCAAATATCACCCACGACCCGCATAGCGCGGCGAGGCTCTCATCCAGCAGTGGGTTGACAAGGGTGCTGCGCATGCTCACTCACAGGTCAACACCTCCTCGCAGCTAGTCACACTTCAGGTGACTTGAGGATTGAATAGAACTTAAATGTCCCTAATAAAAATAAATCATTCATGCAAATTGCATCTCACAATCGGTGAGGAACCATAGACAAGTTTAAAGGCTGCCAGGCAGTGAGCCGGCTCCAACAATTGCTCTGTAGTTCTCTATATATTAAGATGTTTTCAGCCAATTATGGAGTGCTTATACATGTGGGAAGAAACCGGAGCACCTTCTAGAAAACCCACGCATGCGAGAGTGCAACACTCTATCCCACTCAGAAGGGGCAGATAATATTAGTCCGCACACTTTGCTGTACTGTATTTCTTCTGACAAGCCAGGGTATGGGCACCTCAATGGCCACGGGAAGGGAGTTTGGCAACATTTGTAAATTGTCAATTCCACCAACCCTCGCCTCTTAAGTACTAAATTACAGGCCACAAAATGACATTTCAACTGATCCCAAGACCCAGCGGTGCCGTCTATGTCCGAGTGGATGGGTCACTCACCAGGCGACGGACGTATCGGCGTGGCTGGGCAGGCTTGCACCACTCTCACCAAGCCCCGTGGAGCCTACACCAAAGACAAAGATCCCCTGTTCAGATTTAGCAGACTTTTAGGGCACGTGCTGTTCCAAGCAGCAATGGGCCTCGACTGCAGACAATTGCATGCACGCCCCGTCTCACGAAAACGTTTCCAAGCAGGGCCCCTCCCCGTGAAGATGCCGCAGGGTTCCTCACCACCCCCCCCCCCCCCCCCCTGCGTTGCTGTGCACGGCGGAACGCAGAGGGGGTTTAAACTCGGCGGTCGTGTGCCTTCAGGGGATACCACAGTGGAGACGCAAATCGTTTGCACACATTCCTTGCCTGCATTCGGCAGATCACATCATCCAGCTAAAGAAATGTCCTCTCGGTTTTTCCATTCCAGGAGGTTCTCCAGCGTCAACCGGAGGAATTCTGGTTGATAACGTGAGCTGGCATCTTATTTATGTTGGAAGATATATCGTTCACATTCCACCGTCAGTTCAGCCGATTGGAATGCACGGGGGGATCTGAGAGCGCAGTGTGCAGCATCAGCAGCAGGCTCCTCTGCGCAGGGGAGCAGTGAGGGTGGAGGTGAGGGGTGGGAGTGCAGTAGGGATGGAGGTGAATGGTGAGGGAGCGGCGAGGGGTGAAAGAGTGGCGAGGGCTGTGGGCATGGCGAGGGTCGAGGTCAAGGTGCAGTGAGGGGTGTGGGCAAGGCGAGGGTCGAGGTGATGGTTCGGCGAGGGGTGAAGGTGCGGTAAGGGGAAGGGGCGCGGTGAGGAGTAGGAGTTCGGTGAGGGGTGGAGGCACAGCGAGGAGCATGGTAGAGGAGCACGCGGTGAAACAGACCGTGGCGAGCCGGTCCTAGGCCGGCAGGCCCCATGCAGAAGGGGGTGTCCTCCGGAGAGCTGAATGGCCCCGAGACGGTGTCGGAGCCGCGCTTCCTCCGGCTGCAAGCGATGCTGCAACAGACGGGGTTCTGTTACAGACGGAAATGCGCGTGGCAAAACCTCGCCATTGTCTAACGACCGACGCAGTGAATCGATTCTGCCTCGCTATAGAAGCAAAATTGCAGGAGCTCCTCACCACGGCAGCATTTCCACTAGCGGTCATTGTTCATGAACTTCACCACTCGATACCTCCGCCAGCGTCAAGAACCCGCTGCACCAGATTGATCGTTTCCTCCGATCCATACCGCTTCTCAACCACCGTAATCCGTAGGTCACAATATTTGTCTGGCTGCTCAACCGTAGAGTTCCTGTCACCTTGCTTAATCCAAAATCAGAGTTTGGTTCTTATTTTCCGAAACCATTACACGGGTACTTCGTTAGAAGAGAGTCACCAAATATCGATTCTCAAGTTCACGATGCACGCATCAAATCCCGTAAGGGTATTTTTTTTATTTGCATATGAGATAGGTTCACACAATTGCTGCAGTCACTTGAGCGTTCTATGTCCACCAGAAAGGATAACAACAAAAGAGGATTCTGAAATAAAATTGGTTTGTAGAATTGTTGGTAGCAAAGTCGGTGTGCGATTCATTGCACTACCTTCATTTAATGATTGGCCACTTTTATTCTATACCTATGCTCATCACATTATTGAACATAAACACTGTCAAGGATTTGTATTGATAAAAAGATAGATAAGCAGATAAGTCTCATTTACAGACAACTCCCTACGCAAAAAAAAGAAAGTTAATTATTTCTTTCACAACCCATTGATTAATTTCTCAACTTTTCAGTGCGCGTGAAATCGTACCCAGCAGGCAAGGCGTGTGGAACCGGGCCGGACGTCTGCTCCTCCTGCACACCGGGTGATCTCTGACCCAGCCGCATCACCAGCTCAGGGCCCAGGCGCCAGACGAACACACAGCTGCGGCGCACAACCAACATTTTTTTAAAATCGAATCGGCAACTGCCAATGTCGCTGGTGGTGCCACTGCAAAACCGGCGGAGCTCCTTACACACCTGTCTCCAGCAGCTGTCATCAGGCGCTGGCAATCGCTGCTGAACTTCATGCTGGTCACCACCTCTGCAGCACACGCCAGCAGTAACCACGCGCACACCCGGCGAGTCGCTCTCGACGCTTGCGAAACCAAGAAGCCATTATTGGAGTAGCGATTATTGATAAACATGCTGCGGTCTGGCAGGGTGCCAGGGATATGTTTACCATGGTGGTGGTGGTGGAGTGCTTCCTCCGTGTGACAACCCGCATGTGGAGGCATGCAACGTTCAAGTTGTACCAGATTTCCATCATCAAAAAACGCACTGGGTCACAGTCTAGGATGCCCTTCCAACTCCACCACAGTGAGTAAACATAAGCATTTATTTAACATGAACACAACACATTTCCCAAGGTGGCCGGGTGTCTCGGAGGTCAGAGCGCTGAGCCGGCACCGCTGACGTCAAATCCAGGTAGAGGTCTGCAATTAATCTGGCTTCTCACACACACAAAACCTCAGTAAATGTAATTATGCAAATGAATTGCCTACATTTCAGCTGAGGAAGCAGTGTGGGTGGGCAAAGTGCTACCCTCTACTGTGTGAACCAGAGGTAAGTTGAAGAGCTCTCAGAAGTAGTTCTGTGGTAATTCCCTTTCCCTAAGCCAATCACAAACATGAAGACATGAAGGGTTGCGCTGCTCTGCGAGAGATTAAAATAAATGTTTGTATCGCGGCAGTGGTGAGCTGGGGGGGGTAAAAAATATTATGCAGGTGTTCAATAAATGACTGCCCAATCATTGGTGCAGGGCATATGTGATCGAGGCAGCGAGTGGTTTTGCTGCACGGTGGGGATGAACACCCCCATTTCACCCCCCCCCCCCATCCCGTCTCGCTGGCCAGGACGCCGCTCACCAGAGTGGCCGTGGAAGGTGGCCAAGCAGGCGCCGCTAGCGAGATCCACAATGGACGTCGATTTGTCAGAGCAGCTGCTCGCTGCCAGTGTGCCCGACGGGGCCACGTGTACCTGTGCACACAAACAGAGACCCCCCATGTAGCACTAACAGACTGTTGGGGCAAGTGCTGTTAAGCGAGGTCCTATGAGAGCCGGCATGGCACAGGAGGGAGTGGGCGACCAGCATCACGCCCGGCCAGCTTTGTCTCTCCACATTAGCGATGTTTACACACCGCAACAGGTACTGGAGGCCTAGGACAGATTCAGATAATCGTCACTGGTGTTGGCCGTCACCAGGAATCGAATTTGGTATGCTCCGTTGGTAGCGCAGCGCGCTAACCGTTGCACTACCGCTCCCCACACATGCACCACCCATACCCGCACATGGCAACAGCCATTCTATTCAAGCTACAGCTAGACCTTCTAAAACTACAGGCGCCCCGTTTTCAAAAGTGGCCCGCCCCCCCCTTATCAAACTAGTCTCCCCATTCTCATAAATGACACGGCAACCAGTGTCATAGCATGGGGGAGGGGGGGGTAGGTGGGATGGGTGCCCCTCCTGAAGGTGGCTCTGCCCCACGTGTTGCTAAACAGTTGGAAACGAAGCAAGCATTGGGCGCTCGTGGTGCAAAATGTTGGTGGGGCGGTGTTGGCGCCACAACAGCGGGGGGAGGTGGCGCAACGGGGGTGGTACCTTGACTCGGGCGCCAACACCTCTAGGAGCTAATCTTGACGGCAACAGCCAACCGGACCTTGCACTGCAGCTGCCACCCCCGCACAATGGCGACCCCTCCTCCCCGACCCCACAATCTCAGGACCGCAATCTGGACTTTAGAAAGCAATCCCCCTGATTAAAACGGGTGGAGTGACCCACAAGACCCCGTGCGTGCCACCCGTCCGCCTGCGGGGCGATGGCGACTGCGGGCGTAGGAAGCGTAGCATCACGGCCGGGCGACGCCGGCGGCCGAGCACCTTGAGCACCGTCCCCTCGTCCGCGCTGGAGCCCTTCACGCAGTGACGCTGCCGGCCGTCGACGGGGCTGAATACCCTGCAGCGCACGGACATGCAGGGCTTTAACCTCACCACGCTGATACCACCACCCCCCGCCCCCCTCCCCCCGCCGCCCACTCGACCGCAACGAGACGAGCCCTGCCCCCCCCCCCCCCTACTAAACCCGACACGCAAGAGCAACAAATGAAACGACCACAAAGTCGGGCCGAGTGCAATGAAACACCGATCGGTAGAAATCCTCCTCAAGCGCACAATACGAGCACATCCGGGGTGACATTTCAGCCAGTTCAGTCGGCGTTGGCGATCTGGAAAAATATTTCTGCACCTGGCACACCACATCATCCATCGTACCTCTCGCTATGGCCGTGGCTACTACTCGTCATGCACCAATTAGCCACCTGACTAATTGACGCACGACCCTATCAGGTTCTCGTTCATGAGTCGACGCTCACGGGGAACCGGACGAGCGATCGTCATCGAGCGCTGGGGGACAGGAGCCCGGCCGGTGGCGTAGCTCTCAAGCGTGTGCAGGCAGTGCAACTGCACCAGGTCTCCACGGGCTGGGGTGGGGTGGAGTGGGCCCCGCCGTCACGTGTCCCCACCGCAGCGTGCGGTCCAGGCAGCCCAGCACGGCGACATGCCCCATCGAGTCCACGTCCATGTCAGCCGGAGTCTCCTTCACCACCACGTGGCGCGTCACCGCACACCGCAGGCCGTCCTCGCACTGCCGGCGCCGCACAAAAATCCCACACACGCGCCACGCCGCGCACCTTGTACATCAATCACAAAGATCCCCCCCCCCCCCCCCGTAGAACATTTAGCAGATTGTGGGGGCAAGTGCTGTTCTGGCGAGTACCAATTAAGGCCAGCACAGCACACGTGGGTGGCCAGCACCATGCCCGGCCACATTTTTCTCTCCCCAGTGCTGATGTTTACCCACCAGATGCGTTGCAGGTTGGCGGGTTCAGAGCGCAGTGCGCATCCCCACCAAAATACATCGCACTGCCCCACAAATACATTTAACCAACACGCACAGATGTACTTTGCGTGTAAAGAAGCCCAGCCTTATCCAGACCACCGGCTCAAAATAACTGAATGTGTAGCCAATTTGTCGTTTCGATCACCAACTCACGGAGTTGAGGCCATCCCAAAAAAACAGCAGCGAAACAAAGATCATTATAGACCGGTTTCATCTTCATTAGGAGTTCTCTTCAGTACAGCAGTCGACGTCCGCTGCCGCTCTACGTCCAACACCACGCACCGTGCCCATCCTCGCCCTGCCAACTCCGTGCACCGCGCACACCGCTCAGCCGCGCGCACACCTCCGTGCTTCGCGCGCCACGCACCGCCCGGCGGCACCGATTCGCGAGCGCGGCTCACCGTGTGCACCGATCGGAAGTAGAGTGACCGGTCCGGGCCGCAGCTCAGCAAGCGCAGTGAGTCACCGCTCCCTGTGACCACACGCACCATGCCAGGCGACCGGCCACGGCCACCATTACCGCGACCGCCACCGCCACCGCCAACCACATGGCCACCATCGAATTGCCAACGATTCTGGCGATGCCGATAACGCCGATGCTAACGGTGCTGCCGAATGCCAATAATGATGAAGATGTTCATATGCCAGTAATACCAATGCCGATGATGACACCTCGAAAAGTCAACCCCGGGCAGGCTAAACCCCATCCACCAGGAGGTGAAACACCGGGGCTCGGACACTGGCCTCCCCGCGAGGTGGAGGCGCTCCCCCTCGTGGCCGAACCTGCGAATCGCGCGGCCGTCACGGGCGAGGAATGCTCCTCCAGCACTGCCACGGCGCGCGGACTCCCGGCGCCTCCTCCTCCGCACCGCTCCGCCAGTCGGAACACGCGCACCACACGGTCTCTCCCGGCGGACACCAGCAAGCCCTCTCCTGCACAGACCCCCCCCACAGCCACCCGCGATAGACGCGACTGCCTTCATGTTCCGTAGTTTGTGAACAGTGCTTTATAACTACAAAGGATGCCTGTCGATGGGAGGCGACGATAGTGACGATAATGGTGATTATAACAGTGGATGTTATTGTCATGATTGATGGGTGTGATGATTATGGGGATTATGACCACTGGCGATGATCTAGGCAACGTTCATGATGATCATGATGATCGTGCTCCTCCTCACCTCCTTTGCACCGGGTGTAGTCGAGACACAGAACCTCGGCCGTGTGAGCTCCGGGAATCAGCGTCTCCTCCCAGCTCTTCAGGTCCACGATGCTGAGCGGCAAACTCCATCACCACCGCGAGCACGTCGCCGCTCACCACTCGCCCACCGCAACACCGCTCGCCGCCGTACATGCACACCTCAAGCACCGCGCCACTCGCCGTGACCGGACACAAGCACCGCGGACCCACGGCACAGCACGCACGGCACGCACGCACGCAGGCAAGCCGACAAACTCCGCCGCACACCGCACGCACCTGATGTTGCCGGCGTGGTCGCCCAGGGCCAGGCTGTGTTCCCCCGGCAGCAAGCGCATGCAGCGCACGCCGCCTCCTGCCGCGTCACTCCACCGCTTGGGGCCCTGGGGCGCCCCCCCCACCGACCGAGCGCCCGCGCGGCCTCGGCCCTGGGAGGTCCCACGCTGATCCGGACGGAGGCCGTCGGAGCAGAACACCCAGAGCAGCTCCTGTCGCGGAGCGACGGCCACAGTCGCCCAACAGCCACCATTGGCCCAACCAACACGAACCAAACTTTGTCGCCCGACCACACCATCAATCCGCAGCGCCGTCACCCAACATCACCGTCGCCCCGACAGCCGCCGCCACCACCGTCACACCCAAAAGGCCCATCACGAGCACAGCTCCCTGAGGATTACCGGGTAGCTGGAAGGTCCGGGGCCCCACATGCGCACGGTGCTATCGGATGAGCAGGTGAGGAACGAGCTCTGGGGTGGGGAGACAGGGCCCACGAGATCCCACAGCTCCGGGTTCACCTGGGTCCCCACCACAGGTGCCATAAGGAACGAGTGTAAATACACTGTGGGGTGAAAACAATAAAATCTCAAAACAAGTTTCAAAAACGTGTGCGTTGAGGATGGTTGTCCCTGTAGGGTGCCACAGGTGACTTCTGGGAGCTTGGCTACACATTTCCAGGAAATTCCTCCAGGGCTCATTCACCAATGAGCTCCAGAGCATCCATAGGTGGGCGGGGGGGGGGGGTCCGAGGGGGGATGGGGGGAGGGGTCCTTCATCAAATGAGCCCCACGAACAGGAGGAACGCATTCACGACACGAGCCCCGAGCATCTGCAACAGTGCGCCAACGATCGTTATAGCTGCGGGCGTAGCGACGCTGATCCCCGCGGACGTCACCTCGACGCCTCGCACTCCGCCGGCGTGGTAGTGAGCGGCGTGCAGGGGCCGTGCAGGCTGCCCCGGCGACGCATCGGCCCACACGTACACGCTGCGGTCCCCGTACAGGCAGCCCAGCCAGGTGCGCCTGGCGTCCCGGCACACGGCTACGGCGCACGGCGCCGGCTCGTCCTGCTGCTGCTCCCCACTTTGCCTGCACACACATGCATGTACACACGCACGGAAGAGACACGCATGCACAGACAGAAAATACCAAGCGAGGATCCTGCCTATAGCCTTTATCTGCATCTTGCAGCAAGCGATGTTGGCGAGTACTCTAAATGCGGCATAGCGCTCAAAGGGGTAGTGTGTGTCAGAATCGGTAAGCCACCTTTGTCTCCCCAGCACAGATGTGTATACAATTGCACCAAGTACTTATTTGCAGGTCGAGACACACTAAGGAAGACGCATGACTGGCTCAGAATCGAACTCTAGTCAGCGGGTTTGTAGCGCAATCTGCAAACCACCGCTCCCCACAACATGCAGAGCGACACGCACGCTCCATATTCAAGACCACCCTCATGGAGATTTGGAGATCTCAAGTTGACTCGCAGCCAGAGGAACACTCTGTCCACGCGTTGCTTTCCTATTATCACCACAAAATGAATCACTCTGCCAGACTTCCGTGGGACCTCAGCCAACGAGTACACCTTCCCCCTGGGATTCTGAGACGGCAAGACGCGTGGTACCACGGCAAGCGGCGTTTACCACGGCCTTTTCAGGCCATCCAGGTGGCTCGGACGAGGTAGGGTGCATACGGGCCGCAGGCTGCGGGCACACAGCCCCACCACCAGCCCATTGGCGCCACCACAGAACACCAGCTCTTCGTCCACGCACAAGCACTTGGCCACGGACACCTGAGCATGCCGCAGAGCAACAAACAACAAAGGTCATCCGACGGAGCAGTGCGGAGTGCGTACAGCCCCGCCGACGACTCCCGACTGGCAGCAGCGCAGGGGAAAAATGTTGGCAATATCAGAAGAAGAAACTTTTGAGCTCCTTGGTGCATCGTAAGGCGATGTCTGGGTGTGACTCTTAAGAAAGACGAAGAAGAAGAAAAGCCAATCACTGCCTTCGAATGAGAAAGCCTTCTGGAGAATTTGTAAAACGCCTTGTAAAGGAGCAAGCGACCAGCAAGGAAGTTCTGGAAAGAATAGACACGGACAAAGGGTGAAGTCCAGTGCAAGAAACCGCAATATCTGGGAAAGTTGACTGGTGTGAACGGGAACATTCAAAGGTGCATTGTTGAGTGAAGACCACGGATCAGACCAGATGTCCCACACTGGACGGGACAGAAGCTGTCTCCACTGAAAGACGCAGCGACACAAGGGAAGGGAAGAGAGCACACTGCAAGACGACACTCTTCGTCCACGCACAAGACGACACTGGTAGAGGCAATGGTCAGTCCGCAACACAACCCAAAAGGCCAAACAAAAGGACTAAGGAGGAGAGGTAAGTCCCCGGACCTGCAGGTCGACGCAGTGGCACAAAATCCTCTGCTCGTCAAAGACGCACAGGCAGCCAGAGAGAGTGAGGCAGTAGGTGAGGTTCTGGCAGGCCGGCCCCTGCCCACAGGCCACCGCACAAAACACAGCCTCCCGCTGCAGGCCCAGCAGCGCCGCACGGCCCGGCAGGGGTGCCCCGTTGATGGCCGCCTGATCCCCTTTGGGGGGCCACCTCCCTCACGAACAACAAGAACGCAGGGTGGGGGTGGGGGATCGCACTAAATGAACGCGGAATAATCCTCCAATCCATTGCACACGTTGTCAGAGGTCACAAGGTCAGCAGGGGGCAGTGCAGGAAAATCCAATGTTATCCTGTACTACGCTTCAACGTCTGCGTGGGTTGCCTTCGCCAAGTGGCACATAACAGCGTGGTGAAGTCTGCTCAAACAAGCCCCATCATGATCCAGAGCATGGGGAGGCCCTCATCCAACAGTGCATTGACCAAAGTGCTTTATGGTAGGGTGCCACTAAAAATTTTTTTAGTTTTTTTTCAAGGTCTTGTTCATTTGCCTGTTCAACTGAAGCATTGCGAGCTTAAGGACGAACCACCAATATTGACCTTCTCAGGGCCGATTTCTAAGACATGGTGATGCACTGCTCTCTGAGAGTTCCAACAGGTCAACTCGTCTCCTAGCACGTCACCGATAGCACGATTGCAATCAGATGTGGAACAACACAAAAAAAATATTTTATTCATAAAAAAACACTCCTTGGCTGCGTGTTTGTAAGTGTCACCCACACACGGCCTCAACGAATACATTAAATAAAAAAACACTCTCATACAAGCTATATAAAAGCACATGCTAACATTGCACTGCTATTACGCAGGGCCGAATAGGACTTTCATATACGCTTGGCGAGCCACATGTTTAACACACACAATGCTACAATGAATTAGCGCAGCCAAGATCCTTGCAAAGATGGATACAATAATCATGTTTGTGGCCCGTTTTCAAGTTGTCGGCTTCACGTCGCCGTGGGCCGTATAAAATGAAGCAGTGTGCCACACATGGTGCATAAACCTTAGGTTCTGATCCCCTCTTCCAAGTGTGAACAGTCGGGACTGTGGGCCTGGAGAGTTAATGGTGGGTGAGGGGGGGGTAAGTACCAGAACCTGACGTGGCGCACGCCGGCCGTGACGAGGCGGGAGCCGCACGAGGAGAACGCCAGGGCCAGCACGTGACTCGACACCTTGTTGGTGGCCACCAGGTGGCCGCTCTTCACAGATACAGGACATGCACGCAAGACAGATGCCCCGTGTAGCCTTAAGGACTGTTGGGTGACGAATAAATAACGATTTTATTATTTAATAATAGGATCATCTTCAACACAACCATGATAGATTGTGTACAGTTTGGCATCATTTTGGTGGCTTGTAGATAAAGGAAAATTAAATTACCATTTAGGTCAACAAACCACCCCCCAAGTCTTCTGGAAAATATGGAGAAGCAAGATTTGTGGGGAACGCCGGGCATGGAGGCACATGCCTGGTATCCAAGCGCTTTGGAGGCAAGGGTCCGTGGATGATGTTGAGGTTTGTGGAACTTCTGAATTCAAGGATGCTATATGGCCAGAAGATGACGGAACTACAAATGGATCCTTGAATCCTTCTGTGCAGAACTTGGAGCGTCATTCCATCTATGTGAATTTCCACCAGGTACTACAAGTATCCTCCCACACGCAAGAGTTATTCATGAAAAAGGCGAAACATCTCAAAGCAGGACCCTCTTGAAAAAAAGTCCAATTCAAAAGACTTGCCCAGTTATTCGTTAAAAATGATGTTTGGACCGCCGGAGAGGTAATTATTTTTCCGCTCATCAGAGGGCTTCCCGCCTCACCTTCCAGTCCCATAGGTTCACGGCCTGGTCGTGGCGCCGGCCCACGGAGACAAGCAGGCGGCCGTCGGGCGAGAAGGCGGTGCAAGCCACACCGTGCTGGTGGCCGACTCCCAGCACCGCGGCACTGCTCCACTCGCCCTGCAGCAGCAGCCTCCACACGCAGATGCAGGGGGCCGCACCGGCCTGCACGCACAGCCGAGGGCAGGTCAAGTCCGCCGCTCACGGCATCGGCAGGCAACCTTGGAGCTGCGCCGCTGCAGCTTAGGCTCGATCGCCGCATCAGGCCTTGTTTGGTTGGGACCGTGACTGGGTCCAGCAATAGTGCGTTCTCTGATCGTTGCGCAAGGTTTCTGATTCGATTCCGACTGGCCGCCCTTGTTATTACTGCGGGGGTATTAACCATAAAATATTATCCACCGTTTGTTTTAAAGTGGACGTTAAAGATCCTCAGACGCAATTGTAAATAATCAGGCCATTGGATGCTGAAGTCATGGTCCAAATTTGCCAAAATTCTAAAAATGACCTGCAAATTACTAAATGTAGATTATGCATACCCATACTGTATCGCGCCCAACTGTGAAACTAAGGCAGACGGTGTTAAACGCAGCGCCTTGCGATACATTAATTGTGCAATTACCAAATGTATTAAATTGTGACATTAATTATTATGACTGCGTAGGTACCGTAATCTCCAAATGCTGACACTTTTCCCTCAGTATTTGAATACAAAAGTTTGGTGTGAATCTTATAATCCGGTAGCTGTGTGTATGACCATATTTTGTACAACTTTATTGACACTGGCCACAAGTTTGGGGTGTCCGGGACATACAGGAATGCACACCACCTCGTTCCAGACCAAAAATATGATAAATTGTGACCATGACGATTATACTGCATTGATACCTAACAAGGATGACACCAGTATGCCTTTGTCTCGTTGTCATTCGGCCACTGCTTCATAAAAAAACGTGTCATCTAAAAGAACGCTTGGTGCACTATACACGCAGTATGCGGAGGTCAGGTGACATGCAAGGCACGATAAGGCTGGGTGTGCCTATGGTGACTCATGAGAGGTATCCACTTCGAGAGCGTCACACTGATCAGTCACCGAGCCAGGGCCACAGACAAAGGGTAGCGAGGGCAGGTGGGGACAGTTTTCCCTGAGTCTCAGATGCTCATCTGGGCATTTTCCCACGGGGGCTTCTAAAAACCTTTCGGCGGTCCTCCACCCGAGCTCACCTCTCCCGTGGCCAGGTGTGCACCGTCCGGAGAGAATGCCAAGGCAGTGATGGGCTTCCTGAGGGCCCAAAGGGGATGGGGCGCAGCAGTGATGCTCTTAACACAGCTTGGCTACCACAGCCACCCCAGAGCAACAAGGCAAGCTGCCCTCTCAACCTCATCCTCTGAAAATAGGTGCATGCAGAGGATGCTAATAATTTCATGGAATAATTGGGTAAGCAACTTGGACGGTCATAACCATACATGGTTAGATTTTATCAATAGAAGGGGGTTGCTATGTGGAGGCCAGATTAGAGACAGGCATTAGAGTATCACTCGGACGTCAGTGACCAAGATGAAAACCTGAAGGCAGATGGTTAGATACTGCAAGAGTCGTTTTTGAAGGACGTGCATCATCTTTGCGATTACCGGACCAAACGGAAGGAAACAATGGCAGTGTTGTGGCATAAATTGTCACTGGTCATGATGACCTCTCGACCAGGAACCAAAAGAACAGCTGACAGCAGACGTCTGTAGGTCTGCAATGCCACTTGAGCGACATCAGCCAATCGGTACAAACCGGCAAACAGTCTACACCAGTGTTTCTCAACTGCAGTCCTCACGACCCTGCACGGTACAACCTTCCACGATCACCAACCATCACGCGACATTGTGTGCAGTGGCTTAATTTGCGTATGAGTAATTAAAGAAAATGGTAATTCACGAAAACGAAATCCAGTGGCGGGGGTCTCCCGCATGGACTGGAGTTGAGAAACACCGGTCGACGAAAACAGAGCCCTGCATCGAGTCGCGCGGGCCCCTCACGGCCGCTGGGCCCCTCACGGCCACAGTCAATCCTGGGGGCAAGAAGTAGGGTCACACCCTCCAAGTGGTCGGGGTGGTAGGTCGTCACACCTGGCCGGGTTGATGATGTGCCTCTGCTCGCCAGTGCTGGGGTCAAGCAGCACCACCACGCACCTGCAGGGAAGGCAAACGCGGGGCAGCAAGGAGAAGCAAGCAGGCTCCTTGCCACTGCCCTATTCTGGGATAGAGGCAAAGGCTGTCATTTTGTAGGGGTTGGGGTTAGGAGTCGGGCCATTAAAGCCTCTCTTCTGCACCGCGGTAGTTTGATGCGCTGTCTTCCCCGCTTCCTGTGCATTCACACAGCTGTTTGCTTTCTGTAAACCGCAGTCCATCGGCTGTGACGACTTCTTGTGTATGTATTAATTGTGGATGACTTTCCTCCACATAAAACGTTTATTGTTCTGTACCATGCCTAGCAGCTCTCTTATCTAAGCAGTGGTGCACAACCTCGTTTATTGACATAGTTACGAGTCCCGGTTAATCATTCCCATCATGCAAGGCTGTAGCTTTTTACTCGTGACACGGGGGTTCGGGCTCGGGTTAATGCTATAAGAGTGAGACTTGTGGAGAGCATTTATGGTGGGGCTAACACTCAAGTAATACGTTTTTCAAGTTTAATTTATTAGGTATAGCCCTGTGAGCCATGCGGCTCTTCAGTCGGGTGCAACCGGAACAAACAAAATATGAACAGAGAAACATCTTAAAGCGACGACGCGCAACAGACACATCCTGGATATACCAGAAAATCTTCCGGAAAAAAACACCGTATTACAACGCTGTGTGCAAAAATCCCAGTGTGATGCAAGACAAACAATAACAACCGTAAGACATATTCTTAGTTCTTTCGGTAAAGTCACGTTGAAGGGAAACAACAAAATAATAAAATATATATAAAACAATAACAATTCTCACGACGTTTCGACCATAACACAAACGGTCGTCTTCAGGTGTGTTGGTTTGCAAACGTCGTGAGAATTGTTATTGTTTTATATATATTTTATTATTTTGTTGTTTCCCTTCAACGTGACTTTACCGAAAGAACTAAGAATATGAATTACTGCAGTCACGAAAGCTTTAAATCAAAATTTAACCGTAAGACAATTTAGATTCAAGTTATCAGGCCAACTCCGCACTTCTGCAAGAAACATGGCATAACCATATGTTTTAGAAATCCCCAAAATAAAGCTCAGGCTAAGGGAGTGAGAATTGTGGTGGCGCAGTGCACTCCGCACCGAAGTCAATGACCAGAAGTTCAATTCCCAGTCGCCCTCAGCCTCAAAGTGTCAACGTTAGTTGCTGAACATTTGAAACCGAAGAAGTAACCAATTCAGATTCGATCATTTAACAATTGCTCAAAGCAGCGTGAAGAGGCATATTCTTGGAATTACACCGAGACAATCACATGCATTAAACATGATAACATGGAGACATCACTGCGACCGAAGCAAAAAAAAGTGGACTTGGGACAGGACACTTGGCTAGAAGCGATGCTGGCCGGTGACCGAGACTCACGACGGAGTGGCGACCACAAGGAGGGAACGCGCCAAAGATTGATGATAACGTTCGTCGCGAAGATGGAGTAGCGAAATCAACTCGTGTACAGGAGCCAAGTTCGATTTTTCCATAGTTTGGTTATGGCAATATGCTGTAGGAGCTAAATAGCAATGTCGAGGTCTGTCAGCCACGAGAGGGCTTCAGGAGAGCGTTTGTGTAGTGTTGCTGTTCCTCGTTCGTTGAAGGAGCACAGACTACGGTGGTTTACAATACAGACCATAATTTAGGTTGCATGGCCACAATCGCACCACTGTCTGGCCTTACATTTTTCATTTATATAGGAGACATGGCCAACGGCCTGGTGGACGAGCTTGGCGACTTGTTACATCGCAAGACCGTGAGAAATGGCAACGGCTTGAGGCCTTCATTCAGCAGTGGATAAATCACGGTTGCTGCTGCTGATGATGATAATAACAACACTGCATGGGGAGGGGAATATTTTGGGGCCGGGGGCCTCACCCAGCTGCGTAGGCCACGATCCCCGATGTGGGATCGCACCCGAAGGCTGCAGGGCCCGCGGTGACTCCCAGCACCACCTCCAGGGTCGCGGAGGCCCGCCTCGCCGTCTCGGCCATCAGGGACCCGCTCTACCCGGGGTCACACGAGGTCACACGAGGTCACACGCAGTCACTAGGGGACGGAGGCGGCCCTCACTGTCTGGGGGGGCAGTGGGGGAAAAACTAAACAAAAATCCGCTCCGCTCCCACCCACCACTGCCTTCTTATTTAGAGGCGGGCAATCCAGTTTCGTGCCAGTCACAAAATTAAGTAATTCGTGAATCAATGAATGAATCAATTGAGCGCGTCGTGCCTATTGTGATTTTGCGTTCAAGCTGCTCGACATGATCACACTCACCTGGATGTTTGATGAAAGATCTATGATTTAATTAAGGTAGCTCACTGTGGATCACGCGGCATTATGGATGCAACGATGAATCATTAATGTATCCATATCCATTCTACATATCCATTAGATTCGTTCACAGCGTACTTCCCGGATTATAAGACGCACCCCAGGCTCGGATATGTTGTATATGTCATAGTAGGGAATAGTGTACACTGGTTACACATTTCTCATTATGGATCTGAAACATGGATGTTGACAAATGTAATGTTGACGAATGTAATTCACCCAAAGCCGAAAATTGCACTCAGTATTGACAGGTGCACGCGTGGAATTCTGTACAATTTTGATTGCCACCAGAGGCCGCTAAATCCACGACAGTAATCCCAGAACCCAGATCAGATACTTTGTCTGGTCGGTACCACCTGAGGTCGCACAACTTTAGCGGTTCCAAGTAATTATTGTGGCCAAGAAAAGTTACTTGCGTGATTAATACTTCAAATGAGTGGTTTATCAAATTATTAACTTTTATGCGCCATATAAATCCATCGGTATGAATTGAGTTGTGTTTCCTTGGTTGGTACCGATTACTGCTTTGTTTTATATTTTTATTGTTTCCCTTCTACGTGACTTTACCGAAAGAACCAAGAATACAGTCATGATCTATCCACTACTGGATAAAAAATACCTACACCATTGCCATTTCTCACGGTCGCGCAATCTAATAATAATTGCCATTCATAAGGTGCAGATGCCCATAGAGCCACTCACACTTGTGACTAAACAGTCACTCGTGAATCACTGGCGGAGAGGCGGAGTAGCCTTTTGCCCAGGCACACATTGCTATTCGGTAAGTTAACACCCCATAGTTACAGCCGAAAGTGCCGTAGAATTGCGGAACAAACTCCCCACGTATTCAGAGCCACGAGAGATATCCCGGTGGCTGTCAGGAGGAAGGAGATGGTCAGGTGATGATCAGTCACTGCTGGATGAAGCCCCCAACCCCCGTCCAGATTGACTCAGCCTGAAATGAGTAACCTGGTGCGGTACTTTGTGTAAACTCGGCACCGGTGGGAGACAAAGGTGGTCAGGCGTGGCGGTGACATGCCGGTGACCACGCCATCCCCTCGAGCTCCGTGCAGATCTTAATATAGGTGCTCGCTAACATTTTGGTTTCCTTAGAGACGCAATGAGGTCAAGGCGACTTCCTGGTTTGAGGACAGGAGCCTCGGCGAACATGCAACGTTGGACGAACGTTGGCGTGTGGTTGGAACCGTTGAGGCTACGTCGACCCCAACGTTCCATGTTTGCCGGCAAGCAGATTCGATTTCCAAGGTGGACGCGCGTACGAAGAAGGTGCCTCTTTAATTTCCCCTGTAACACTTAAGACATCGGTCTATCAGTGCATGTTTTTGATGATGCCACCTGCGTCGGCGACGTGGCAACAAATAACAAAATAACCTCAACACTCTTGTCAAACAAAAAAAATCACATCGCGTGGCCTAAAAATGGTAAAAAAAATAAATACAAAAAAAAAACACATCTCGTGGAAATCGATGGAACCTCTCGACCTCCGCAACCGGGCTTGCATTTGCTGCCACGCAGGACGACCGGGACAGGCTTGGAGAGCGGAGAAGTGTCTCAATTTTTGTTGTTGTTAAAATGAAGCCACATGACGTCTAAGCTATTGCATTGCAGCATGACGTCATTGTCCCCCGAACATGGCTGCTTGATCTCAAGACGCGAGTCTGTTCTCGTTATTCTTTTAAATCCCGAGGAGCATATCTAGACGCCGTTTCGTAAGTGCCACGAATTAAGGGCCGTTGCCCGAAACGTCCGCCAATTATACGGGTTTTTTTAATGTTACAGATGCGCGCACCTCCCCCGTAAATGAAAAAATAACAAGCCACCAAACTGTAGACGAGAGACGAAACCACTGTTTGTTTGTGCTCCCATCAGGGGAGGAGCAGCAGCAGCACAAACTTCAAACTCTCCCCCGAAGCCCTCTCGTCGTGTGTGCAGTAAGACGCCCCCCCCCCCCTTACGCTCTTCGACATACGCACATCCATCATACCGCGCGGATGATGGAATGTGGTTGTTGACGGGCTTTTAGTTGTGTGTGAGTGAGTGTGTCATCTATCTAGCGACATCTAGCGGCCGTCCTCAGCTTCGTTGCGACTACTCTCCACTATAATCCACTGGCGTGTCACGCTCCGCGAGAATCGAGTCTCCTCTCGTCGGCGGCGAGGAGCGCTGGGGAGCCGTGACCGCCGGCTAAAGTCGTCCAAATTTCTTCCTAAAGGAGGTGGCGGCGTTCGTCACGACGGTGCGGGGAGACCACCCCAGGGGTCAACCACCCCAGGGGTCAATCACCCCCGGGGGGGGGGGGGGGGGAAGCCACCTCCAGGCGGGCGGGCCGGCTCAGGTGAGAGCCCCTCCCCTCCCACGCCACCGTGGCCCCGCCTGCCACCACCACCATCATCACAACCCCCCCCCCCACTCGCCCAGGTAAAACTACAGCAAAGCGGTGGCTGGTGGGTGGGGAGGCGAGGCGTAGGCAAAGCCGAGGAGGGGCCATGGCGAGGAAGGGGACAATGCGCCACTGAGCAGGTCCGCCCAGCGCCCGTCACGACGCGCGGGGTTGCCGCTGTTTCCTGGGCCCTCCTCTACCCTCCGCGCTCGCTCGCTCGCTCGTTGTCTCCTCTGGGCCCTCTACACAGGTAACCGAGGCTGCCTTCTCTACCCACCACAGCCTCCATCTGCCGCCGCCGAGGAGGAGGAGGGAGAAGACGAGAAGGAGGAGGGTACAAGCGGTACGAGGGACCATGGGCTCGGATACCCACTCTTCCGCACTGCTGTTGCTGCTGCATCTCTCCGCTCTGCTCGCGGCCACGGCCGAGTCCCAGGACGGTCCCCCGTGCCTACCCTCGCTCATAGAGGCCACCGCCGTGACGGGCGGCGAGGGCCTGGGCACCTGGGACGTGGCCGATGAGGACGCCTGCGTGGCCCTGTGCTGCGCCATGGCGCGCTGCGACACGGCTGTGCTGGGGCCTCAAAGGGCCTGCGAGCTGTTCGCCTGCGAGGACGTCCCGTGCAACTTCGTAGACCACGAGGAGAGCAAGGTCCGATTCGTGGAGCCCCAGATCCAGCCGGCGACCGCGGAGGAGATGGGGGAAGCCCCGACGAGCGAGCAGGGTAGGTGGACACTCGCTTGGCCACCTCCTCGTGGGCACGAGGGCCTCGTCTGGAGTGGGGTTGGGAGCTTGGGGCAGCGCAGAGGGCCCCCGTAGCGAGGAGTAGAGTGAGCAAACAGGGTGTTGGGGTGGCATGGTGAACGTTACAGGTGGGTGTTTGCGGTCGTGGTTAGTGGTTGATTTTGGTGGGTGATGGTGCTTTGGTTGGGTGATGATGGTGGTCAGTATCGATGAGTCCAGTTGGTGATGATGGTGATCGGGGTTGGGCATTGACTTCAGGGCGAATTAGTGAGGTGGGTGGTCATAAGGATAAGGATTTATATGTACAGGGCGCTTAAATTCCTCAAACTCAACGCGCCTTGCACCACATTTCAGTAATTGCAATGGTCAGCTGACGTTTTAGCCTAGGGGACCCTCTGATGTCCGATGACCCCCCCCTGGTAATTAGGCAGTTTGATTTTAGTGGTTGATTATTTGTTGGCAGTTTTAGCGGGCAAATGGAGTGGATCATTCTGGGGATCAGAGGGGAGAAGTATGGTGTTGTGTGGTCAAAGTGGGTGACCTAGGTGGACGAGTAGGAAGGATAATTGTCAACAGATGCCTTTATTAAAGCACAATAATGTGTATTTCTTAGGGCCCATCACTAAATGATTCAGCCAAGGGTCCTGACAGCCGTGGGTTCCCTTTGTTTATATTGGTGTTGCTTGGCGAGCGATCATGGCCACGCTGGAGAACAGTCTCATCAGTAGGGCCTTTGCCGTGAAACAATCTGTGTGCTCCTCACCCATCTCGAATATTCACCCATCACAAGTCCCTGCCCATCACGAATCCTCACCTTTCACTAATATTAACCCATCACACATCACGAATCATCAACAATCACAAATATTCACCCGTTACAAATCCTCACCCATCGCATATCCTCATCCGTCACTAATCCTCACCGATCGTCCGTCACTTATTCTCAACCAACATGATATGTGCCACGCCTCTTTAATCACACTGATATTTCACAAGCAGACCCCGCGCTCCGCAAGATCCCATTACACATTGTGATAAAAGGGGTGCGTTTGGTAATGCCGCTGCTCAATTACAGGGAGCGGTCTGCACGCTAATCTCATTGAAATCAAAATGTGATGCAAGTCCAATGAGCTGATGAGCTGCACAGTGGCCCCTCAATTCATGTGTTGAGAGGGACCCAAGATTTGAGAGTTTGAGAAGTGTGTGTCCCTTGAGAAGTGTGACCAAGACGTACCATAGTGCTCGGGTCTCGTTTACACGGAGCATGGGTGTGGGATTTCATGCTCTTGGTGTTTGAGCACCGAGGGTAATGGTAGAGATGGCGGCTGTGTAAATATTAAGCAATAAACACAGCAATCAGGCCCCACTACACGCGTACACTCTTCCTTACCTACAGTAGGACGTTGGTTATCTCTGTGATGTTATATTGGCAGATATTTAAATTGGGCCTATGACCAAATCGCCCAGAATGCACCCGATCTCGTTATCCAGCACTGGAGGCGAGGGTTGGTGGATTGGACAAATTAAAAAGTTTCCGAGGCTCCCTGTGGACACCCAAGAGCCATACTTGTGGCTTGCGAGCAGTATGCAGTACAGGACAAATGTGGACTAAATCATCTGTCCCTTCTGTGTGGGACAGTGTTGCTCCATCATATGCGTGGGTTTTCTCCAGGTGCTCCGATTTCATCCCACACATATAAGCACTCACTACTAATCTTAATGTAAAGAGAACTGAAGATAAATTGTTGGCGCTGGATCACCACCTTGCGGCCTTCCAGCTTGTCTGTGTTCCTCAGTGATTGTAAGATACAATTTGCACATACGACGCTGTATAAATCAATCGTTAGAAGTTTTTTTTTGTGTTAACGGAGAGCAGTGTAGCAAAGACCACTCTCACACTGTGCGTTTAGACTCACCACCAGCACCACCACCACCATCATCTTGATGATGTCTGGTGATGGATGCTACTACCTCATCACCGCACTGCCCCATTATTGTAGGTATAATGATGCTTGCATTTTCATGCCCGTCTTGATTCTGAAGTTTGCTATGCATGTCAAATCGCTTAAGAATCAATGTTTTTAAATTTGTATTCGTATGTAACGTGTTCATGTTATTCCTGCAGCCACTAGTGGCCGTGACATTCACCACAGTGTCAAAAAAACTTTTCTAATCGATTTACGACCCTGAATCACGAATGAACATCAACATCATCGACGGTCAATGGTTTCACTTATAATTGGTGTTACGCGCATATTTTAGTTTCATAAACACGTGTTCTTTGTGGCATGAACCGGAATTAGCAGACGTACCGAAACGCACTGCTTCATGTGATTGGCCAATCTGGGAATATTTGCTTGTTACATAATTAATTGGTTCCAAGCAATAGCGGCGTGAAGCAAAAACAAGCCGTGCGAACACCTGGAGCCCCAAGCAGCTTGAGGGAGTCTTAAATAATCTAGGGGTGTGTGTAGTATCGGCTAAATTCCTATACGATAGACATTACAAACCCATTCATATATATTTTTAAAAGGCAACTGATCTCTCACATCTATCTTGTCCGCATCTCTCCATCTCAATTTTTGTCTCTCTCTTGCCTCACTACATTTATGTCTCACCTGTATATCTCATCTCTTTTGTCCAAATTTTTCGAATCTCACTACACCTCCATCTCTTGTCTGTATCTCTTCTGTCGTCTCACCTCTCTTAAAAGCCCTACCACCTGCCACAGCCGCCACCCTCCACTGGCATGGACAGAAACCATTACACGAAGGTCGGACAAAACGCTGCGTGAGTGACACGACTTTAAAAGCGCATCTATGGGAGCAACATCGGCTCTGTATTCTTATTAATAACAACAGCGGTGTCAGGTGTGGCTGTGTTCAGAGATATACTGTACATGCCATACGCACGGAAGCTGCTTGAAATATGTTCACTTCTCAAAGCTTTCCACCACCACCACTTGTCTGAGTGGATGGTGGCGTGGGAGGTTGATGAGTCGTAATACCGTAGGACTCGCAGTTACTACTCCCGAAGTATGATGAGTCACTCTCCCTATCATCTAAGCCTTCTCCACTACCCCCCCCCATACCATCACACCCGTCATTGCGCTTTAAAATGTAATTATTTTGTCAGATTGAGGCCACTTTCTCAATCTACATACTGTGTTAATGTAAAATAGATTCAAAGTTATATTACTGTATTCTCAGGATTATATGATTCTCCAAAAAATAAAATGCACCGCAAACTTATGCCCGGTGTCAATAAAATTATACAGATCTGGTCACGCACAGCTACTGGATTATAAGGTGCACCCCCAACTTTCCCTTTAATTTACAGGGGAGAAGTGCGTCTTATGATCCGGAGAATACAGTACGTAGACTTTGAAAGTAAATAATAGTTTGCTGAGCGGCTGAGCCCTGTAGATGCAATGTCGTTGGCTGGCTTCCCACAGGTGTGCGTCACCTCAAAACCGGTCCACATTCTGTCACTGAAAACGTAACAGGACGACCGCTACCCTCATCGCCGCCCAGATCCACTGCCAAGTCACCCATGTCCCACACGCTCTCATGGTTGTGTTACCTACTTGTGGTCGATATTGCTGGTATAGCCAGCCCGGCCAGGGTGTGTGCCGCTGGCACTGGTGCTGCGTGTACTGTGTTTGTGTTCCTGCCTCTATCTATAACATCGCTTGTTTATCGAGCGGGCCAGAGACGTGACACGTTCCTCATTTTGTACGCCTGCGTGTGTGCAGCGAGTACCCGTTCAGGACGGTCGGTCTCATTGTTTTCATCCGGTGTGCTGAAGATTTTTGTTACAAATTATGGGTTACATTTGTATAGAAAAACAAACTCGAATTCGCAGACCCATTACTCGCCCCGAGCAGCCGCGGACATTCCAAGAGAGAGAGAGAGAAACGCACAAATCACATCCCTGGGACCGCTTGCGTCACAGCATGCTCCTGCGGTCGCCTAGCCCATAGTAAACACCTCGGATAGACAGTGGAATGGGTCGGGGGGGGGGAAGGGCTTCATTTCTTACTGTATTTATTCTGGGTCACCGGTAGACTGAAAAAGGTGGCACGTGTCCAGTCGTAGCTGCAGCTGTAGTTCACGGTATACTAGATACGGTGTGCCGGGTGTGGAGATATTACCGACCCAGAAAGACCCACCTGAAATTTAAGCCCTCGATGGAGTTGTTTTGATGCAAGCGAGACAACCACAGGGTGACAGCATCTGGGACCCCCCCCCCCGCCAACCACCACGACAACCGAAGATGAGATAAAACCCGGTAAAAAATGATTATCAGTTTGTTGCACATGCAGAAATGTCTCAAACAATAAACTCAGCATGTTTAACATTTTAAGTGGGAAATGAGGGGAGCTGCCACAGCAGTTGCAATCATTGTCACACTGGGCTTTCAATCCAGGTCGCCAGTTGGATTTAAACTCCCAGCGCCAGCAGTTTAATCAAGGGGGATAGTTTCTTAAATCCCTCCCCCCCGCCTCCTCTCCACCCGGCAGGCTAAATGAGTTCACCTTAGTTCAGTCGATTGGCAGGTCCCGTGTGGTCGGGTAAAGTGTGGCTACGCCCACCTCCATCCGAGACGTCTTGGTCAGAGTTGAAGAGTAGGCCCAATACCCCCCGGAGCTCACGCCAGTGAAGGCCCTTCCGCCAGCAGTGGTGTGAGCGAGCAATTTCAGGGCTGCCCCTTTAATTGTAACTTTGAAATGAGGACACATGTACCGTGCGGTGAGCCGCCCGTATCATTTGTGCGTTCGTGGGGCCCGATCGGTGCAGATTCCTCTCGACAATTACCGGTTTCTGACTTCCGGAATCGACAATTGATTGCGGTTAGCATTTGTCGTCGAAACAACATGCATTGAAATTAAACACCTGCGGCCTGTTGTTGTGAAAACACGGCTGGATAAAGGTCCTCCCCATGGCCTGTTGCTTGGAGTTTACCATGCTGGTCCGGTCCGGGTTGGTGAAGGGCTGGGGCCGGGAGGGGGGGGGGGGACTGGTGATAAGTTTTTTGTTTGTTCTCACTGCCAGTTTGTTTATTGCAGCGCTTTATTTTATTTGTTTTGCTCTTGTAATTTGCAAGAGTGGCCCAGATGACACTTGCAAATGAGACTAATCCTGGTCTCTTGTGTTCTCGCCTGGATTAAACAAAATCAACGTCACTTAAAACCGCAGTTCCGCCGTTCCAACCACGTGGCAAAGTTACTTTGACGTTTTGAGACGTGGAGAGTTGCTGAGGGCACACCACACTAGCGGCTGTTTTCGGTTATTCTCGCTCCATTTATTAGCCCTGGCTGTAAACACCAGGTTTTTAGCGAGGAGGCGTGGTGCCGTGTCAGTGAACCTCCTGGTATGGGCCCCGTGTGTGTGTGTGTGCCCTGATGGTCTGTTGCCAAGCAGGTGAGACACACGGCAGTGTCCTTGTGAGGCTCGCACTTTGTACTGCGAATTAAATTATTTATGGATGCGGATTAGCGCTGAATAACAGGGCAAGTTGTCGCATCTTGCACATTTCGCGTGGTAGCAATGAATGCAGAGGCCGTTTCCTGGTGTTAAGTACACAAGGCCAGAACACTTTCATCTGATGAGTCACCCCTCCACCCCCCCCCAGAGATGTGACAATTTAGGGTCAATGTTTGGTTCAGGAATCGATTCTCTTTTTGCATTGCGTCTTGCCTTTTTCTTTTATTTTCATATACCATTAGCATACAATTAGCATATTTATTATCCCTTTGTAAATCCACTGCTGCATGAAGGCCTCCACAAGCCATCATTCTTGATTGAACGCGTGTATCGTGAGCATAATAATTGGAATCGACGGCCAATGTCCGACAATTACGCAGCAGTTAAAATGTTTTCTGAGTGCAACGTTCCCTGGGCGGCAGGTGCCATAAATTTCAACACTGGCACCACTGAGCGACAATCTTCTACTCCCGTCGTGTGTGGAAGCAGACATTTGCAAGCTGCCTCCGAAGGTGGGACATTGTCGTGCCCGCCTGACGCGCTGGTTCTACGACAGAGAGAGCCGCTCCTGCCAGACCTTCATCTACGGGGGCTGCAAGACCAACGGCAACAACTTTGAATTGGAGGAGAAATGCCTGCAGCGCTGCGGGGAGGGTCAGTTCGCCTGCTGCACAGCGTGCCGCGTACGCTTTTAAATTGGCGGAGGGGGGCCACCTTTGCCTTACCAAGGGCCGAATAGGGCTTTGAAAATATCCTTGTAGGGCCACCGCCGATTGCCACACTCGGTCACTCCTGTCACTGCGAAAGAGCCATTGCAGTTGCAGAAGTGATTGAGCGCACCGATGTTAAAACACATCGTATTGCCAAGGTCGCCAATTTTGCCCTCTCGTACCCGATTACTGTTGTGGAGATGATTGTAGTGGGATGTTGTGACATGGTAGACCTCATGTGGCCTGTTCAATTTGTGCGATAGCTCGACTACTTGGGCAAATCATGGAAGCACCACGTGGTTAACCAACGTGAGTCATCCATCAACGTTAGTTGTCCGAGTTGAGTTTCGGGAGATCTTTATTTTACTCAAGTCGACGCGAGTCGTTTTGGATCTGGGTTCAAGCATCTTTACCCACGGTGATGCCGTCGCGTTGCATCTTGCTTCCTCGGGCAGTCTATGGGGCTGCGCAGACTGCACCCCGCTTGCTGGCATTGGTGTAAGAAGTATAGGAACTTTGAGACCACCGTATTCATGCACTGGACTCTTTTAGTCTCCGAGCGTGCACGTGTACGCTGTCACGGTGCATCGTGTCTCGTTTCCCCGTGTGCCGTTCGGGAGCATGCTTTCACGCACGCAAATCTAGCGGTCGCTGCTCACTCGCTTGTGGACGGACATCGCCGTCTGACGTTCCCTTCCCATGTAGGTGCAGCTCCACAGGTGCAGGAGCCCCAGAGAGTCGTGGGTGTGCAGGAGGAGGGACAGGGGGAACATCACCCACCCACGACCTCCACCCCAGAACAGAAATCCAACGAGGAGCACTTCTCCGAGCCGCCCCCGCCATTCTCTACCGGTAACCGACGGCACCGTCTTGTCGCCACCGCCCTCCGCCGTTAATATCCATTGCGCCCCCGGTGTTTCGGTATCGGTATTTCACCGCGTGAGAGTCGGGCCGCGGGTGCCTGAGCGGTCATGGTGGTGGGAATGTGCGTACGTAACCGAGTTTCACACCTGCCACCCGTGGCAGATGATTGCTTGTCCATGCCCGATAAGGGCCCGTGCAGGGGCAGCCACTGGCGCTGGTTCTACTCGGCCGAGTCTGGGGGTTGTGAGAAATTCATGTACGGCGGCTGCCAAGGCAACGGGAACAACTTCCACAGCAACCAGCAGTGCCTCTCCAGCTGTGGCTTGCAAAAAGGTAACAGCGTTGCAAAGGGCCTTGCTCTGGCACCTGCTGCCCTGCCTTTTGCTCTTGGGCACTGAAATGTGGGAACTGGGTATGGTGGCACTCCACTGCCACACCCACTGGGGCTGTGATGCAGCTGGGAGATCGGAGTACGGCAAGTAGACCTTTGAGCATTATCTTCTCGTGTCAACAGGTGTTTTCCGGGCACTCCAGTTTCATCCAATGTGCAGAATACTTCTTTAAAATACAACTGGCCCCAATGCTGGATCACGCGATAAAAGCGTCTTGAGACTGAGTCTTTAATTCATTTTCTGCTGCCCTCCGTAGTCTGCAACTTCCTTGCACCAGCCGCCCGTGCTGTCTGTTCCCTGTTCAAGTCCAGGCTCAAGATCTTCCTTTAATAATATATGAATGATTGCCTCGATATATAATAAATGTCCCTGCTGTTTCTGTACAGCTTCTTGAGATGCGATGTAAATAAATACCTTGATTTTCATCTTCATTATTAAGGCATGATACAACCATTTCTGAACTTTGTTTAGTTTGTTTTTGTCATTTTGCAGACCCAGGTCACTGTTGAAAATGAGACTCATCGTGTTTTCTTGAGTTCTCATTCTGTTTGCTCAAAATCAACTTTTAAACTTGACCGGTTTGCGCTGATGATTATTAAGAACCCATCCAAGTAACTCCCCTCTCTTTTTGCTCCCGTTACAGAACCGATGTCAGGAAAAGGAAGAACGCTGCAGAGCTACGGTAATTCACGTCGCTGCAGCACTCTGCACTGCCACTCTCCACGGCCCTGAGCCTTGGTCGTGCGTCTCCTGTCTCTCACGTCCCGCGTTCTGTCTCCCTGTGTTGCCGTCAGAGTTCTGCAGGCTGGAGGCGTTGACAGGGTCGTGCCGTGGCTCGTTCACCCGCTGGGTCTACACCCCGATCAACGGCTCCTGCTCCGAGTTCACTTACGGCGGCTGCCGCGGCAACCAGAACAACTTCCTGCTGGAGGCCGAGTGCCTAACGACCTGCGGCCTGCAAAACGGCACCGGTACAGCCCCATCATCCCTCTTCTCCGTCTTGATGATATGTGCTTTTATTAGTTTTTTTTTTTATCATGTATTCATCTTGTTGCCACTCTGCATTGCAGTGGGATTGTCAAGTACTTTGTGAGGCCTTCGTTCTAAAAGCTTTGAATCTAATGCGTTGGCATTGCCACTGTTGCAGCGGCGAGGTCCCGGATAAAGCCGGATGACTTGGACCCCGCCGGTAAGACTGTCATCCCTTTCACACACATGACCGTTCCCTCCCACGCACGTTTGCTCTCGTACCCGTTCCCATCCCGCGCACGTTCCATCCTGTGCCTGTTCCCGCCTGTGCCCATTGCCTCTCTTGCCCATTTCCTCATGCGCTCGACTCGTCCACCTGCCTGGGTAGACGTGTGCCTGCTGAATCCCACCACCGGCCCGTGCCGTGGCTCCTTCACACGCTGGACCTACGACGCCGCGACGAGCACCTGCAAGGAGTTTACCTACGGCGGTTGTCGCGGCAACCAGAACAACTTCCTTGAGGAGGCGGAGTGCCTGATGGACTGCGGACGGAGCGACGGTGGGTACCAGCGGGCGGGGCATGCGGGCCGGCGTTGCTGGGCAATGACGATTTTTTTCCGTTTGCGTTTTTCCGCGACTTATCGCCGCGCACGACACGTGGTTTCCTGGCAACCACGGTGATTCTGTGGTCACACGCTCGGCGACGCAGGTCGACAACCGAATGCACAAACCGAGGCACGTGGTGGAAAACTGGTGCGCACCTAAGAGATGGGAAACATAAAAGAAAATAATCGAAAGCTCCCATAATTTTTTTATCGTAAATCCAAACCGCTACACTCTTGTTTTACTTAAAATGGCCGTTTACTGCTGGCAGTTTGGGAGTTGGCCATGTATGTACAATGCTGCAGGAGATTGCCGGCAATAAGCAGGTGCAAAGTGTGCCACTCGAGATAAGCACGTGTTTGCGAGTGCGTTGCCTCTCGGAGCCACAAGCTGGGGTCTCACGGGATCTCTCCTCTCCACTCACAGGTGCCGACCACGCTCTCGTATTCAGGACCATGGCTCCTCCAGAAGGTGAGGTTCACAAGGTCACGGGCAGCTCGCCCTGCTTCCTCCCCCATCATTAAGATACCGTTTATAAATTACCATCGATCCTTTCGGGTCACGAACGCAACTCCGTGTGTGATTAGACATCTGCCTGCTGGAGGAGGCCGTGGGGCCTTGTCGAGGCTCTTTCACGCGCTGGATCTACGATGCTGAGAGCAGCAACTGCAAGGAGTTCACCTACGGAGGCTGCGGCGGAAACTTCAACAACTTCCTGGAGGAGACGGAGTGCATGGTCACATGCGGCCGATCGCTGGGTACCCTGCGCACGTGCAGATACCATCGCACGTTGAATTATTGTTCGGTAAATGTTTAATTCGAGAACCGAAACCTTGGTCGGTCTGGCAACTGGACGATGTAACGCTGACACTGACCTCCTTCTCTTGCAGAGGACGACGATGGTAAAATCCACATGGTCGCCACAGAGATCCCTCCCGGTAAGACTCGGCACAAATGAAAAAAAAAAACGAGCTCGTATGGGGTTCAGGAAAGGAATTTTGATGGCACTTTTCTGTGCCATTTATGACGTCACTTTCACCACTCAATCCCGTAACGATTGAGTAGATAACTTAATATTTCTATGATGTCATAATGGTCATTCTTAAAGCTTACAACTAAGGATGAAGGTCAAGTTTAGAGATCAGCATATTATCTTCAATTCAGTGAAATGGATTACCAAAATGACAAACAATACAAATAAAAGTACAGCAATGAAGCAAATATCACTGTGATAGCCAAGTCGTTTCTGAAAAAGAGCTCTATAGCTCAGTGGGCCTTACCTCGTAAGTCAAAATAGTCGTAGTAGTATATAATAGTAGTAGTAAATAATTCCTGTTTTCTCATTTCCTCGTGTTGGATGACTCGACGGCTTTTCCACGTCCAAGACGTCTGCCTGCTGGAGGCCGTCACGAGCCCGTGCCGCGGATCCTTCACGCGCTGGACCTACGACGCCGAGAGCGGCCACTGCAAGGAGTTCACATACGGAGGCTGCGGCGGAAACTTCAACAACTTTCTGGAGGAGACTGAGTGCGTGGCCATGTGCGGCCTGCAAGACGGATTCGGTGAGGAGCTCGGGGACCGGGCTCGGAGCACACAGATCCCCCGTGTAGCTTCTGACAGGCTGCTGGGGAAAGTTCCGTTAGCGAGCACCTACTTGGGCCTGCAGTGGTGTGGCCTGTATTACGCCATACTGTCTTTGTCTCTGCGTGTGCTGATGTTTACATCCTACATCGGGTGCTCAATTCAGGCCGAGTAGACTCAAGGGAGTCCCAGGACTGGTTCTGATATCACTCGCCACTCGCATTTGCTGTGGGCGGAACTCAAACTCAGTTTGCTGTATTCGTCGCGCAAGTATGCCGACTGCTGCACCACCACTGTGTGCATTTGGACACACATAGCAAGGCCACCAGGAGCCAGGGGTCCGAGTGTGGAGGGCACATAGACAACGCGGGGTTATATTGTTTTTGAGCTGGTGGCGTTTTGGTTAATCCTTCCGGGTATCGCAGTTTCGAGTTTAGGTTCCAACTGGGGTTCGGTCAACCGATTTTTATTTTGTGAAAACTCTAAACAGCCAGTTACTGCTTTTTGGATGGTCCCTACCATGGGATAGTTGAATTGCTACCACTAGCTCAGGGCAAGTGGTGAAGATTAGTCAGTGCGGCCGCCTAGCTGGTGTGAGTGGGAAGACGTTTAGGCTGGCCTAAATGATCAAATTGGCAGACAGGTGGTCGGGTGGCTCAACGGTCAGAATGCTAAGGCAGCACTGCTGAGATCCTGCATTCAATACCAGGTTTCGGCCATTTGTGATCAATCCATGTTCCCAAGTGTGACGAATTAATGGTCTCGGCCCGGTCACCAATCCTCGTGTAAAAAAAACCCCATAGTGTTAAATTTCCTTCTGCATGTAAATTACGTTTTAATTGTAGCTCAGACAATTAAGATATTGGCTTTTCTATCACGGCACAAACGGGACAAAACTGGGGGGGGGAATTTACGACAACAAAAGAGGAGCCGAACTCACGGACGAAGCGTGCGTCGCTCGTACATGGAGGTGCGTTGCTGTGACATGTCCGGGAGGGTTAACGCGCCCCCGCTGCTTGTCGTGTGGTGATGCAGTGGATATCGGCGAAGGAGAGGGCCAGCTGCGCTTGGCGGTGCACAAGCTCGACGCAGGTAATGCACCGCACTCGCAGGGATTTCTTAGGTAGCTCTGTGATATCCTCTTCTGTGGACCGTTATGATAGCGGATTTTTCTATTGCGTCGTTCATGCAAATTGCATCTCACAAACGCTGATGAACTGCAGACAGGCTGGAAGGCAGCCAGCAGGTGGTGATTGGCGCCAATAATTGCCTGAGCCCTGCGGTCCTATTTTTTCAGATGTTTTCAGCCACTTAAAGAGCCTTTATACATATGGAAGGAAACCAGAGCACCCATAGTAAACCGCTGTGTGCGAGGGGGCAACACTCTATCCCATACATATTAGTCCTCACTTTACTGAACCGCATTCTAAAAAGTCAGAGTATTGCACTTCCTTGACTCCCATGGGAAGGGAGTGTCACAACATTTATGCGGTGATCCACGAACCCTCACTGCTTCCACAGTACTGGATTACAGGCCACATGCATAGCCACCACTGGGTTACACTGCTCAGCTCGTGACATGGCGACGACAGCACAGTCGGGCGGGGAAAATACTGAAACGTAACAGAATCTGATTGGCAAATGCAGCCTGAACGAAGCACCACCGTCGTCACGCCGAGCGCTGTCCACAGAGGCGTGCCTGATGGAGGCCGTCACGGGCCCGTGCCGCGGATACTTCACGCGCTGGACCTACGACGTAGAGAGCGGCCGCTGCAAGAATTTCACCTACGGCGGCTGCCGTGGCAACCACAACAACTACGTAGACGAGGCGGACTGCAAGGCAAACTGTGGACCGTCTAAAGGTGTGACGATAAGTTACGGCACCAGAGACTTCCCGCTTGACAGCCACAGCTTTTGAATATTCTGCATTGCCCAAAAAAAACATTTCTGCACGTGTTTTGTTTTGTTTGCGAGCCGTTTATGCTTTTGAGGTTGTCTTGTGCGGCATAGTATGTATGTTAAACTTCTTTTGTAGGGGAGAAGGACAACAAACTAAACACAAAGTGATGTGCTGCTGTATGTTTGCTGCTTTATACATTCGAATTATTGTGAAAGAATGTGTGTTTTGCAAATGTGCTGAATGGCGCTGGAGTGATCCCTTTTGTTGTCTGCTCCCAGGAGGCTCCACCTCGAGGCTGTTTGATTCGGACAACTCCAACGAAGGTTTGAACTCCTGTTTTACAAACCTAAAACTTGACTGCTTTAACTCTGATGACCGCAAACTTCTGTTAAAGGCTGCATGGGGTATCTTTATCTTTGTGTATACAAGCATTTGTCAGTCAACTCTGAACACTTGGGTCTATTTCCTGACCTGCCAATAAGCCTTCCTCACTTCATGCGACATCAAGTACACCTAGTCTGGCACAGGTGCTGTGGTGACGTCACCGCCGCACAGTGTTAAATGGAGACTGTTGTAATTGTTGTTGTAAATGCATCTGTGTGCGTCTGGTTGTGCTCTCACCTGCACCGACTCCAGACCTCTGCAAAGCGGAGCCCCAAACTGGGCCATGCCGGGCCCACTTCCAGCGCTGGTACTACAGGGACAGCACCGGCGGCTGCGCCAAGTTCACGTATGGAGGCTGTGCCGGCGGTTTCAACAATTACCTGACAGAAGAGATCTGCCTGAATGCCTGCTCCGGTAGGCCCCCCATCTCCTGCCTGCCCCTCAGGTCCCCCAGATACCCACGCCGTCTTTGCTTCCCCACCCCCAACTCCTCATTCTCTTCCATTGAACTGTTTGACCCCTGCTTTGAGAGTCATGGATGGGGCATTACTGGATGGGGCCACCCACAGGATCCTGGGGGCCTCTGTCGTGTGAGGTCTGGGGCAAATTGCCCTTTTTTTGCCCCCTCCCCCTCTGGTTTTTGGTTGGCCCTGCTCCTGAGAAAATAAATGTGAATTGTAATCGATTCTCATGCTCAGGATACATGTATCGTGGAAATCGAATGTCCACAGTGTGTCATGTAATTGCTAAAGTTCCAACGTTTTGAGAGTGCAGTTTCTAGGCAGCGCGTAGTGCAAAATGCACTCTTCACCTGCGTCGGTGGGTCTCTTCAAAAACAGGGCTGTTGCCTGCAAAGTTATTCTGTCAATATACGTTACGGATGACAGGCATGTTAATGACTCTAGATTTGAAGCTTTCGTGACTGCAAGGATTCATACTCTTTGGTTTTTTCGGTAAAGTCACGTAGGTAACATAAAATGAAAACAACTAAATTAAATCACGACGTTTCGGAGGCAACACAAGCTTCCGTCTTCAGGTGGAACAGTCACAGCAAAATAGCTGTATCAAGTGAAGAGCTCTGAGACACCCGAGATTATATACAGGTTAAGGGGGGGGGAGGAGCCAGGAAGGGACATGGGTGGGGGGGGAGGGCTAAGTTAAGCCGCCTTTGTTATGCTGCAGGGGGTTCAGGGGAAGCGATGGCGCGCTGCACGAAAACGAGTACAGCCCACTGGAAGAAATGTAAATGGCTGTACAATTATAAGGCAGCTAAAGTTTGACTTGGTTGATAACATCTTTCCAATGGTTGCTCAATTTAAAACCATCCTCTCGGTTGAAGTTGTGTCTATGTTTGTATATCTGGATGGCTTCATGGATAAATCTTTGGTAATAATCGGGAGGTTTGCAGAGTACTTTGGTATCAGATCTAGGTCCGGTTCAATACAGTACACAAAATCCGTGATCTGATACCATCTGGAAAGGATGTCATTCCTGACTTACAGTACCCCGGTGTTTACAAATTGAGTTGTACCTGCGGTGACTGCTATATCAGGGAGACGAAACGACATTTCTGACCGAATTCGCGAGCACAAATCAGATTTGAAACACAACAGAAAGAATTCTTCGGCCGTAGCTGATCGTTGTTTCAACACAGCGGGTTCTCATGACATTGTTTTCTCCGATACCAAAGTACTCTGCAAACCTCCCGGTTATTACCAAAGATTTATCCATGAAGCCATCCAGATATACAAACATAGACACAACTTCAACCGAGAGGATGGTTTTAAATTGAGCAACCATTGGAAAGATGTCATCAACCAAGTCAAACTTTAGCTGCCTTATAATTGTACAGGCATTTACATTTCTTCCAGTGTGTTGTACTCGTTTTCGTGCAGCGCACCATCGCTTCCCCCAAACCCCCTGCAGCATAACAAAAGGCGGCTTAACTTAGCCCCTCCCCCCCACCCACGTCCCTTCCTGGCTCCTCCCCCCCCCCTTAACCTGTATATAATCTCGGGTGTCTCAGAGCTCTTCACTTGATACAGCTATTTTGCTGTGACTGTTCCACCTGAAGATGGAAGCTTGTGTTGCCTCCGAAACGTCGTGATTTAATTTAGTTTTCATTTTATGTTACCTACGTGACTTTACCGAAAAAAAACAAAGAGTATGTTAATGACTTTTTGTGTGTGTGTGATGACCTGTCTGTGTGTGCGCAGCAGAATCCAATGCCGACAGAAACGTCAATGAGTCTGGATCCCTTCGAGGTGACTGCACTGACCGACACTTAGCTCTGTCGCACTCACGCAGGGAATCTCTGCGCAGCGCTGAGTTTGTGTATCTGTGGAGCAGCTGCGTGTGTCTGGCCGCAGAGGTTCGGTGCTTGTTTGTATGAACAACGGGCGGTAGCGTGGCTCGGTGTTGCTGCATATGTCACTTGTGAGAGAGGTTCGCGTTTCGAGCCCAGCAATCGCCGTGGTTATTACCGCGCGTGTATTATCCACGGAATATGCACAGTCTGCTTTAAAGTTGATGTCAAAGAACCCCTGGACGTTATTCAAAAACAGGCCATTGTGTGCTGGTGTCGTGGTCCAAATGCATGAAATAAAAAAAATGACCATAAAATTACGCAATTAGGATTACAAAGAACTTTAACGCCCTCCTACTGGCATAATAATGCCCATTTGCAGGCTGGGTGCTGAGTCTCCTTGTGCCCACAAGGACTGCTGCCATTGGGGGGCCCCCTTTCAAATATTCGAGATGCAATGCAAGTCACTTATCGCGTGTGAAGCGTTCTAAGACGCCGCAGCGTGAAGGAGGGGCGGCTCTGTCAAAAACAAATCTATTACGAGTTTTAGAAATTGGTCAAGGTCGGTGCTGTTGATGCCAGAACTCCTTGCCGTCACCTTATTTTGCTGGATCCCTCTGGTTGTAAAATGACTCCTCACCTTCGAGGTCCACTCTTAAACTTTCCAACATCTGGAAGTGATGGGTACAATACAATAACATGTGGCCTTACCCAGCAGCGAATTGGGACCACATCTCCAGATGCTGTACAGAAGCAGTGGGCATTTTTATTTTGTAGTGAAAGCAGTTATCGGGAGATGTAAAATAATAATAAGAGGGGATAGGTCTCAGTGCACGGAAGGGAGTAGAGTTAGAGGAGAGAGGTAGGTAGGGGGAAGAACGTGAAAGATGTTGAAATTAATCCGCTTGGATTGGCAGCCAATGGAGGGGTCAGAGTTTTTGGAGTAAATATCGCATTGGAGTACGAGTGGGTTGGGCATGTCTGCTAAGTGGGTGCGTGCTTGCGCTCGCCTACATATCCCTGCACGTGTGCCCTGATTGCTGCTGTTACAGTTGCCGGGGTGCTGTTCGGCGTGCTCGTCGCCGTCCTCATGGTCGTGTTCGTCGTGTGGAAGTTGCGCCGCAATCGCCGAAAACAGACGAGTAACGGCACCGCCACGACCAACGGGACGACCACCACCACCACCACCACCGCGGTCGCGGACGGGCAGCCCGGCGCCGAAACCAAGGAGGAGAACACGCACCTGATGGCCGAGCTGCCGCACAGCCCCTTCATGGGCAAGCAGAGCAGCGTCTAGCAGCACCGCCTCCCCAAGGCCGCTGGATGATCGTGCCAGGTCAAGGGGTCACCGTGTCATCGCACATTGAGTACCACCGCTTCGGTCTGCCCTTTTCTACTGGGCCTTTCCCCACCAACCCCCCCCCCCTCCCTGCTGTGCAATGTGACCTCAGCACGGCACTTGCAGGGTCGTGTGTGACGTGAACAGGGCTCCCACGTAGTTACCGGGTGTAGCCACACTGCAGGGCTGATGACCATTGAACTCAGTAGCTCACACTCATGGGGACCCCAGCTGAGAGATTACCCCCAACGCCTTTCCCAGCACAACGCCGTCTGGTCTTTTCCTCCATCATCCTCACGTTTTTCCACTGCAGTTCCGCAGACCTCGACAGCAACTTTGTTTTTTTTGCGTTTGTTTCTGTAATTAAACCTTTTTGGACTTATCATTGAAGAATCATTTGAAGCCAGTTTTCCCAAAGCATCATCAGGAAGGCACTCCGCGCAAGGTGGTCCAGGCTACAGCTGTGTCTCAGGACTGCCGCAGGAAACAACAAGTGCAAACCTCTTATTATTTAGCATCCCCGCGTTCAGGGATTCGTCGAAAGAGACGGCGTGATTCTGCCATCAGGAACCCGTGAGGAGATCGCTTGGGCACAGGTTGTGAGAATGCAACGGTACGGTCACGCATTTCTCGCTTCCTCTTTCACCATAAATGCAGTTTTGGAAAAAGCCGTAACTTTTGCAGCGTGTGTTTGTGTTTTGTATTAAAAAAAGCCTTTCTTTTGTACCGATATTAGTTTAGCAGAATTTTTACAATTATTTTTCGTTTAAAGAATCGTCGTTATAACCACCGACAACTGTCTGTTGCCGAAGCCATGCACGCTGTAGAGTACATTCTTCCTGGCCGGGGCTTGGCTTGGCTATGGAGCCATAAGTGGACCGTCCTGTACCCATGGGTTCGTATTAGGCACGCAGTTATTCACTGATGAGTCGGTTAAACGCGAATTATACACTCACGAGGCACTGCATTGCGCTTCACAGAATATATTTACAATTAACAGGAACTTTATGCTGATATACATTTAGACCACAATAACATTTTTGGTGATTTTCGGTTTGGACCAATGGAATGAACGTGACACAATTCGGCAGGACAGATGAGTTGGGTGATAGAAACGAGAAACTACAAACGAGGCAATAACAATATCAATTATCAAATCGTGAAGACCGATTCGCCAGGAAAGTGAATCGTTACGTGCCTGGTTTTTGCAGCAGGCCTGGGCTCAGATCTGCACCAACAGCATTGAGTTCCTCATGGGGCATCCGTCTCTCACCACTGCATGCGAACTTGGCACATTACACATCGCTGGCCTCACTCCACAATGGCCATTGGATTGTTGATTAAATATTTTCATTTTTCATTGCATTGGCTTTGAGTTTAGGGGTCGATATGAACGGTCGGGTTTGTGCCAAGAGTCGACACGGCCACCACCGCACACATAAGATCCAGTATGCTAGACCGGTAATTGGTAAATTTGGCGCAACATGGCTAGATGTCTACAGACAAGATGAACAAGGTTTTATTTTTTATGATGCGACGTGTGCAATTGGCAAGTTAAGTGGTGACATTACTTCGACAGCGAAGAGAGAGGGCAATGTGGTGGTGACACCGACCGCTCTCGTTCGCATCTGGTGTTGTGGGCAGTGACGAGGGACGTGTTTGTAAATATGTAATACTGTATATGTGTTCAAAATGTTAAAATAGTATTGTGATTCACCCTTCCTCTTCCATGCGTTTGGCTCGATGTTGGAACCTTTTGTATTTGCTGGTCCCCATTGCACCAGCACTCGCGCTCAGACACAGGAAACGATTTGCACCTGAGCAGGTTGGTTCAGTCATTGTTTTCAAGGGGGCTTTAACGATGCATTCATTGATCCACCGACATGCGTCTTTGAACTCTCGGTACGTGCATCAAACCGTGCGTGCGCGAGAACGGATGTTTTTCGATAAGTATATTTTGTATGTGTAACATGTTAACGTGACCTCTGAAGCCACTACAGGGCCGCTACATTGACTACAATGTAAAAAAAAAAGTTTAGATTTTTTTTATTGCGGCTATTCATCAAATCTGCAAGTGAATCTTTACGCTCGTAGCTTTGAATTGCGCGATGAGATGCCCTGGAACCATCGATGCTTACCGTACATTTTGCCAGCGACCTCGGGGCCGCGCAAGTCTCAACGCGCAGCTTCCATGCGAGCGCACGCTTTGGTGCTCGTTAAGAAGAGGCATGCGTGAACCGCGAATGCCGAGGTTCTCTAGGACTGCTCGGTAACGGAGCCAGGTTTAACGACCCACGCCAACGTGCGGGGTGTGATGAGCTTCGGTTTTTGGCACCCGGTTCTGTGTGAAGAGAGGGGCGTTCGCGATGTGATGCAACTCGAGGGCATCGAGTTTAGTTATTGAGCTTGTTTTATGTTACTTTTAATAGGTTTTGAGGCAGGTTTTATAGTAAGTATTGATCGTTGTAATTTCTGGGTATTTAATTACAATAAACTGTTGAGCTTGCAAACGGCCGTGGTTACTGGCTCGTTGCAAACTGTCAAAAGACAGAAAATTCATCCCTGGTGGCGGCTTTCACTCTGCACAACATCAATGCATACTCTGAAAATACTGTGACACAATTTACCAAAAAAATCCACGCTCATGGCTACATTCATTGCCCAAACCATATGAATAAAATAAAACTCCACATTCGTAAGCAGTGTCAATGACAAACATGGCGGGGTTCTTTACTTGGCGTCTTCACCGCCAATGCAGTCCCTTGATTTAGTTTCACCATCGAAGCGCCGCTCACAATGACCTACAACCTCCGGCCCATGTCGACGACCCCCGATGGGTGTTCACGGCCACTGCTTGTCGCGGTCGGTGAGCGGCACATACATGACGGACATGAGCGGCTTGCTCCTGATGGTGCCGTCCTCCAACTTGTCGTGCTGCTCCAGCATCTGGTCGCCGCCCGCTGTCCCCACGGGCAGCACCAGGCGCCCCCCCGGCTTCAGCTGGTCCAGGAGCTGGGAGCCAGAGGAGGAGGGGGGGGGAGGAGAAAGGGGGACGCGGTGCAAGTGGGGATACACGACACGGCGAGAAACATTACGAAGTTTCATTTTTTTTCCCCCCTTAAATTATAATTACAAGTTTGCTTCTGGCGTCGCACTTTCAGATAGGAGCATTTCTATTTAGGATTATTTTTCGCAGCAGTGCGCGCCATCTATTGACAGATGCGGCCAGCAATTTTTATGTCTGAACTGCACCTGAAGTAATTTCAGTACTTATATTGCTTGCAGGAGTGTGAGTAGCATGTTAAACCTGCACACCAGATGGACTAAAAATAAGCTTCGTATGATGGTTTTTACCGTGAAGTCGCTGGTGACTGAGCTGGCACCTTCAACCCCATGCTTATGAACCCGGATTCAACCTCAAAGCTCGGACGGATATAGTCCCCTGAGTTGCTTGGCCACCGGAAAAAAATTACAATCTTTAAATCGAGAGATTTAATGCTGGCAGCAGGCAATGCCCTGCAGTCACTAGGCATTTTTTTCTTGTTCAGAGATGAACTTCGTTCATTTAGGACTTCGCGAGTTAGTAACAATGAGTCCATAACGTAGTCCATGAGACAAAACCAGATATTTCACCTGACACGGCACAACTTTAATGCTTCCAATTTCTTAATGCGGCCAATAACAGTGACTTACGTGATAACCAGTTATACAATGAGTGAATTCTCAATAATTCAGTCTTAATAGTCAAGTCAATAAAATCGGTCATGCTAAAGTTTTGCTACCTTAAGACGGTACCGATTTCTGCACTAGCGCCCCATGCACATACAGAGCGATTTTAATGTAGCCGCACTCACCGCGGGTGGCACGATGGCTGCTGCTGCACCCACGTGGATGGCATCGTACGGTGCCCCCTCCAGGTAGCCGAGCCGCCCGTCCCCAACTACAAACACACGCGCTGAGTGAATCCGAGTGTGCTCAATAACTACAACTACAACAGCGGCAACTTCTGTTTCAATGGATAAAGTAAGCGGTCACGGGAGATGTTTTTTTGCGTGGCATTGTTACGGTTTATTCCTGTCACATTGAGCGTGGCCTCGTCGATCCAAGCGACTGGCGCATGTTCGTGAGTTGGCGAATGAGGGCGTTGGAGCCCCCTTAAATCTGTGTTGAAGTCGTGCAGGTAACAGTGGCTTGCACTTCTCTCACGTTTCACTGACGGCTGAGTCTCCGCGCAGAAATAAGTACAGTATTTTGGGGGGGTGAAACTCGAAGAGACACGGAGACAATCTGGAGAAATTGTACCATGCAGGAGAAATTCATGGGATGTGACCCCTGGGTTGCCCTGATACTCGACACCTGGATGATGGAGTAAAGATTAGTGGGAGAAAGAAAGAAAAACACCCGTACGACGGAGCAATGCGTAGACCGTGGGAACCAGAAACAATCTGCCAGAGGCATCAACAAAGATCGATAACGACCTTAGATTCGTGGTGACCCCACGTCCACACTCACGCTTGATGGACACTCGGCCCAAGGAGATGAGCGAGGGGTCGTCCCGGGTGATATTTTCCAAAGAGTCGTCCACCAGCCCAGAGATGTGCTCCACCCCGATGACACGGCCCCTCAGCCCGACCTGCTCCACACAAACACGAGAAGCCCCCCCCCCACCGCCCACCAGCAGTGTAGCCTCATAGACGATTGGAGCACGGTTTGCTACGCACGGCGCAAAAGAAGTTCAACATATATGTACATACATTCAAGTGCTGTTAGTGAGCACCCATTAAAGCCGGCACGGCGTCGAAGGGGTGGTGTGGCAAAAACCTTTCTCGGCCGTCTTTGTCTCCCCATTGCTGTTGTTCTGCTCACTGTGCACCAGCTACTCACTTTATTTTATGATTGCGCTTGTTTACCCAGGGAAGCCTGCCCGAGTCTCGTGACTATTTTTCAAGAGCGTCATGCCACGTTTTCGCAGGAGAGGGCAATGATTGCCGTGTGTGATCCCAATCGAGGCCCGTGGCCGTATCTGACATCACTCACCACTGATGGGAATCTAACTCAGTCTTCCGGGGTTCATTGCCAAGTGCACTAACCACTTTACCACCACTCCTGACAACAACAGCAGCCGACATTCGCCACCGAGCGGTGGCGACATCACCACAGCGGCCGCGCCAGGCTAATTGCACTTTGAGGCCGTCGTGTTAAGTAAGAAAGGCTTTGTTGACAGGTCACGGCACAGACCCAGGTGCCATAGGTTGACTGGTGGCTGCACCACCACCTGTTCTCATCATCCACACGCGTACAGACTCCCAAACACCACTGCCCTCTTGGCGTGTTCAGGCTGTTTTGAATGTCGACGTTGGCACCGGCAGTGGCTGTTACCCCCATACCATCCTGGCCAAGCAGGCAGTGAGGTAGCCGCTCCCAGAGCCCACGTCCAGCGCCGAGGCTCCCTCCTGCAGCCTATCCTGCAGCAACTCCAGTGCAAACGCGTGCTGAAGCGCACAAAAAAAGACAAAGATCCCCCGCGTATAGCCTTTTACAGACTCTAGGGGCAAGTGCTGTTAGCGAGCAACCTATAAAGGCCGGCACAGCGCACGAGGGGGTGGGTGGTCAGCACCGCTCCCCAGTGGCGATGTTTACACATCGCACCAAGTACTCATTTGAGGCCGAGTCGACCTAGGGGAGGCCCAGGACCGGTTCAGATAATCGTCACTGGGTGTTGTTAGTGAGCGGGAATGGATCCCGGGTCGCCAGGTTCGTAGCGCAGCGCCCTAACCGCTACACGACCGCTGAAGCGCACACACATATACACACAGTCAAAATTCCAACGTTGGCTGAACGTTGGCATTCGGTTAGAACCGTTGGACCAACGTGAGCTGTTGGGATAAGTGATGTCAGCAAGCAACACAGACCTCAAAGTCCACACACTAATTTGAAACTGCACCATTTCGAGCCAATTCAATCCAATTTTCGTAGAAGTGTATGAAATTAAGACCATTTCCAATGCAAATTCTGAAACATTTTCGATTTTTTTTGGCAAAGATTTCGGAGTGAGCCGAAGGAGGAAGTGACATCACTATTTCCAGCCAGAAACGGTGGCACGTGGTAATGGGTGGCATACGTTTTATTAGCACACAGACAACCATCGTCACATAATGCAAATGATCTGAAAATCCGAAGAAAAAGATCAAAAATTTCCCTGAATAACAGGAATGTCTGAAATCAGAAACTCATTCCTCTCATGTGTCATTAAACAAAATTACTCCATTTTAATAATGACCCAGTTGTAAATATTACCTACCATGCGGGGTGCACTTATTGTCGCGTAATAGCCTGCGCGAAGAAAGAGACACAAATTACGGAAAGAACAGTGACACATTAATGCATTGGGGTCGTCTCAAACTGAGGGACACAAATTAACTGCAAGACAGAAACTAAAGCCGACTAATCGGTAATCAGCTCAGAATTTTTCTCATTTTCATATCCCCACCCCCAATGTATTTATTGCACGATGGCAGGGGTGGGGAACGTTTTTTTTCTGCCAAGGGCCATTTGGATATTTATAACATCATTCGCGGGCCATGCAAAATTATCAACTTAAAAATTTGCCTGTTATATTTGGTCAAACATTTAATTAACTCACCCCTAATGCGATGGCTGGAACTGCTTCTCTTTGGCGAGGCGTGTGATGATGTTAACTGGTATTGACGATGTTGCTACTCGCAACTGCTTTTCCAGGTTTGCTCCTAGATTTATTGAATTTCGAGTCCCGCCTGCGGTTGCCTTCGAAGGGCCAGACCAAATAATTGCCGGACGTTCCCCACCCCTGGCACTACGGGCACCACTACGTCCTGAGACGAAACGTCCACACGGCCCGCAGAATGGTGGTTGGTGTCTTATCCAAACCAGCGTTATTGCACATTCCCACACGCAGCCTGCGACAGAGATGCTCGTCGCGTGGCAGTCAAACTATAAAGCGCACAGATCCTTAATTGTTTTGCAAAAAAAAAACAAAGTTCACGTGATTTTTGTTGCCGTAAGCCATTGCTGACCAAGCTGACCCAATCAAACTCCACTGCACTCGAGGACCCAGTTTAATCACACGTAGCCGAAGCCCACATTCGAACCCATGAAGTGAGCGGTTCCACCTGCAGCAAACAAAACAAAAACATCGGAAACCAAAACCACGAGGCCACCAGCAAAGCGGTGAATTTTCTTGTTCAAGTGAATTTCCACTGATCCCACAATGCCTGGCCAGACACGCTTTTGAGGTCACGTGGAACAGCTGCGCGTGCACGTCCACACTGCATACAACACCTATTGGCTGGGGCAGGTCTTCGTATGGGTTCATGAGGGTGTAGAGTCCGCGGTCGGTGGCCAGCATGGCCCCGATCACTCGCTCCGAGGAGGCGAATGAGTTCTCTAGAAACTCAGTGGACACGCGCGCATGCATCGGTCACGGACACGCCTTGCACACCAGCCACTCGCATTACGAACCACACACGACTCATTCATGAAACATTTTCAAAGTTAACTTGTGGAGTGAACAACAAAAAAAGATTCGATATTTTGCCCATCTGGTAGTCTGCTGAATTTTTGTAACCGTGTTATTTTAAGCAGATCAAGGGTGGGCGGCAAGGAGGGTATGCGGTTGACTTTGCCCAGTTCATGACTGAGTAGGCCAGTGGGCAAGTGTAGGGCTCGGAGCATGTGTTTTATGTATTATTCATGAAGCTTATTCTTGACCCAACATGTTCTGTCACCCTCCGTGGTGCACACACATTAATTGCCAATACAGTGAGGGAAAAAAGTATTTGATCCCCTGCTGATTTTGTACGTTTGCCCACTGACAAAGAAATTATCAGTCTATTATTTTAATGGTAGGTTTATTTGAACAGTGAGAGACAGAATAACAACAAAAATCCAGAAAAACGCATGTCAAAAATTGTATAAATTGATTTGCATTTTAATGAGGAAAATAAGTATTTGACCCCTCTGCAAAACATGACTTAGTACTTGGTGGCAAAACCCTTGTTGGCAATCACAGAGGTCAGACGTTTCTTGTAGTTGGCCACCAGGTTTGCACACATCTCAGGAGGGATTTTGTCCCACTCCTCTTTGCAGATCTTCTCCAAGTCATTAAGGTTTCGTGGCTGACGTTTGACAACTCAAACCTTCAGCTCCCTCCACAGATTGTCTATGGGATTAAGGTCTGGAGACTGGCTAGGCCACTCCAGGACCTTAATGTGCTTCTTCTTGAGCCTCTCCTTTGTTGCCTTGGCCGTGTGTTTTGGGTCATTGTCATGCTGGAATACCCATCCACAACCCATTTTCAATGCCCTGGCTGAGGGAAGGAGGTTCTCACCCAAGATTTGACGGTACATGGCCCCGCCCATCGTCCCTTTGATGCGGTGAAGTTGTCCTGTCCCCTTAGCAGAAAAACACCCCCAAAGCATAATGTTTCCACCTCCATGTTTGACGGTGGGGATGGTGTTCTTGGGGTCATAGGCAGCATTCCTTCTCCTCCAAACACGGCGAGTTGAGTTGATGCCAAAGAGCTCCATTTTGGTCTCATCTGACCACAACACTTTCACCCAGTTGTCCTCTGAATCATTCAGATGTTCATCGGCAAAGATTCAGACGGGCATGTATATGTGCTTTCTTGAGCAGGGGGGCCTTGCGGGCGCTGCAGGATTTCAGTCCTTCACGGCGTAGTGTGTTACCAATTGTTTTCTTGGTGACTATGGTCCCAGCTGCCTTGAGATCATTGACAAGATCCTCCCGTGTAGTTCTGGGCTGATTCCTCACCGTTCTCATGATCATTGCAACTCCACGAGACTGATCATTTCTTTGTCAGTGGGCAAATGTACAAAATTAGCAGGGGATCAAATACTTTTTTTCCTCACTGTATATTGCACATGCAGTAAAGGCACCGCAGCTCAAGCTGGCTCCTAACTGGGGTATCAAAGCATTACGCTAACCGGCTAGTGTATCCTTCAAGCTATGCCGTCATGTATTTATAGAACCGTCCATAACCCACCACCACCACCACTTCGCGACAACGCATCACGGGGCAGGCTGTGAACAAAACACGGCGCGATTCACTGCCACGGCAACGCCAAATCCGTGGAATTTCCGTCTCATTCAGGCTGTGCGCGCGTGGGAACAGCTGTTGTTGCACCAGCACCACTCACCTCGCAAGTAACTGACCATGTTGGCATTGGTGTCGTGGTTGCGACCCCAGGACATGGTCATCAGCCGTCGGGCATCCCATTCCGTGTGCCGTCACGACCGTGCAGGGGGTGGGTGCGCTAAACTTAGAGACGGTGCCAGCAGTGGGGGAGTCCAGCCCGTGTGCGGGTTCGTGTCACTCCTCTGGGCAGTGGCGATGACCCGTTCCTCCAGGGCAAGGGTAGACAACCGACGACTCGCAGGCTGCATCCGGCCCTCATTTCATATGGCCCACGGCCACAAGGCCTACCACTTCCAAACAGCCCGCAAAATACACTTATCTGTCACTGTAAGATTCGAAGCTGCAATCATCAGGTAATTTAAAAAGATATTTACAAGGGAAGGCCCACCGAGCTATTCGCTTTTTCAGAAGCGACGTGGCCACGTATGATCGCTCAACGAAGTGGCTTATCACGTGCATATTTATAGCAGCCAAATAATATCAACGCGTTTCTAAATGTGGAGGAAACCACCGGAGGACCCACAGTTGGAGAAAAATCCACACGACCACGATGAGAACAAGCAAACTCCAAATATACAGGCGTCAGGGTTGGGATCAAACCACAACCTCCTCCATGCCAGGCGAGGGAGATAACATCTCACCACCACGGCACCCCGTAGATTTTTTAACCTGGCAATATCACGCTTGTGATTTTAGAGCAATCGGCCATTTCTCCAACTGCAAATGCTTCTATACCCTGTAGACATGCGACTGACATCGAATAATGCAAAGGTGTGGTGTTAATGTGTTGCCCGCCAAAGGTATTTGAACGTCTTATTTGGGCCCCCAGTAAGGAAAGGTCACCCACCCCTGTGCTAGGGCTTTGTCCAGTTGCAAAATAACTGGATCACGTGATAAAAAAAACACATGGCCTCAACAACAAATAGATGTTTAAAATCACGTGTTTGTATGTGTGGCATAGCTTTGCAATGTTCCGTGCTCCCTACATATATATTAAAGTTTTAATTTAAAGGATGTACTGCGGCCATTACACAAAATAAAACAAATATAATGGACAGCCCTTTGTCAATCACAACACCGTGCCAGTCACTCGTGTTGTTCGATCTCACTGCTCAACGCACAGGGCTGCACCAGTTCAAATGTTTACATGGGATGAAAAGTTATTACGTGTCCAAATGTTTGTCTGTTTAAAACATAATTGACAAAGTATGGGACAGCACTCATTGGCTTTTACTCTAATTATGTTCAAATTATACTAGTTAAAAATGTTTTACCGTTCATGTAATCTATGACCAAAATATTTGATTAAAGCATATTTTAAATCATGCTTTGTGCATATACGTCATTTCTGTTCTTGCTCAAACTCAGATTTGCTTTTCTAAGTGTGAAAGAAGAATAACGAATCTCATGAGGATGCTTATAAGTCGCAGGTTTATTAGAGAAACAGTTCTCCGAAGCTGCAGGCAGGCAGCGACTTAAGTGCTTAGGAAAGAAAGTAACACAGCCGAGGCTGAAGATGCACGGCAAACAATACGGCTTAGCCTCACCGCAAGTCATGCGGATGAAAGGAAGCAATAGCACAGCCGCATCTTGGGAGCTGCAACAAAATCTACAAGGGAACCCGCGGGAACGGCTGTGGTTAACAGCCAAACAAAAATCTTTGAAAGCAAGCAGACAACGGCGTCTCTCCCAGACCCGACACCTCTCACCCGTCACATGACGTAAGGCCATGTAAAGGGCCTTTCCTCGCCCTCAACTGTACACTTCATTTTTACATGAGAATATTACACTCCATCACACCGGCAATTCCACTGGAAGCACTACATTCGTAAACAAAGCATCGCTCACGGGTTCTCCGTCCCCGTGAAGCCACTGTGCAGCACAGTGCACGGCAAAAGGATGTGCGCATTGTGTCCCCGATACAATGCGCTCGCCAGTCATGCGGCGAGCGCGCTGGCGTGGCAGCACACGTCATGCTCACAATCCCGGAGGCGCGCCTTCCTTTGCGCCGTCGCTGCGCTTTGGCTCCAAGCACAAACAGTGAGTCGGGTTGCCGACGGCCTGGCGCTGGCTACGGCACGGCCATGCCAGCGGGGCTGCTTCACAACTCGTCCCTGCGGCGCAGACAGCACACACGCATGAAGGAGAGCCTGTTGGTGCAATGAATGAACAACGAAACAAGTCATCGAGATTATCAGACTGGCATATGATGGCCTCCACGCTGGGGCGTCAATATCACACAGTCCAAACCACGTCACACCCACATGTGCCCAGTAACTTTTGAATCGCTCTGCATCATCCACTCACTCTTGATGCTCGCGTTGTTCAATGCCTTCCAACTCTGCATGTTATCCAACATGAATGAAAAATCTATGGTTAATCTGTATCACAACTATGAATCAACAGTCCAGAGGAATCTTCTAAAGCATGCCCTGATGGTTTTGCTTTGCAAATCAGTACGTTTGTATGCATGTTAAAACGGTTAAACAAGCTTAAGCACCTAAGTAATGGGCTCTCTGTGACAACCAACATGCCTGTCTCACTCCATGCCCGTCTCACTCCATGCCAGTTTCACTCAATGCCAATCTCACTCCATGTCAACCCATGCGCCAACACCACTCCACGCTAACCTTACTCTATGCAAATCGCACTGCAAACCAGTCTGCAGATGCACTGAATGTGCGTAAATACCCAAGAATGCTTCCACCACTACCCGCTGCCATGACTTGCGTCTAGGCTGCAGGAAAACAGAAAAAAAGCACTGATTATTTTATAGGTGTCGTGACAGTGTGTGCTCGTGAGACAAAGTGTACTAGTGCAGGCGTGGGGGCCTTGCCTGTGGCTGTGGAAGGGACAGGAAGGGGCCAACAAAGAAGTCAGTAGCACCTGGACCACTGCTTGTCGCGGTCGGTGAGCGGCACATACATGACGGACATGAGCGGCTTGCTCCTGATGGTACCGTCCTCTAACTTGTCATGCTGCTCCAGCATCTGGTCGCCACCCGCTGCCCCCACGGGCAGCACCAGGCGTCCCCCCGGCTTCAGCTGGTCCAGGAGCTGGGAGCCAGGGGAGGAGGTGGGGGAAACAGCACAAGCGGGGCCGGTGCAGAAAAGCAGATGACACCACCGCACGACATGGCGAGATAACGTTATGAAAAATGTTATCTTCAAGTAGAAGATTAATTAATGTCGGCAGTTTCTGCAAGCATTTGATCTTGTTCATTGATGAGCTTTGTGCGGCAAGGACATCGCAAGTCGATAATATCGAATGTGATTTGGTGGAATGACACTCACGGCATGCGGCACGATGGCTGCTGCTGCCCCCACGTGGATGGCATCGTATGGTGCCCCCTCCAGGTAGCCAAGCCTCCCGTCCCCAACTTCACACACACGCACAAAATCCTTAGTTAATCTGAGGGTGCTCAATGAACAACTACAATTGTAACATACCATTTCACGGGAAGGTGCAAATTTGTTTTCTGGAGGCACAAGCAGCGTGAATAAGATTTTGACAGAAGCATGGTTGCTTGCTTCTCAGCAGAGGCCCTGCTTCCATGTAACGACAGTGTGAAACGAGACGTGCTGGTGCTCACGGATCAGCTTTATGCGGCCGGAGGTGATTAGGCTGGGGTCATCCCTCTGCACGTTCACCTTGGCTTCGCTCACCAGCTCCTGGATGTGATCCACCCCAATGACCTTTCCGCGTGGCCCAATCTGCAGCAGTTGGGGATGTCGGCACACATACGGGCTGTGCCAATGCAGGCCATCGCGAACGACAATCTAAAGGGTGTGCTTCACAGAAATACTCACTATAATAATGAAGCACAATTTCAACTGGACTTCCATTGTAAACGGGAATTCCATGGTAAACTGGACTCCAATGGTAAACTGGACTTCCATGATGCTCTTATATAAAAAGCCATGCATTAAATAATCATTGCAGAATGATTATTGAATCAATAATGTAGGGCCTCTTGTCAATCCACTGCAGTATGAAGACCTCCCCCATGCCATGTTGACAAGGTTCTTTGTAAGCCATCTGGCTGCCATGAGAGATTCGTTCATGAGGCTATCCACATATACAAGCACAGAGACAATTTCAACCGATAAGATGGATTCTGGCTTAGCAATCATTGGAAAGATTTGATTAACCATTTCAGGTCTTGATTGTTCACGCTTACAGTGGCTTTCAGACAGCATACATTAATTTTTCGTCTCCCCCCTCCTCTTTTCAGAACATAGATGGACTAGTCCTTCTAAATAAACTGCCAAATCGCTGCGCGTGGCGCTGACGTTTTTTTATAATACACCGTTTAAAAATAAATAAATACAAACCGACACACCTGGTGACGACCGTTTGTGTTATGGTCGAAACGTCGTGAGAATTTGTATTGTTTTATATATATTTTATTATTTTATTGTTTCCCTTCAACGTGACTTTACCGAAAGAGCTAAGAATATGAATAAGGGTTGTCTGACCAAACATGTCATGTCACCATATGCATTGCACACTATGCTAAACACCATGCACCAGGTCCATCAAATGATCATTATGACAAAAAATGCTTCCGTGAGGAAGGGCTAAGCCTAGTCGTGCTGGATCTATGGTAATAAAATGGGTCAGCTCAAATGGTTAACATTAGGGACCAAGGCAACAGGTGCAGCCCGAACCCGAGGCCTGTCTCCCCGTACCATCCTGGCCAAGCAGGCGGTGAGGTAGCCGCTGCCGGAGCCCACGTCCAGCGCCGAGGCTCCCTCCTGCAGCCGATCCTGCAGCAGCTCCAGCGCAAATGCGTGCTAATGCACACACGCAAGCGGGCAAAAGCAATGACACCAAGGGGACTCGCACGACTGCATTGGCCGGCCTTGTTGCATGCTGCGAAGCTCTTTTGACAGACAACACTGTGGACGAGGTTTCAACCTCTACTCTTGTCCGACAAGACAAGTGTCTTAACACTTGGAAGTTGTAGGGAGAGAAAAAAAGTGCAAATGCTGTGAATTTCCCAGTTGAATATTTACAGCAATAAGGAGATGTGCTTTACCATGTGCGGGGCGCTGACGGTGGCGTGATAGCCTGTGGGATAAAACAACAATCACGTGTGAACGTTCTCACCGACTTTAGAATCTCGGGTGAATACGTCATGGGAGCGTTTTAACCGATCGCTTAAAAAAGACAAAGACCCCCCGTGTAGCCTTAACAGACTGTTGGGGAAAGTGTTGTTAGCGAGCACCTATGCAGGCAAGTACAGTAAACGAGGGGGTAGGTGGGCAGCACCACGCCCGACCGCCTTTGTCTCCCCAGTGGTGATGTTTACACACCGCACTGGGTACTCATTTGCAGCCGAGTCGTCCTAGGGGAGGCCCAGGACTGGTTCCAAAAATCGCCAATGGTGTTGGCCGTGAGCGGGAATCGAACTGGAGCCGCTGGGTTTTTAGAGCAGTGCGCTAAGCACGTACCTGTCAACCCATACGGTTTACCTGAAGAGGGAAATTGAGTTTTCAGGTCCATACGGCATACAGCCATTTAAATACGGGCAAAAAAACCATATATTTGTCTTTGTTTTTTATGTTTCTCCCCTGTGATGGGACTTAATAGGATGAACGTTGAGATTTATAAAGGACTGAATTGGTCTGTAATAAGGTAGGTACTGATAAGGGGTTGATAGGTATTTAACCACTACACTACCGGTGAATGTGTTTTTTTTTTTTAAAACACATTCAGACCACGGCGAGACACCAGTAAAACCCGGGCGGCCTGCTGCCCTACCTTTCGCACGCTCCGATGTGCCGGCAGCGCTCACCTATGGACTGAGGTGTGTCCACGTAGGGGTTGCGCTTGGCATAGTGCTTGCGGTCTGTCGCGAGCATCACTTGGTAGACGCGCTCCGACTTGATGACCCCATTCTCTGCAGGGGTGGGAGCGGGATATGAACCTTATGGCGGTACCCACGGGGTACCCATAGTACCCCGGCCCTCGCATAATGTCCGTGATGCAGACAATTTTTAGTCTGTTGATGGTCGGCGATGGGGCGATCGACTCGTGTGCACGATGCACTCGGGTGCGTGCGAGCGTTCAGGGTTTCGGCACAATCATCGTCCTCGCTGCGTTTCGACATCGCGGAGTGTGGCACCGATTTCGGATTGATTGGTTACCCCCCAGTCGCAGAGTGAAGTTACAACCCTTGGAAAAAAAAAGTGTCCCAGAAATAAAATATTTAATTGCCTCGGCCAGTTTGTATTATTTGGTACCCCGGGGTACCGCCCACAAGGATCATTTGTGAATTAAAGACGCGGCATTCGTTACACGGCCCGGCGAGGCGATGGTGATCACCATTGGCACTACCACCGCATTGCAGTCACGGCGAGAGAGCGGCAGGCACTGCAATGCGGCCCGCCGTGCCCCATCCAACGTAAGGTCGGAGAGCTGACAGCTCTATTTTTGAAAGGTGGGTCAATTTTAGACTGTTGGGGCAAGTGCTGTTGGCGATCAACCTATGAAGCCCGGCACGACACACGAGGGGGTGGGGGTGGCCAACACCACGCCCGACCGCCTTTGTCTCCCCAGTGGCGATGTTTACACACCACACCGGGTATTCATTTGAGGCTGAGTCGACCTAGTGGAGACCCATGACCGGTACAGATAATTGTCACTGGGTGTTGGCCGTGAGCGGGAATCGAACTCGGGTCACCAGGTCCGTAGCGCGCTAATCGTTCCACTACCGCTACCTTATCACCACCAACCACCACCACGATTTACACAACCACGATGGTGTGCCACCATCACCACGGTGTTCATCACCACCAACACCACGGACGGGTCTCATCAGCACGACTCGTCTTGCCGCCACCACCACCATGGGAGAGAGAGGCGTCTGCGTCTGTGCCGCCCTAGGTACGGCTCGACCATCGTAACGAACACGAGCGACAACCACCACCGCCACCACCGCCGCCGCAACCACCACCAACGCAATAACCACACGGCCAGGAGAGGGGTGGCGAAATTTGCAAACTCCGGCTCCGATGCTGCGAGCAAAACTAAAATATTAATTACCGACGCACGCGTTATTGGAGCAATTAACGTTTTTCATTCAAATTGCCGCCTCGTATCGATGTTAGACGCTACGCAGAATTGTCGACAGCGAAGAAAGTGACGCATTAAGTGAACGGGTCCCCCTCCGGCAAACACCGCAGCGAAGCCGGGCCTAGCCGAAAGCCAACGCCTCGGCCTCGCCTAAAACCCCAACCGACCGTGGCTCGGGCTCCACGGCATCACCGAGCACGGTGGCAGCGGTCCTCGGGGCTTCCGTGCCCTCCCTTGCCCGCCACCCCCCACCCCGGTCGGCGACTGCGCACTCACTCCTCAGGTTCCCCACGAGCTCGGCGTTGGAGGAGCCGCTGGAGCGCCACGCCATGGCTGCGAAGCGAGCCACGAGCACGGAGCCGAAGAGGAGCGCGGCGAGCTGAGCCACGGGCCGCCCCATAGCTCGGCGACGTCACCCGAGACCCCCGGGAGGCAGCGGGTCCCGCCCACGGCTCGGAGCGGCTGCAGCACAGCACAGACGGGCAGCAGTAGAACATCACCTGGTCAGCAGCAGAACATCACCTGGTCAGCAGAACATCACCTGGTCAGCAGCAGAACATCACCTGATCAGCGGCAGAACATCACCTGGGCAGCAGAACATCACCTGGTCAGCAGTAGAACAGCACCTGGTCAGCAGAGCAGCACCTGGTCAGCAGCAGAACATCACCTGGTCAGTAGTAGAACATCACCTGGTCAGCAGAACATCACCTGGTCAGCAGCAGAACATCACCTGGTCAGCAGCAGGACATCACCTGGTCATCAGCAGAGCAGCACCTGGTCAGCAGTAGAACAGCACAGACGGGCAGCAGAGCAGCACCTGGGCAGCAGCAGAGCAGCACCTGGGCAGCAGCAGAGCAGCACCTAGGCAGCAGCAGAACAGCACCTGGTCAGCAGCAGAATATCACCTGGTCAGCAGCAGAACATCACCTGGTCAGCAGAACATCACCTGGTCAGCAGCAGAACATCACCTGGTCAGTAGTAGAACATCACCTGGTCAGCAGCAGAACATCACCTGGTCAGCAGAACATCACCTGGTCAGCAGTAGAACAGCACCTGGTCAGCAGAACATCACCTGGTCAGCAGCAGAACATCACCTGGTCAGCAGAGCAGCACCTGGTCAGTAGAACGGCACCTGGTCAGCAGCAGAGTAGCACCCGGACAGCAGAGCAGCACCTGGTCAGCAGAACATCACCTGGTCAGCAGCAGAACATCACCTGGTCAGCAGAACATCACCTGGTCAGCAGTAGAACAGCACCTGGTCAGCAGAACATCACCTGGTCAGCAGCAGAACATCACCTGGTCAGCAGAGCAGCACCTGGTCAGTAGAACGGCACCTGGTCAGCAGCAGAGTAGCACCCGGACAGCAGAGCAGCACCTGGTCAGCAGCAGAACAGCACCTGGTCAGCAGCAGAACAGCACCTGGTCAGCAGCAGAACAGCACCTGGTCAGACCTGCACCAGACCAGGGTCAGACCCAACCCGCCGGATCGGTTCCAACCTGGGTCATATTTACAATGTTGGACACAGGCCGTGCCAGACCCAACCCCATAACTGTCAACCCCTCATCTGTGCCTATCTTATTACAGACCAATTCAGACCGTATTGGTCACCCCGTACCCCTTATAAATCTCAACGTTCATCCTACAAAGTCCCGTCACCTAAGAAGATACACAAAGACAAAACATGTGCCCGTATTGAAACGGCTATACGCCGTATGAACCTGCACTCATTTTTTTCCTGTACAAGAATACGGGTAAACCGTATCGGTTGACAGGTATGCACCCTGGACTTCAATCTGTATCAGTCTGACCAGACTTCAACCTATACTTGATCTGGCCATACCCTAACCAATTTAGGATCCAAACCCAAAGCGGGACCTCAATCATATTAGGACCCCAAACAAAGCGACAGTTGAGCCAGGAACTTAATCCAAACTAGACTCGAATCATGACCATATAAAGTCCAAACCTATACTGGTCCTAACCTGGGTGAGTGTGTGTAAATCTGGCTGCGTCAGGCACAACACATTTCCCGTATTTTCTATTTATTTAAATGTTACTCGACCCAACACATTCCTGCGGAGGGAGCTGGTAGGAACGTTGGGTTGCTCGGTCAATGGCCAGGGTCAACGGCGGCATGTTGTATTCCGCAAATTTGCCCGACTGTGAGGGCGGGCACAAGCCGGCGTGAGTAGGTTAAACGTTGAGTTTTATAAAGGCACCACGGGGTGACCAGCCCCTCCCCACCCACCCCCACCCTCCCCACCCACCCCCACCCTCCCCCACCCTCCCCACCCTCCCCACCCTCCCCCACCCTCCCCACCCTCCCCCACCCTCCCCACCCTCCCCCACCCACCCCCACCCTCCCCCACCCACCCTCCCCCACCCACCCCCACCCTCCCCCACCCTCCCCCACCCACCCCCACCCACCCCCACCCTCCCCCACCCACCCCCACCCTCCCCCACCCACCCACCCCCACCATCCCCCACCCACCCCCACCCTCCCCCACCCTCCCCCACCCACCCCCACCCTCCCCCACCCACCCCCACCCTCCCCCACCCACCCCCACCCTCCCCCACCCTCCCCCACCCACCCCCACCCTCCCCCACCCACCCCCACCCCCCCCAACCCCCCCCCACCCCCCACCACCCCCCCCCACCAACCCACCCCCACCCCCCCCCACCCACCCCCACCCACCCCCACCCTCCCCCACCCACCCCCACCCACCCCCCCCCACCCACCCCCACCCACCCTCCCCCACTCCCACCCACCCTCCCCCACCCCCACCCACCCCCCACCCACCCACCCACCCCACCCACCCCACCCACCCCCACCCACCCCCACCCTCCCCACCCACCCCACCCACCCCCACCCTCCCCACCCACCCCACCCACCCCCACCCTCCCCACCCACCCCACCCTCCCCACCCACCCCACCCACCCCCACCCTCCCCACCCACCCACCCACCCCCACCCACCCCCCCCCACCCCCACCCACCCCCCCCCACCCACCCCCACCCACCCCCCCCCACCCACCCCCACCCACCCACCCACCCCCACCCACCCCCCCCCACCCACCCTCCCCCACCCCCACCCACCCTCCCCCACCCACCCCCATCCACCCCACCAACCCCCACCCACCCTCCCCCACCCACCCCCACCCACCCTCCCCCACCCACCCCCACCCACCCTCCCCCACCCACCCCCACCCTCCCCCACCCACCCCCACCCACCCTCCCCCACCCCCACCCACCCTCCCCCACCCCCACCCAACCCACCCACCCCACCCACCCCACCCACCCCCACCCTCCCCACCCACCCCCACCCTCTCCACCCTCCCCACCCACCCCACCCTCCCCACCCACCCCCACCCTCCCCACCCACCCCCACCCTCCCCACCCACCCCACCCACCCCCACCCTCCCCACCCACCCCACCCACCCCCACCCTCCCCACCCACCCCCACCCACCCACCCTCCCCCACCCACCCCCACCCACCCTCCCCCACCCACCCCCACGCACCCTCCCCCACCCACCCCCACCCACCCTCCCCCACCCACCCCCACCCACCCTCCCCCACCCACCCCCACCCACCCTCCCCCACCCACCCTCCCCCTCCCACCCCCACCCACCCTCCCCCACCCACCCCCACCCACCCTCCCCCACCCCCACCCACCCTCCCCCACCCACCCCCACCCACCCTCCCCCACCCACCCCCACCCACCCTCCCCCACCCACCCCCACCCACCCTCCCCCACCCACCCCCACCCACCCTCCCCCACCCCCACCCACCCTCCCCCACCCCCACCCACCCCCACCCACCCCCACCCACCCCCCCCCCCCCCACCCACCCCACCCGACCCCCACCCACCCCCACCCACCCCCACCCCCCCCACCCCCCCCACCCACCCCCACCCTCCCCACCCACCCCCACCCTCCCCACCCACCCCCACCCACCCTCCCCACCCACCCACCCCCACCCACCCACCCCACCCACCCACCCACCCCCACCCACCCTCCCCACCCACCCACCCCCACCCACCCTCCCCACCCACCCACCCCCACCCACCCTCCCCACCCACCCACCCCCACCCACCCTCCCCACCCACCCACCCCCACCCACCCACCCACCCCCACCCACCCACCCCCACCCACCCCCACCCACCCACCCCCACCCACCCTCCCCACCCTCCCCACCCACCCACCCCACCCACCCCCACCCTCCCCACCCACCCCCACCCTCCCCACCACCCCCACCCTCCCCACCCACCCTCCCCACCCACCCACCCCACCCTCCCCACCCACCCACCCTCCCCACCCACCCACCCCCACCCTCCCCACCCACCCACCCCCACCCACCCCCACCCACCCACCCCACCCACCCACCCCCACCCACCCACCCACCCCACCCACCCACACCCACCCACCCACCCCACCCACCCCCACCCACCCACCCCACCCACCCACCCCCACCCCACCCACCCACCCCCACCCACCCCACCCACCCACCCCCACACCCACCCCCACCCACCCACCCACTCACCCCACCCACCCCCACCCACCCACCCCACCCACCCACCCCTACCCACCCACCCCCCCCACCCACCCACCCCCACCCCCACCCACCCACCCACCCCACCCACCCACCCACCCCACCCACCCACCCCCACCCACCCCCACCCACCCCCACCCACCCACCCCCACCCACCCACCCACCCCCACCCACCCACCCCCACCCACCCACCCACCCCACCCACCCCACCCACCCACCCCACCCACCCACCCCACCCACCCACCCCCACCCACCCCACCCACCCACCCACCCACCCCCACCCTCCCCACCCACCCCCACCCTCCCCACCCACCCACCCCCACCCTCCCCACCCACCCACCCACCCCCACCCTCCCCACCCACCCACCCACCCCCACCCTCCCCACCCACCCACCCACCCCCACCCTCCCCACCCACCCACCCACCCCCACCCTCCCCACCCACCCACCCCCACCCTCCCCACCCTCCCCACCCACCCACCCCCACCCTCCCCACCCTCCCCACCCACCCACCCCCACCCTCCCCACCCTCCCCACCCACCCACCCCCACCCTCCCCACCCTCCCCACCCACCCACCCCCACCCTCCCCACCCTCCCCACCCACCCACCCCCACCCTCCCCACCCTCCCCACCCACCCACCCCCACCCTCCCCACCCTCCCCACCCACCCACCCCCACCCTCCCCACCCACCCCCACCCCCACCCTCCCCACCCTCCCCACCCACCCCCACCCCCACCCTCCCCACCCTCCCCACCCTCCCCACCCACCCTCCCCACCCTCCCCACCCACCCTCCCCACCCTCCCCACCCACCCTCCCCACCCTCCCCACCCACCCCACCCACCCCCACCCTCCCCACCCACCCCACCCACCCCCACCCTCCCCACCCACCCCACCCACCCCCACCCTCCCCACCCACCCCCACCCTCCCCACCCACCCACCCCCACCCCCACCCTCCCCACCCACCCACCCCCACCCCCACCCTCCCCACCCACCCACCCCCACCCCCACCCTCCCCACCCACCCACCCCCACCCTCCCACCCTCCCCACCCACCCACCCCCACCCTCCCACCCTCCCCACCCACCCACCCCCACCCTCCCACCCTCCCCACCCACCCACCCCCACCCTCCCACCCTCCCCACCCACCCACCCCCACCCTCCCACCCTCCCCACCCACCCACCCCCACCCTCCCCACCCACCCACCCCCACCCTCCCACCCTCCCCACCCACCCACCCCCACCCTCCCACCCTCCCCACCCACCCACCCCCACCCTCCCACCCTCCCCACCCACCCACCCTCCCACCCTCCCCACCCACCCACCCCCACCCTCCCACCCTCCCCACCCACCCACCCCACCCTCCCACCCTCCCCACCCACCCACCCCCACCCTCCCACCCTCCCCACCCACCCACCCCCACCCTCCCACCCTCCCCACCCACCCACCCCCACCCTCCCACCCTCCCCACCCACCCACCCCACCCTCCCACCCTCCCCACCCACCCACCCCCACCCTCCCACCCTCCCCACCCACCCACCCCCACCCTCCCACCCTCCCCACCCACCCACCCCCACCCTCCCACCCTCCCCACCCACCCACCCCCACCCTCCCACCCTCCCCACCCACCCACCCCCACCCTCCCACCCTCCCCACCCACCCACCCCCACCCTCCCACCCTCCCCACCCACCCACCCCCACCCTCCCACCCTCCCCACCCACCCACCCCCACCCTCCCACCCTCCCCACCCACCACCCCCACCCTCCCACCCTCCCCACCCACCCCACACCCCCACCTCCCACCCTCCCCACCCACCCACTCCCCACCCTCCCACCCTCCCCACCCACCCACCCCCACCCTCCCACCCTCCCCACCCACCCACCCCCACCCTCCCACCCTCCCCACCCACCCACCCCACCCTCCCACCCTCCCCACCCACCCACCCCCACCCTCCCACCCTCCCCACCCACCCACCCCCCACCCTCCCACCCTCCCCACCCACCCACCCCCACCCTCCCACCCTCCCCACCCACCCACCCCACCCTCCCACCCTCCCCAACCCACCCACCCCCACCCTCCCACCCTCCCCACCCACCCACCCCCACCCTCCCCACCCACCCACCCCCACCCTCCCACCCTCCCCACCCACCCACCCCCCACCCTCCCACCCTCCCCACCCACCCTCCCACCCTCCCCACCCACCCACCCCACCCTCCCACCCTCCCCACCCCCCCACCCCCACCCTCCACCCCTCCCACCCACCCACCCCACCTCCCACCCTCCACCCACCCACCCCACCCCCACCCTCCCCCCACCCACCCCCACCCTCCCACCCTCCCCACCCACCCACCCCCACCCTCCCACCCTCCCCACCCACCCACCCCCACCCTCCCACCCTCCCCACCCACCCACCCCCACCCTCCCACCCTCCCCACCCACCCACCCCCACCCTCCCACCCTCCCCACCCACCCCCACCCTCCCACCCTCCCCACCCACCCACCCCCACCCTCCCCACCCACCCACCCACCCACCCCCACCCCCACCCTCCCCACCCTCCCCACCCAGCCCCTCTCCATCCAGCCCCACCCCTCCCATTTTTGGATGCACGACGGACGGACGGACACAATAATCCCCTGTGGGCTGGTGTAACCAGGAGGTTCCAACCAGTATAACGTTAGTGGCCGCTCTTGTAAGCGGCCATCCTAGATTCCCTCCCACATTGTGGAATAGCGCTGGTGCAATGATACACCCCTCCTCTACCAAATAAAACACACAACACAAGATATGATAATTTTATTTTATTTTTAGGATTTTTTTCCTTTTCAAGATATGTTTAAACTTCAAAGTAAAGCTTCCTGAAACACACACAAGGCACGCGTGTGTCTGCTGGGTCTGGTCTGTGGGTTAGGCGCTACATTCACACAGGTGCATGTCACACTCGAGCAGCACAAGAATAGTGATGGACTTTGCCAAATTTAACTAAACTCCGATGAGTAGAAGCTTCAGCTACATCACTACTGTCAAAAGCTCCAACTCTCAATTCCTGGTGTCTACATTCCACCTTAATGCTATTGTCATGTTAATTCTGTACAATAGCTTAACGATGCATGCATGACTACAACTCTGAGAAACTAATGATAGAAATGTGGGCCTTTGACATGTGTTTGCAACCTGTGTGGCAGGAAGTTCCTGCAAAGATGGCCGTCGGCTTCTCGAACACCCAACCCACAAGCCGATGCCCTGGATTCACAAGTTTTAATGTTTTTTTTTAACTTAGGAAAAGTGAATACAAAAAGTAAACGGTTTAGAACGTGGTGCACGTCCTTTTTCCACCATGAAACCCACACGGCCTCTCACTCCACCCAGAATGAGTGGCACCAGACATTACGGTGCCACCTGCCGAACGGGTGAGTGAAAGCCCTGGTGGAGGCTCTCAAAACTCCCCCTCAATCTCACGATGCCTCCGAGCAAGGCACCCATCGGCATGTTTTAAGCGAGACATCGCACATCACACAAGACCACGACATGTAACTTGTCTCATTTGTCAAATGTAGTTAAGAAACATTTGATGTTATTAAAAATGAGTAAATCATACAATTAAGAAACTATGTAAACACTTTGTACATTTACATGGCATCGGGTTACACCTCGATATTAACCTTCTTTTGACATGGCTTTTTATTCGATTATTTTTTTACCAACAATCTGGCAAACTGTCCCCTTGTGACAATCCAGCTCAAACCCTTGTTTTGTTGAGGTCCTGCTTGTCATGAAGCCAGTACAATCCGTGGTCTGTGTGCTATCCGATGCTCGCCTAACGAAAAGTTTCGATTGCCGATTTCCCAATTGGATTGTCGTGGCAGAGGAGGCACTTCAAGGGCCTCTTGTGGGCGAGGGGTGGCAAACACCAGTCAGGAGGAAGATATGCGCGCCTAAGTTCCAGTCACACGGCCACGCTCGTGCAGTATTATCACGCTACACCACGGCACGCTGGACGGCTCCACACCACTCCCTCTGCATTCGCCACAACCACGGCGAGGTGCTCCTACTCATCACCCTTCAGGCACCTCAGCTTTAACTTAGTTTTAAGCAGGTGGTATATGGCTAAGTGTTTCAGTCATGCTGTTGTGCATTGTCGATACTGAACACACCTCTGCCGAGTCTACCAAAACTTTGATATTAACCATGCTTGTTCACGTTTTCTGCAATATTTAAAATTATTAAATGAATTACAGACTACGTGACGCCACATCCCAAATGTCAACAGCTCCCATACAAAATGGCCACACAAAACGAGCAGTAACTCCCAAGCAATTCAACCTGGTGGTGCGAGTAAAACGATGCAGCCCAGTTGATATGCAACATCGTAAAGATTGTGCCTTTGGCGATGCAGGAGTGAAAGTTGGCACGCATTTAGACATTGTATTGGGCACTTCAGCGTTCCCAAATGGCTCCGGAAATGGGGCAATATTTAAACATGTTCAGAATTTCGCACAATGCACGGGAGCTTTCACGCATGAACCCCCGAAAGCACAGGCCCCACTAATCTACCGCAAAAGCAGCATTGTAATAGGACCCCAAGTGACATTGGCAAAACAATGGGACATGTATTTAAAGGTTTACCATAAATTATCCCTCGTTGCTTTGGGCAAAATAACGCAAACGCTACTGCACAAGGACAGGTGAGCCGCACTATTGCTGACGAGGCGCGACGTCGGTGGTTGACGATTCTCAGGCAGGAGCACCTTCACACGAGCCATCTCAAGGAAAATAAACACATGCGCCACATCCAACTCAAGCAATGGAAATAATACCACGCACGCAATCCACCCCACACAGTGCCGTAACTTGCTGTTCGTTGTGGTGCTTTCCCCAAAACCTCCATGGCTGCAACGCCTGCGTAACACTTCTCCCCAACTTACTAAACCCAAACCAACCCAACCCTGCTGCTTCAAGATAAATGTGGTCCAACCAGGGCCCATGTGGTTTTATAACGAACATGAAGTTTTTTGCAATCACCTCATCTTTCACGTAATTTGGTTAAGTCTCAGCTGTTGGAGGGAACGACAGCACTTTGGGGTGCAGAATGGGTACACGTTGATAGAAGCAATCATTATAAAGTTGTACCAGTTAGCAATGAACAGCATGCACCACCCACATTTAAAATGGGTCAACCTGCTGAAATTAAATTTTCATTTGACATGCTTTTTTATCCAATCCATTATAGTGCTTTACTAGATTCACTGCAAGCCCCGATTGCGTTTAACACGGCTAGACGTTTGCCTTATTCAAATTGTCTGCAGTGCACTGCAACCCACTCAATACGAAATGTGCAATAGAAACACTGCCGACGGCTGACGAAGATGGCCAAGGAAACCTGGTCCAGATCTTATGAATCAACTGGATTTGGATTGCTGCCACAATCTTCAAGGATTGGGCAGTTGTGTTTAAGGGTTTGGTTTAGCGACTTTCTCAGATAAACACAGCCAGCAATGACCGGCAAATACTTCTGTGTATCCTGCTCAGGAAGTAGTTGTGGACACTGGTATCTGTACCCACACGTTGGCTCACTGCTCCCTCACTTTCTGATCGTGTGCAGCCATCACCGCCATATTAGGGAGGCACCAGGCTCTTTGTGGCAAAGCGGTTCAAAACATAAACAAAACTAATCACTTCACTTTCACCCTCTTTGGCTTTTGCCAGCATCAGGGTTCTACACTTGCACACATCACACCCAAAACTAAATATTTTTTGTGTTGTGATATTTTTTGGTTGACAAGTGTACTCCCCCCTTCCCGGGTCAACATGGCTAAACATTCTCGACATTCCAGCGTGGACCAGAGCTAAAATTCTTGCTCCGGGCCTTTGCAGTCCAACCTTTCCAATATAGAACACAGGGTGAACCACCCCGGGGTTCTTACATCATCATTTCATCTGGCAATGTTTTCACATCACCACCACAGTAAGCAGGTCTTTAACCTCAATTCTCCAAAGAGTCTAAGGAGCTTGCCGTCTTAACACCACGAAGGGCATATTCACCGAGTCGACACGAGGCATTTACGCCAGCTCATGTCTTGAGCATGACGTTTAAACTAAAACCGCACTAACAAGTCAAACGGCGAGACCGTTTAAAAATCAACAACAGTCTCTCACACAGTGTACAAACACAGCGAGTACAAACGTGGTGTATGGACGCCACAGGAGGGCTGATCAACTGTAATCAATGTAGATCTTCGTTTCTCGACCACATTCACCTACTGTATAAAAACCACACCAAGCGGTAGCCTGACAATTGGTCAGGCGAGTAAGTGGACGTGCAAGTGCGAAGGGCTGCACTGCAATCCAAATAGCTGTTTCATGTACACTAAAACAGAACTTCGGACCTCCTGGTGCAACCACTACCTACGTCAGATACTCAACAGAAACGATTCACTTCCAAGTTAAAAGTGTGCCTTGTGTGTGTGCGTGCGTGTGTTTGCATGTATGTACGCATGTGCAGCAACAAGGCTTTGTGATGGCCCCGGCCACACGGAAACGTTTCACCGCATCGTTGCGAGCACCGTCGCTAATTCAAGTCGCCGGCCACGTGATTAGATTTTCTAGACGAGTGGGGGCGCAGGTTTAATTTATCTCCCGCAAGCTGGTGATGATGCCCGGGGGCACTGGTGGTCCGGCATGCCGCCACCCCTCCTCATTCTTTCTGTGGCTGGCTGTCGAGCTCAGCGTGACGGCACAAGTGTGGAACCAGCTCCTGTAACACACGCGTGCGTGCGCGCACACACAAACACACACACTCCTCAGCACCACACTAGCCGTAGCAGGATGCGCAAGTCTTTTAAGTAGGGAAATAGACTGGCTTAGAGCAACTAATCTGACTAAACCGTTTGTGCAAAACCAGGTTTTAGGGAGGATTTATTATAAACTAATTTAAACTCTCATAAAGACTATTCGATGTTAACAATACTTTGAATAAACATTTCGTCGCTATTAGCGACTTTGATTTTAAAAGAGTGATCAAATGGTTGCCCAATACTTGGGAGGGAAACCTGTGCGAAAATAACTTTGCAAATATGAAATCGCACTTTGCCCCAAGAGCGACCCATTGTTTTTGCACACTGCTTACGAAATACTTATGAAGGCAAACGCTTAATGGAAGTAATATAGAGAATGGAAGCTTTCGTGACTGCGGAAATTACTATACCCATTGTTTTTTTCGGTAAAGTCACGTATGTAGAATTTTTTTTTACTAAATAAAATTTTATTCAAAATAAAGCGGTGATTTATTTTAATTAAATTTAGTTAAAATGTTTTTTAATCAGTGATTTATTTTAATTTAATTTAGTTAAAATGGTTTTATTTTATTTCTACATACGCGACTTTACCAAAAAAAAAACAATGAGTATAGCTTAATGGAAGTCACTATAAAATAGATGTGTATTGGGTCGTATCAAACGTGGCTCGCTCGGTGTAGGTAGTGGCTAGGGGGGGGTCGATTCTCACATGGATGGTGCCATTCTTGGCCGTGAAGAAGGCGTCGCAGTCCCTCCAACGGCAGAGCGTGCTCTGAGCATCGGTGTTTAGGTGCGTGCTTCGGATGTGCTCCTTCAGGTGGTCCAACACCCCGAACATCAGGCAACATTTGTGCCACTGCACACGCCAGAGCGCACCGCCCACACGTTTACCCAGCAACACTGGTGACCTGGGTTATGTCTGTTATCTCTCTGGCTGCGCCAGGGGATCTTTGGTGCCACCTTGGCTGCCCAGACTGTCCTCTGGACTCTTTGGTACTGCCCTGGCTTTCCCTGGGGTTCGTAATTGTTGTTGTTGCTGGGCAGTTGCTTCGTCTCGGGCTTGCTGTCGTGTCGCTCCATAGCCTCTCTCCCATGTGTTCATGTTGAGCTCCTCTGCCCGAATACAGTTTATTTTACCCAAATATAGTTTTTGTTGTCAATTAAATTCTAGTGCATGTGGACGCCGTATGAATTGAAAATGTTATTGCCGTTCTGATAACTAGGGGTGGAGAGAGGCATTGGTACTCACCCAACAGCGGAAGTTGGAGATGAGGTTGAGCGTCACGGCCTGGACGGAGCCGTCGTAGCATCCGGTGTAAATCTGTCCAGGGTGGCAGAGGCGCCATTGTTGGCCACGGCGCACAGAGAAGTGTTCATAGCAGACTTCCGACCACACCACGTAAGGGATATGAATCGCAAACGCCGCTTAATTAAGCCTTAACTATTACACATTTAATAGTGCTGTTTGTTACTGGCCGCTTAAGAGTTTTGAGCCTTTGGCCCTGTGCTCAGCAACAAGCATTACTAGCTGTGACATGTGAACCTATTTATGGAACACAACCCTAAAAAAAAAGCTCTTATCTTGTACAAACACTTTTGTATTAAAATGTATGGCAGTGATTCTGCTGGGACCTCACCATTGTTTATGGAGCACATGAATGTAACTTTAAAGAGTCTTGGTTACAAAGCTTAAAATAAATTAAAGACGTGTCAAAACATGCAGTGCAGGTGTGTATCCACGAGACATGTTGCGTCTTCGAATATAAGCCATTAGCAATCGGACAATCAACATGACAACTCGCCATACTCAACCTGGGCAGGCCAAAACTTAGCAGTGCGTAACCGCTGCCGTTAGTGACAGCAGCACGAACATAAACGTCAGGGAAAACTGGATGAGTATCAGAGGCACTCACCATGCTCTTGTGCACGGCCATACACATGACCATGTCCTTGTGGCCTCCGTACACCTGCAGGCGGTCGTGTGACTGCAAGGGAACATGGCACGCCCGGCCCCGTCAACGTTAACTCGAGACGACATCACCCCAAACTCCTCAGCGTATCCCCTCGGCTTGCCACCACTAGGAGAGAAGCCGTGCCCCAGCGGCTTGCATGGCAAACATTCAATGCTCACCTCAAGTTCATACACTCGCACCAGCTTGTCCAGGCAGGCGGTCAGCATCACCTTGCCCAGGATACTGATGGCCGTGATGGCATGCGTGTGCCCCTTGTAGATCCTCAGCAGCTCTCCCGTCTGGCGCCGGCGACCGCCACATGTGGGAGACGACATGCGCCGCGTTATTCCCCGTGCGGAGAAGAAACCCAGGGGGCGCGGCAGATTCGCAGCCGGGTCAACTCGGCACCTGCCTTGGCACCAATGCCATTTCAAACGCTTTCCAACTGTCACAGTGGGGCACTCGATCTCTTGTAAAGAGCCTCCAAAATATCATACTCTGTTATAAAAAAAAAAGTTCTGGCTGGTTGGAGGTCATGCGTCGGCCAACACGCTGAGGGGAGGGGGCACACGGGTGGCCGGGACATGGGTGGGGGCGTGCAGTTGAGGGTCGTCGGGGGGGGGGGGGGCATTAAGCGTGGGTGGGGGGTGTGGGAGGGGTGTGGGGGGGCACGCGTAGAAAGGGATGTGCGAGAAGGGGAGCGTGGGCCAAGGGGCTACTGGGTGGATATTGTGGGTGGTGGGGCCCTGTGGGTTGCGCAAGAGGGGGGGGGCACCCAGGGGTGGGACGGTGGGGACGTTGGGGGTGGAAGAGGGCCATCGTTCACCGACGGGTACTTTTCATATCATATTACTGTATGTGCATTGTAATGTCACCGCGCACATCTGCATGATGATGTCACCCCCACCCCACAGCGCTGAGCTGGGTTCGTAACGCTGTGCGGACGTCACGCCTCACCACCACCCACCCTCCATCATGGCCGTGGATGCCATGCAAATGTGCGGGCAGTGCTAGTATATATTTTTTCTAAAACTTGACTTCAAATTCTGTTCCTGTTGGGACTTACCCTATTGAAAACTGGAAAAAATAACCAAAGCATTTCTGAGAATTCTTCTTTGGTTCTTTCGGTAAAGTCACGTCAATGAAGCTCTGTCGTCCCGACAGGTCTGTTCCTTTCACCTGAAGACGGCCGCTTGCGTTGTGGCCGAAACGTCGTGAGAATTTTATTGTGTTATTTTATTATTTTATTCTCATTCTACGTGACTTTACCGAAAGAACCAAAGAAGATGAATCATTGCAGTCACGAAAGCTTTAAATCGAAACATTTCTGAGAACTTGCAGACATGAACCCTAGCAAAAAGGAATATTTTCAAATATGCAAACACATTTTGCCCTGACAGCAACCCACCATCTTCCATGGATGATTTTTTCCAAACTTGTTAACACAGTAATAGGGGTACCGATGCTATGCGCACACACAAACCAGCAGCATAATGTGAGCACACATAGCCCCAAGCCAATGTCTGTGGTGGTGCGCACTCACGTGGATGTTGTGCGCGTGGACAGACTGGTCGCTGGATCCGCTGAAGACCAAGTCATTCACCACCTAGGGCACAGCAATTGGCACGGGAGTGCTAATGAATCTCACATAACCCCATAGGTCTTCCCACAGCCTGTTGGTGCATCTCTGTCATTTTACAATCGTTACATAATAAGGGGGTGGGGGGGGGAGTGGCATTAAGGAAGTGTTTTTTTTGGCACAGTTGTGAGTTCAATGCCCAGCCACGGTTAACATCAGTGACAAGCGATACCTGAACCGGTTGTGGCCCTCCTAACTTCAGTAACCCGCACTGGCCAACGAAATTAAGTACGACCAAAAATTCCCCCCAGTGACCGACAAGGCATGGAGGAGGCGTTCACCCGGCAGTGCATTTACAAAAGGGGCTGTGAAACACAAAATAATTAACACACTGGGTCCTCGCTGCTTATAAGACACACGGTCGTTCCCGGCAGGCCGCCGTCCGGGCTCGCGGTCCCCACCTGCATGCACAGCACCGTCTTGGTGTGGCTGTCGAGGGCACGCAGGAAGAGTCCGGAGCGCGCGTCGCGCACGGCTTATGGTCGCGTCGTAGGAGCCAACGAGCAGCAGGCGTCGGCTGCCCTCCTGGCTCGATGCCACGCAGCTCACGGGCTCGCGGCCCATGGCATTCAAACGTGTCCAGGAACTTGTTGCTCTGTCGCCCAGCGCAACAACAAGACGCACGCCGCGATAAAAACTGCAGGAACAGTCACGTAAGTTATAGCCACGCCTTGTCTCATGGAAAAACAATATCTATTAAAAAAATCCATCCTGTCTGATCGTTGTGTGTGCAGGGGGGCGGCACCTGAGTGCTGATGGACACCACGGTGCCGTTAGCCAGGCCGGCGTACAGCACGTCCCAGCGCTCGTGCAGGCACAGCACGCGGTCCAGCACCGAGAACTCCTCCACGCACCTCTCTTCCTGCTCGCCTCAGCACAGCACAGCCAAGTTAGACCAAGACACAGATCCCCTGTATAGCCTGCACAGGCTGTCGTTTGCATGTGTCCGGCACCACGCCTTGGTTGACATTCACACACCACACCCAGTAGTTATTTATGCGGAGTTCAACGAGGTGTGGGGCCCAGGACCGGTTCAAATCATTGCCACTAATGTTAGTCGTGAATTGAAACCCAGGTTTCCTGGGTTTGTAGCACAGTGCCGTAACCCCTATCCTACCGTTTCGTACGATCACATTAAACACAGGAAGACACGAAAATGCGTGTGCACGTTTGAGTTCACATCCCAGTTGTGAACCTCTCGATTGCTGTTGTGAGAAGTCTGCACTGATGGGTATCGTCAGTCCTCTTATGGAGAGTTTGTGTAAGCTTCTCAGATTGTCTCATGAACCTATCCATTTCCCTTCTTCCCCTTGCAGAATCATCTTCTTCGTATCTCCAGCTGTGACTTCTCGTTAATTCCCTAGAAGCTCCCAAATGTCAGACCTCACACCGGACAGGCTGGACAGGCTGTGTGTTGCGGTGGGGTTCTCAGCGCGTGCCGTGCAGGAGTCACCCTGACGCTGTAGCAGCGGATGGTGTGGTCACTGGCTCCGGTGTAGAGGCGTGGCTGGGAGGCGTTGCCGCCCGCCACCGTCACCAGCAGTGCGTTCACCTTGCTGGTGTGGCCGTTGAACGTGCGCAAGCACTGCCGGGTCTGCGCCACGCCGATTACACGCGAGGAAGGGATCAAGACACACACATGCATCTTACGAGGCACACGCATCGTTCAGCAGTTTAACCGTCATCAACCGGAATGCACCTGATCTCAGTCGATCTCGGAAAGCTAAGCAGGCAGGGTTTGATACTACATAGTGCTTGCATGGGCAACCACCACTGTGTTAAGATTCCATCCAAAATAACTTCCGGTATACACACTGCCTCCACAAAAGCACTTTAGCCCTGCTCAGAGGCCCGGGTATAGGCGAAGGTAAACGGCTGAACAGAGCGGGGATCCTCACCTCCAGGTCAAATGCACGCACGGTCTTGTCGGAGGAGCAGGTGTAGAGCATCCCCTCGAAAATCTGAACGCCACTGACGGCTGCCTCGTGGCCCTCGAAGGCCCCAGCGCTGGGCTCACACAGCTGTGAGTCTGACAGAGATGCAGCACCGGTTAGTCGGGAGTGTTGCCCTGTCCCCATCAGCTGTGAGTCTGAGAGAGATGCAGCAACCGGTTAGTCGGGAGTGTTGCCCTGTCCCCATCAGCTGTGAGTCTGAGAGAGATGCAGCACCGGGTTAGTCGGGAGTGTTGCCCTGTCCCCATCAGCTGTGAGTCTGACAGAGATGTAATAGCAGCACCGGTTAGTCAGGAGTGTTGCCCTGTCCCCATCAGCTGTGAGTCTGAGAGAGATGCAGCACCGGTTAGTCGGGAGTGTTGCCCTGTCCCCATCAGCTGTGAGTCTGAGAGAGATGCAGCACCGGTTAGTCGGGAGTGTTGCCCTGTCCCCATCAGCTGTGAGTCTGACAGAGATGTAATAGCAGCACCGGTTAGTCAGGAGTGTTGCCCTGTCCCCATCAGGTGTGAGTCTGACAGAGATGTAATAGCAGCACCGGTTAGTCGGGAGTGTTGCCCTGTCCCCATCTGGAAAAATCACAAACGGGCGAGTGCCAAAAAACGAACCCACCTGTGGTCGAGGATTTTTTCTGGTGGTCTTCCTTCTTTTCCGTTTCCTGCATCCAGGGAAGAGAGAGTGGGAAAGAAGATTTAAATATGTACAAAGGCCAAATAAACGAGCCCTTACCAGGTATATACACACCTAGGCTGAGTGACTTGTTGATTTATAATTATAAGTGTAATAGGCTGTGTGGCTACTGCTGTATTGTACTTCTATGTCCCCCATGTGTCCGCTCCATGCCCTTCACCAATCTGCACTGTCCAGCATGGTGAAGTATGGTGGTCAAATAACCCCAGTTACCCACACGGTCTTCATCCAGAGGTGGCTTGACAAAAATGGCTGTGTACGCACACGTTACCACACAAAACAACGACACGACGCGGCATGTGCCGCGTCCATTCTTGTAAACACTTTCGATAGACGCCTGTCATCTCAGTAAAGCGTCACTCACTCAGCCACAAGGCGGGGGCCGTTCCTCTGCCACAGGTCGCTTGTCGACGACACCATCGCCGCTGTTTCGCTCCGCCCCACCTCGCCCAACGCCGCCGCCGCCGCCGCCGCCGCAGGGGTCCGGCCCCTCGCCGCCGCTTTCTTCGTCAAACACTTCGGCAGCTTCGTGGCCTCGTTGTCCGAGCTGTCATCGATGGACAAGATCTCTGGGGTGGGGCGGCTCAACCAGCTCCAAGCTGGAGTCCGCCTCACTCTGCCTGCTGCCCACAGTGGTTTCCGTCGGGGCTGTCCATGCCCTCGTCATCCTCTTCCCCCTTGTGGAGCGCGGCCGGGGAGGGAGGTTGGGCCAGACGTGGCTCCTTCTGGGCCACGGGAAACATCGCCCACCCCACACGGGCTTACGGTGCCGGAGGCCTGCAGAGTGCAGGAGTCATCACACCGTGTGTCCACTTTCAGAGAAGTGTACAAACCGTTACGGAGCCAGACATACAAGGCGCAGATTACACAACTGGTCTCGGTGCACAGCCTCAAATAATTTACATTGTTTGAAAATTTTACAAGATTTAAACTGATTTACTCAAAGTAAATAACCAAAAAAAACAAATGCCAAAGTACAAGTCCAATTATACACAAATATATATGAGAAGCAGTGAAACAGCTCGTGAAGATAATTCTGCGATTAGATTTAAGACAAAAATTGTTAAAAGTATAAGGCATTGGCCATAATCATGAAGGAAAGTGTTTTAAAATCCTGCATGGAGTGAAACGGTGATCCACAATGCTGCTCTAACCCCGTTCCTTCTAAACTCTGTTACAAGTTAATAAAGAATTAAAGCTTTCGTGACTGCATAAATTACTCATTGGTTTTTTCGGTAAAGTCACGTATGTAGAAATACCATACCGAAAAAACCAATGAGTCTGTTACAAGTTCCCTTTATATCATTCGAGCATTTACTCACGATCCCGAACTTTATATTTTATGGGGCGTTGCATTGTAACAGAGGGGCTTCCCCACCCATCGTGCTACCCCAGGGCCTCCAGCCCAGTTCCCCCCCCACTCCCAACTCACCTGCGTGGACTTCCCCTGCCGGCTGCCGCGCCTCGTCTTGAGGCGCCGCACGGGCCGCGTCAGCGCCTCTTGCTCCGTGTCGCTCGTCTCGGGCACGCACTGCCGCGCCGGCTTTCGCTTCTTCAGGCGCTTGCGCTTCTGCGTCGAGGCGCCGTGGTGGTCCTCGCCGGGCTCCTCCGCCGCATTCCCGACCCTCCCCGCTTCGGTGCTCCCCTCCGACGCCGCGCCGGCGCGGGCCCTCGTCCGCATGGGGTTGCGCTTCACCGAGCCGTCCCTGCTCCCGGCGCCACCTTTGGTGGGCACCGGTGCGGCGGCCGTGGCCGCTGGCGCCACGGTCGTCTCGGCGCTGGAATCATGAGGCGTCGAGGCGAGGGACTTGCTTGCGGGCGTGCACATGTTGGAGTGGGCAGGAGACGAGAGGCGAGGACTTCTGAGCAGCACCGTTTCTGGGATGCCGTCGGGCAGGGGCGGCCGTCGCCACGGCACCTCCTGTGGCTGCGTGAAGTAGTGCGCGACTGGTGGTGTCGTCGCCGTGGGCACGCCGGCCTCGCCTACACACCCGGCCAATCCCGCAAAACCGCTGTGAATCGGTGGCACGTGGGGAGATCACGTTACATCACGCAGCAGTTCAACCGTGTCGGCGCGACTGCCATGCCCCGTGCGCGACTCACCTAGAGTGGCAGCGGGAAGGCACTGCTGCAGGAGCGGCGAGGGCGGGAGGAAGGAGCCCGGATTCAGGGTCGTGTTCAGTATGGACGGTGTGCAGGCGGCGGCTGGGGTGAGCTCCCCGGCCTCCTGCTTGATCAGCAGAGGGTGGGAGACGCCGGCGGGGCCAGGGAGACTCGGGGATGCGGTAACCGCTGACGGGACCAATGGAGCAGAAGGCAAATGCCGCTGGTTCACAGATTTGTCTACACAAAACCGAGGGGCGGTATACAACACGTCAGCCTTAATTATGTGAAATAAAATAATTTGGGTTCAGTGAAATCAATTTGGCTAAGCAGTTCAAGTAACACCAGGTGAAAAGTGTTGTAATGTACTTATGTACAGTGTAATCCATTTATAGATAACCCACTGATTACTAACGACCCTCCCACTTTTTGTGAACATCTATCACCATTGTTATTCTCAAAAAGTTGCCAATTATAAACCAAACTCTAGAAGGATATGTTTTTGTGAATGTTTCGGTAGAAATAGTTTGATTTAAACCTAATCATGGCATCTCATGTAAAAAGGGCTATTGAACACAAACCGTTGAGCTATCGCAACTGAAGACCAATCGGAATACACACGGAGCAATGGGAAAGTTCCGGGATGATGGTGCAAACGCACACCTTGCATTCCTTGGAGAATCTGGATGCGGTAGGACCTCAATTTGTCCATCTCCATGGTAATCTGCAGCACAATGGACAGCACAAGTCACCACTGTCAAAGAAGATGCACACATCTGCACTAACTCATGCATTCGATACACGAGCAAGGAAAGCTGGACATATTATTTATATTTGGATTACAGTGCTATGCTCAATTAGCTCCGACCATGCCGACACCCTGGTCTTGATTTGGACACGTAGAATCTGGCTCTCATACCAAAGTGAATCATCGGCAGACAGGACATGCAACAGCTGGGCCCGGATGTGACTGTGACTATGCAGTAATGCCAACCTGCTGTTTCTGCAGCAGCAGCTCCTGCACATGCAGGAAGGCGCTGTGCAGGGCAGCCCTTGGCATGCTCCAGCGTGGGCTCCAGCTCCTGCATGCCGCGGCTCAGCTCCTCCTCACGCAGCGACACACTCAGCAGCTCGTCCACGTGTTGCCGTTCTGCGGAAAACAGAGCGCGCGCGCACACATGCACAGTCACGGACACGCGCACACACAACGCAGCCACATGTATCAGAGAGAGAAGGATCTCCTCTTAGCCTTCGACGTTGTGCATGGCTGGGCAATTCGGAACAGGTGACCCGGATTGTAGTGCAGTGTGCACCACCACATCCATAATGAAAGTCAAAGATCCCCTGTGTGGCCTTTAACAGACCGTTGGGGCTGTTAGCGAGCCACTATGAATGTCAGCACGGCACTCAAAAGAGGTGGGTCGCCAACACCACACTGCCACCTTTGTCTCTCTAGTGTTGATGTTTACACAACGTACCAGGTACTCATTTAAGGTTAAGTCGACCGAGGAGAGGCCCAGGACTAGTTAGAATATTCGCCACTGTCATTGGTCATGGGCAGGAATCGAGCTCTGGTCGCCTGTTCGGTAACGCAGTGCGCTAACCATCATCGACCCCTCTCTAAAGCTCACTCTATGTACACAGATTCACATGTGGAAATAAAAACCGATGTCATGAGGTTCATGACCTTTGCACCCACTAGAAGCATGATCATTCACCACTGAAACGAGCGGTGAATAATTACATTCCAACTATATACTGCACATGCAAAAAATGTGGACCCAGTGGTACCTTTTTTAAAAGCCCTTGACCTTCATCCTCTTGTTTTTTCCGCTCAATTTCAGGCACCTCTGGCGAAGACCCTTCCTGGAAAACGGGACAACAGCTCGATCGAGGCGCCAACATCAACTCTAATTTTCCCGGCACAAGGCTTACTTTGACTCGTGACGCAAGTTTGGCACCAACAAGCGATGACGGGACTGTGCTCACGCTCGCAACCACCGCCGTATCATGCAGCTACGGTACGTACCGCGGTGGCACGCGCTTCTTGCGGGCCTGGCCCCCACTGGGCTCGGGTCCGGATGTGAAGCTGCTGTCCGTCAGGATGTCAGTTTCACCCTCCACCTGAGCGCCAAGCGGGCACTGTGGGCTTATCGGGCAGACACTGGGAGAGCCGACTTCCGGGGTGTTGGCCAGCAGGAAACTGGACAAGCTCCTTGGGGTCGCGGCCGCTCCCGTGTTAACCAGCGGTCCCTCCGAGCCAAGGTCACCCATGGCGGTGGTGGCGACGCCCGTTCGCAATGGGCGGCTGGCGCTCATTCCGTTCTTGGAGGGATGCTTTTCCTTTGTGGCGTTGGTCGGCGTGCGCTCGAGAGTGGCCAGGAGCTGTGGGACTTGACCGCTGCCAGAAGTGGTGGTGCCGGAGACACTGGCTGCTGCTTCTCCGGCTGTGGCACACGCGAGGCGGGGTTCACCGACTGGCTCCACCGGATTGTCGGAGCGATATTTGGTGCCAAACTGCTGCTCCTTATGGAGGAAGTCGTCCAGATTGAGGTCATACAGCTCAGGGAAGTCGCCCAGCTCATCAAAGTTGAGGAAGGCTGGGTCTAATGGGTCATCCTTGTTGGCTGGTCCCATTTCGATTCCAAATCTGGTGTGCACAAAATAAATACAAAACAAGGTGGCATATCAACACACTCGTCCTGTAATCTTTTAAATATATGGAATTGATGGCCTAAATGAAAATAACTCAAATAACAAATCACTGTCGTCTTTAATGATAGGTTTAAGTCTGTGCATTATGTTAAGTAGCTTGGTAATCATTGAAAATAAACTTCATCAAAATATATAGCCAGGTGCACTTCCGTAACCTTCAAACGATGGCAATGTAGTGACAGTTTATTATGAAGTGAGGGAGTGATGACGCAGTGACATCACTAGAGCTCTATGGCCGCACTCCTAGCCGCGTGCGCGATTCACGTATTTGCGGGGGCAAAGATCCGTCTGGCGGAGCGCATGGACACAAGCACTTAGTATTTTTTCCTTATTATGCGAGCTGGCCCAGGATTCACCATCTATCTCCCAGACACGCACTCAAATATTAGTTTATTTGGGTTGTGTATTTTTTTTTAATTCACCATTTTTAGCCTGAACCCGGTATTGGTGTCATTGACACCGATACCAGGCTCAGGAAGCGCAACCATTTGTTTAGCGATCAACCCATGGAAGTGAATATCATGGAGCTACCGCTGAGATAGCCCTTTAAGTGATTAACACAGTAGAGGGTAAAACTTACCCACCGCCATGCCACCGAGATACATTTTCATTACATTGCAAACAATGGTTAATTCTCAATTATAGAACCACCCAAATTAAATACAGAACCAAATATGGCATGATTTTTTGTGTGCAGTCATTGGTGACCAGGTTGCGACAATCGACTTCACTGTACTTGAGAAACCAGTTTAATTACAAGCGGCTGCCTGTATTTGAACCAAGGCTCTCAGCGCATTGATGCAAGTGATGCGAGCACTCTCGAGCCACCCAGCCACCTCCCGGATTGTCCCTCTTTCAATAACCTGCAGAAAACCGTGCGGTTTCTTACCTGGGCAGCCCCTTCGCCTGCCTCCTCTTGCTGAGCACTTGTACGATTTGCTCCCAGTCGACATTCCTGCGTGGTGCACTCAGCAGCTGCTGGATGGCAGGACGCAGGCTGCAGCTCTCCCGCTCCACCTCCGGCTTGCGCTGGGCCTCGGCGCCGCCAAGCCCTGCGGTACCCGACACCGCCAATACCGCCGGTCCCTTTCCCAGTGTGGTGCTCGGTACAGGGCCGCTCGTGTAGGTGCCGCCGGGGCGCATGCGGCGTCGAGCCTGGTTGAGGTTTGGCTCGGGGGCTGCCGTACCTGGCTTGCTCCCACTGGTTCCACGTGCTGCCAGGTACCGGGAGAGCTCTTTTTGCAGCGCCGTCGAGACCCCCAACCTGCTCAGCTCGGCTTGCGCTGAAGCCGGCGGGCACCTGTGGGCCTCCGGGTCGGAGGACACGCAGTCACTGGTGTGTTTGTCTGAGGCTGGAGCAGCCGTGACCATGATCTCGGCTTTCGGCGCTGTTGCTATTTTGATTTCGGTCGTGGTTTCGGAGGTTCTGCTTTCCGCATGTGCGGGCCTCGTGTTCGCCACCGAGTTGGTGATCACGGCAGACAGACATTCCGGACGCACCGTGGCGTCGGTAGATGTCATGTCCAAAGCCGGGCTCTGATTCGTCTCATCCCCTCCTTGAGCACCAAACTCTTTCCCACTTGGGGAGGGGAGGTTCTTTTCTTGGGGCGGCTTTCCACCTGTGCAGTCATTACTAAAGGGTTGGCTGTGTGACGTTTCTTTATTTTTGACGTGTCCATGGACACCCGCCGGTTGCTTCTGTGTTAACGGTATTGGAGTCGTATTAACGGTGTTCACTTTTTCCGTATATCCCAAGTCGGCAGTATTGTTGGGCTGCGGCACACGCTCTTTCATTTGTTTATGGACTGATTTTATGCCAGACACCTTATCCACGATGCCTGCGAGTTTGGCTTTAAACACATCGGCCAAGGGCTCAACAGTGCTGGGGCGGTTGGCGTCAGCCGAATTTGCAGTTACCCCTTCTTTGTCCACCTTGGCAAGGTCGGCTGAGTCTCTTTGGCCCACGGTGGAGCCAGATGCCCCCGCTGACCATGGCCTCTCGTGCATCACCACTCGCTGGGCCGCGTCCCCCGGCTTTTCATCAAGCTTCAGCAAAGCGCTAGGGGCACTGCTGGGCCGGTGGCTCGACAGCGATAACGAGGGCAAAGTGAGGCAGGGCGGATCCTCGCAGACCTCGGACGGGTGAGTGGAGATGTCATCCTTATTAGTCACCTTGTTCTTGGGGCAGTTGGAGTGCTTTTCGGTGGCACGGACGGCCGCAGGAGGCTTGTGTTGGGAAGGCCCAGCACGGAGATTGGCACGTACCTTCCACAGGTTGCTGGAGAGACTCTCCCGCCTCTGTTGTTTGCCTGAAAGAGGAACGGCACCCTTCGACTGGTATGTCGTCGTGCGAGGTCCCTGCGATGCGGCCACCGCGGGCCTGCTTGATGAAGAGCCAGTGCCCTGGCCGTGAGCGGTGTCAGTGCGGGCCGTCGTTCCACTCGGGGCGACTCTTGATCCGCCCTGGGTAGTGTTGGTGGGGTTCGGCGGCACTCGCGTTTTGGTTTCATCAAAGGTGATCTTTGGCAGCTCGACAGCTTTCAGCGGAGGAACCTTTTCCAGTTGCTTAACCTCCTTGGGCATCATCTCTTGGTCTCCAAGGCCACTGGGATACTTTTGTGGAGGATATGGGGTCCAGCGTGTAAATCTTGAGGCACGTTTAATTCTCCCACGATCCACGTAATGATGGAATGGCGTATTTTCATGCTGGTCAAACCACGGTGGGAGTTTGTCCGAAGTGAAGTCGTCTTGCATTCCCCCGTCATAGTTGCCCTCGTCGAGGTGCTCGTGCCAATGCTTGTAATTTTGATCATTGTGCCAGCGCTGTGGGGAGTAATGGAAATCTTGCCAGTATCGATTGGGGCCATGGTTGTAGTTGTAGCCGTAACCTCTGCCACCACCGGCACCACCTCTGCCTTTCTTGCTGAAAGGCTGCCTATTATGGTGCCAATTTTTGTAGAATACACTGGGAGGGGGCAAGTGGTGACTGTTGGCGTTGAGGCTGTTCGAGGCTGCACCCGTCCAGGCAGGGTGCGCATCCGTGTGGCTCCTGGGCTGCTCCATGGGTTTGTCGGTCTTTGGGTTGGACTCGTTTGTAGCTTCTTTCACCATCTTCTTGGCTTTTGCAAGGTTTGGTCTGGGATGGAAATGGCTGTTGTTGAAAGGGACTTGTTTCGTTATGTCAGTTATGGGTAAACTTCGTTCTTCTGGTCTGAATTTAAAACAATAACATATCACAGATGAAATTCACTACAGGAAACACAATGCCAAAATCTCCATTACCACACATGTTCCGTCTTTTCAATATTAGAGCCAGCACTAAACTCTGCACCTGTCTTTAAAACAACCTCATCTAAGAGATCCCGGCTTTCCGGACCCTGCCAGGGAGAATTTCCTCTTAGCAGCCTCCTCCAAACACACCCAGCAGCGCACCCCCCCCCCCCTCGCGAGGGGATTGCGGCCTAAGCGAGCATCTGTTCAAACAGCCGCGGTCTCGTGGGGCTCAACAAGGGGGAGGGGGGTAGGGGGGAGGTTACCCTTTCTTTGTGCTGCGACCTTGCTGTGAGCGCCGCTCACATGGTTCACCAGCTAAACTTGGCCTGTCTGCAAGCCAGCATCTGCTGTGTGAGCACTGCAATTCAATTATTCCTCACGTGAGGCTTTCCAGCCTGACTCCATCCCGCCTGACAATAGAGAAATGCGCCAGTGGGAGGGGGGGGGGTGCTGGAAGCCCGAGTGGTGCTCGCATGCCCTGCCGGTGCCAGCTGACATGATTGGCTAAGGAATTCGGCACATCTTGGCGCACCTGCATTGCCAATAGTAGTGCGTCAGTCTCCCCATCAGGAATGAGCAAAGGCAAGATGTGGATTTATAAAAATGAAGACCGTTCGAAAAATTTAGGCTCAAATTGCCTTCTTTTAACCATTTTCTTATATTTAAAGACGTTACACAGGTTATTTCTTCAATATAATATGAAACAATAGACTAATCTGTCGTCAAATTACATGAAATGTGCCAGATTGTCAGTTCTCAGAAGATAAGCAAAACCGAGTCAGGATAGTGCTTGAATGGGCGATGACCATGCATAAGACGGGTGTTGTGTAGACTGGTGCGGGGCTCCGTTGTTAGCAATGCTGCAAAATCCATCGTTGGTAATCTATTCTGCTCCTACGTATATGCTACCCACCTTCGCTAACCCACAAAGACCAACGTGAAGATGTATGGCCAAACAATCAACATGACACTGCATGGCGCGTAGTAGTCCCTGATCCTGCAGTGGATCGACAAAAGGGCTGGACGATCTTAGCAGGGGTATATCTTCGATGTCTCCCACCGAGCACAGAAATGCACTCACATTTAGATGATTTATAAATAAATGGGGTAATATATTTATCGGATTGAAGCACAGAATGCTGCCAGCGTTGGGGCACTGAACGCATTGGGTAATCTCCGTGGAAACAATCTCAACTGGCTCAACAACTGCCGGTCTTTCGACGCGTCACATGGCACGGCCCGGCATGCGGCGCCGCTACCGCCTGGCGTCTCGTGGGATGGTGGGGGCTGTGACGCGTAGACACTTTTGTCGACAGATTCCATCGTTCAAAATAAAACGGAGGGCGGCAAAGTGCTCCTTGCCAGAAACAGGGGAATTAAAAAAATATATATACCCACCAGCTAAGTTTTAACGTTCTAATTTTTCTAACCTTTTAGCGAGTGCATTCCGAGCCAAGTGGAGTGACGCGACGATTGTAGCAATTCATACTTTGAGGATGTACATACATACGCATGTACACATTATGTTCTTACAGACACATACATCCAAGGCTGTGATGTGGCCAACAGATGCAAGTACAGAAATTATTTTATCTATCTGTGCAGAACTTTGAGTGTTATCTCCTCATATGAATAGATTTTTCCAGGTACTCTGGTTTATTTCAACATTTCAAACACTTGTAACGAAATTGGCCAAACATTACAGTTTAACGATCAAGCTACCAGTTAATAGTCATATAAAATGGCGCGGACAGCCCTTTTGTCATTCCACTACTGGATTAGGGTCTCCCCAAGATGTGCGGGTGTTGGGGATTATTTTACCACACTTTACTATGCTGGTCAGTGTGGGACGATGTAGGTGGATAGCATACATTAGAGCCATAGAAGTACAGTATCAGAATGGATTTTTGCTGAACTGTCCTCTGCTGACAGCGTAGCAACGCAGCAGCCTAAAACACCTGATCTATGTGTGGTGGTCGCCCGTCCAAAAACCAGGCTCAACCCTACTTCACTTCTGAGATTTAATGAGATCGGTCGCATTGCAGGTGATTTAGTAAAAAGCGTATAAGGCGAGAAACAATCATTCTACTCCAAACAAACTCTCGCCTGGATAATTATTTGATGGCAGCAACATTGGCGGTGTCAAGCGGCCACGTACTTTTTTGCGTCGTCTCTTTGAGTGGTTGTTTGCGCCGCGTCGGGAGGAGGAATCTCGCGATATGCGCCACCAGGGCTCGACCTCTCCACGCGTTTCTTGTGCTCGGGGCTGCTCAGGTGGGAGGCGTACGCAGACAGCCCCACCACGTTGGCACAACACACCCGGCAGTGGTGCGTGCAGGCCCTGGGAGAACCGCAACAGCACACGTGTGACAGCTGACTCACTCAACGATCGACGGAAGCAGAGCGCCAGTAAATGATCGCACCAAGGGTCTCCCCGACCACCTAATGACCACTCAAAGATTGCTGAAATAATGTCCCATGTTAATAGGTTTGCCAACTTTGAAGTTAATGACATTGGGAGAACGGGCGCACATAAAAGTGTTTCAACTTCCAAGTTGTATGTCCTGGCAAATGGTGTTTGGAACGTCAATTACTGTCAATGAGTAAGAGAGTCACGAGAGTGCTGTGGAGACACATCTGAAATACGTACTGCCCATAATAATCATGTGAGGGAGGTAACCCCACCCATTAAGATTGTATTGAACATTTATCGCAATTCGTAGACAATGGATCACAAGGCAAGACTCATGTTCCAGAACGTTCATCTGAATCACTTTTTTTTCTAAAACATCTTTACAATTATGGAGCTGAAATACACAACATAAGAATGCATCCCTTCATAATAATATAATTTCAATTATACAGTAACTTTCAGGATAATGGCTACACAACAGAATAGAACAGATTGGAGTACTTCTGGCTAACATACAACCATTCACAAAAGCACAGTATGAACACAGCAGAAATACGGTCAAAACTCCTGACTTCACCTCCCCCACGATCACTGTGCACGTCCGATTGGCCCACAGCCCATCTCCAGCGAGCCCAGCTACCAGCCGACAGTGGCTGAACCTTCCAAGCAACTGTGGAACAGCACCGTGCGTGCACGTGGTGCATGAATCCACTGACACCGCCCCCACCACCACCACACACATCCACGTTCACCAGTGCTAGCCCAGCAGACATCAGTGCGAAAGCTGCCACTAGGCAACAGTCCCAAAATTAGTCTCCGCCGTCACTGTGAACTTAGCTAAGCCCACTTAACCTCCCCCCCCCCCCCCCCTCCGGTGTAGTGGCTGCCCCCTGCCCAGCTGCCGCAGTGGTGTCGCCTTTCCCTGCTGGAGGAGGCACCATCTGATGCAATTTGCTATGTGGAGCAGCGCAATCCACACAGCACATTCCCGTGCAAGTGGTCCCTTTCCAAAGAGGGCTTCTTTGGGTCACGATTGCATTTTTTCGTCTTGCAAATATATCTCAATCCTCTTGTGAAATGGTGCATTTGTATAAAACACTGGAAAGTTTCATTTATTTATTTATTACAATGACAGTTCATTAACGTCCCCCTGATTAAGTTATCGCCATTTGCAGTTTCCTACACATTTCACATCCTCTGAGCATTAAAATTCTCTGTTGCCATGGTGCTGGCATGCTATTTTTGGCCACTCGCATCAACTGCCTTATCATATTTTAGGAAGAGGCTTTAAAAAGTACATACACGAGATATTTTCTTACACTTGCCTTCCTTCAACTGTCTCCATTTCCCGGTGGTGCAACATGCTTCTGATGTGCTCTTCAAATTCCTGGTGAGAGACCGGAATGATCAGAAACATCCTGAACATGTCTAGGAAATCCAAAATAAGTCATTGCACATCAATATCTGACAAATGTCCTCAGTAACAACGCTATATATCTGGAAGATCATTCATTGGGAAGCCTGGCTAATGCATTCATGGGTTTCATAATCGACACATTTCAAGAAAGAATTAAAACATACACATGTAGTGACATAGGTCATAGGGGATGTCACTGTATGGTGCCGGCCTGGAAGGGTCATGCCGTTCGATGTTCCGACATCGTGGACAGCACCGTGTGGGTGGCCGTGTGTAACACCAACCCTAGCGGGGCTTGGCGGGCACTGGGATAGTGCGGGCGCCACGCACAGCGTGTGGTGGGGGCTCCCCCGAGGGGAAGGGGGTGAGTGCGAGCCCAGGGGCAGGGTTGCCCCGAGCCGTGACACTCTGGTTGGCCCCGTAGACACGTGATCGGGACTGTCCACACAGGGGGCCCCAGGTGGGGGGACTTGTGGGTGATCACGTGTCTGGGGAGAACTCTTGAGAACGAGAATGTTCAAGAAGGCGGGCAGGGCTGAGGGCGTAGCAGCCCCGACCGGAGAGGGATATAAGTCGGGTCCCTGAGAGGGACCGGGGTCTCTTTGTTCGACAAGCTGGAAGCTCTGCGTCTCCAGCTGGAAGCGCTTCATCCTACGAGAGCCCACGTGGTCGGAGACCCGAGTGAGGGCCCAACCCTTCATAGCAGTAACTCCCCTGTATAGTGTAGTTAGCTGGGTGGTCACCACCCTCGGTTGTATCTGGTAAAGGGGCAGTTACCCCTTTGTGTTACGGTGTTACAAATAAAGGTGTTGCCTCTAAAAGGAACGTCTGCGACTCAGTTGGACTCACTACACACATGTACAGCCCTTTTGTCAGTCCACCACTGCACAATGTGTGGTTTGTGGGGACTATATGACCATATTTCACCATGCTGGTCAGAGTGGGTTGGTCAAGGCAGGGATCATTGGTGGTGCTTAGTTCGGTGTAGAGAGTACAAAAAGAGATTCTGCTGCCCACAATCTAGTCCCATAGAATTTCAGGAAATTTGGTCAAAGACACAAAACACCAGGTGATTTATAAGTTTTTATAAGTAAAATAATTTACTGCACATGCAATCGCATGGGACCATGTCTGCTACCTGCTGTTATGCAAAATTATTGTTAAAAGTGTAGTGTCGTAAATGGTGTCACGAGAGTGTTCGCGCCAGCTACTGTTACAGGAGTGCAACTGTGCGTCTGGAGCCTCTCTCTAGCACCAGAGTAAGTACGGCATTGATTTGAAGCTTTCGTGACTGCAGGAATCCACTCTTTGGTTCTTTCGGTAAAGACTTTACCGAAAGAACCAAAGAGTGAGTACGGCATGTCAGCCAGCCCTAGGGGGCATAGTCCTGGTGATGGCCCGAGAGAGGGCAAGGGAGGACGTGGTAGACTGACTGGGGCACGTGATGCTCGGTCGAGATCCTTCGGGAAAGGTCTCGAAGGGGGCGTGGCCGAAGGCGGAGCGAGGCCACGCTCAGGAGCATAAAGGGGCAGTCCCGAGAGAGTTCTTGGCTCGTCAGTGGAATCAAGCCTGGGTCCTGCGTCTCCGGGTCTTTGTCTCGAGTTAACGCGCTACTCGCATAGTTAGCCACATCACCTACAACAGAACCAGAGTTACGATCAGTGTTACCCGCTAGGGAAGTTGTTAAATAAAAGTGTTGCCTCCCAGTCCAGAGTGTGTGCCTCCGTTGTTGAACACTACACAAGCATTCTTGGGATTTGGATTGAACCCACAGAAGTCAGTCACCTTTGTGTTGGCACAGTGGACTCGGCAGAGGCCACACTTGAGTTGTTTGGACATGGCTCTCTCGGTAGCAGACAGGGCTTTTTGTGGCTTTGTGTTTCAATCTGCGGCAACAACCATCGGCAAACATAATTGACATCCCAGACGTGTCCATCACATCGGGAGATGGTTCGGCTGCGGTACATCGAGCGGCTCCTAGGTAAAAGGTTGCGAGTTAAAATCCTGGTTAGCGGTTGACTCGGTGAATGATCCCAATGGGGTTCACAACATGAGTACCACTTTGTGGAGAAGTCAACAGTGGTTGTCCTATTAATAGCCTCGCAATAGAAATGTGGAATTTCGACCACTGGCACAGGGCTGTATAGAAAAAGAGCACGGCCTCAATATTTATTTTAGCAATAAATCTAGGTATTTTGCTTTTGCATTGCAATCACAACATTCACCCACATACACGCAAGTCTAATGGTGAGAGATTTGCGATGGCAAAACTGCCAAACGCCAAGGGTGGCGCTGTAGTAACACATCTGGGCCTCACAGCAAGAGGTGTCCTGGGTTCGATTCCCACTCGGGGCCCCTATGTTAAAGCTGGCAAGATCCCCCTCCCCCCCTGTTCTGCACGAGTTCCCTCCCATAACCGACACACAATGCAATTGGCGTTTGCCAAAAAAAACATCACAATGCTGATAAAATACCTGCAAATTCGAAAACTTGTCAGGCGTCTCCTTAAGAGAGTCTAGTATTGAGAATCCGCGAGGCTTTCCCCTGGGTAAACAAGTCTTAAAAAACCAACATACAATAACGGAACTCCCCGTGGGGCGAGTTTAACGAGGATGAACAGCACTGTCTACGTTTTGCGTTAGGACGTTAAGGGCGATACAGTTCGTACAAGAAGACCAGCCTGCGCGTCCGGTCACCGCGTACTCTCACGGATCATACTTTTCTCCGCTAACAAGGCGAACGTCGATGGGTGCCGTCTCATAATCCGGTAGGCGCGTGCACGGAAGTCCAGATCTGTACTGTATCACTTCATGGACCTCTCACCCCACACTCCCGGGGGGGATGTGGGGGGCGTCTTAACACTCCGGAGCGCTTTCTCGACCCGAGCACGAGGTTAGCAACCGAGAGACCTGGCTTGCTGCGAGCGTCGCTAATTACGGGAGTTGTTGCGGCTCCCGTAACGGGCCAGGCCGCGTCCTCCACACGTGCAACGCACGGCCGACTACAAAAAAAATGAAAGTCCCCTCCCCGCTCCGCGAGCGCCGCGATTGGCCCGAGCGCGCGCACGTGACCGCCCAAGACGCGCGGGATTGGTCGACGAAGTACCCAGGCGCACCCCCCTCCCCATCCCCCTCTCACCGGATAACGCCGCATCCGCGCTGGGAAATTGTGAGCGGCGTCAATGGTTGTGATAGCGGTTGCGCCGTCTCTCCACGCTCACCACGTTCACTCACCCAAGTCGTTGTCTCTCTCGAGCTCTCTCTCCTGGCTCTGCGAGTCCCGGCCCGGTAATCCCCCCTCCCGACCCAACCCGACTCGCCCTTTAGTACATGACTGCCCCTCCGAGGCTGCGGTCAACAGCCCACCGCCCACGCCGCCATGTTACAACTGAGGCCCGAGGCACGACGGGAGAGGGGCGGCCAATATATTTATGGCGCATTCCCCGATGGCGAGCGGCGTCGCGTTTCTCCTCGCGCCGATTGGAGGGTTGGGGTGGGGGCAGGAGAGGCGGGGTGATAACAATCTCAAATTGCGCCTGGGAGCGTTAATTCGGCGGAGCTGGCGAGGACGGGAGGGGGGGGGGGAATTTGGCGGCCATGTTGGGTAGGGGAGTGTTGCAGCTAGACACGTGGGGGGCGGGGTGGCGAGGACGCGTCACTTGTGACGTCACGGCGGCATTTTCCTCCACGGCTCGCACTGCGCGGGGTTTCCCCGCCCCCGCCCCACCACCGCCACAGGGCCCGCTCCCTATGCAACATGGCCGCGAACGCGTCTGGGCCATCGCTGTGGAAGCGCCTCCCTCATATTCTTGGTTCTTTCGGTAAAGTCACGTAGAAGGGAAACAAAATAGAAGGGAAACAATAAAATAAGACGTGACTTTACCGAAAGAACCAAGAATATGAATCCCTGCAGTCACGAAAGCTTTAAATCAAAACGCCTCCCTCTCCTTTACCCTCCCCCACATCCCTCCATGTAATATGTCCGCGAAGTGCCTCTTCGTCGCGTGGTGATGAGATGACCATGCGGTGGGGGTGGGGCTTGTTAGGGAGGGGTAGGGGGAAGGGGTGGGGCTTGTTAGGGGGTGGGGAGGTGGTGGCGCCCGCTCCTCTCCCCCGGCAGAAGCAGAAGCGGACGGAGGGGCCCGAAGGAGCGGACGTGAGGTGATCATCCCTCGGAGCCAGCCGCCCGGCAAACCGGAGATCACCGCGCGCTCGGCCAACGGGACCCGAAGGTAGCGTTGTCGCGCGTCGTGACCGGTGCCTCACGCAGTGGCCGTCGTTGGTTTTACCGCCCCGCTAACAACCTCCCCCGCGGGCTCGCTTTTGTGGACTGTGTGGGCGCCGTGATGCACAGGAGTGCCCAAGCTTGCCGGAACGTTGAGGGAGAAGAGAAGTCCGGGGTCGGTGATGGTGATGTGTGGGTGTCGGGGGAGGGGGAGGCAGTTGATGATGTTTAGTTGGTGATGGTGAACGCTGCTCGGTGCGGACAAAGTGACGCGTTTGGTGTTCGAGCGGTTCGGGCTTTTGATGGTCGCTTGTGAGCGGACGTGGCGAGTGTTGTTGGGGTACGTGATGTTGGAGTATGCGATCGCCCTGTGGGTGTGGACGTGGTTGCTGGTGTAGGTGGTGGATGTCGGGCTTTGGTGATGCTTCTCAGAGGTGTGGTGGGCGTTGTTGCTTTTTTTTTGTCTTCCCGTGGCTTCGTGTGTTGATGTGGCCACGGATTCGTGGCTGCGTGAGCACTTGTTGATGTATCCGACGAACTCCCCTGGGATGCCCCCACGTTGACGTGGCTTTGTTGACGGTGTGCCATTGTTGGTCTGTACGTGTCGGTGTTAGGTGTGACTGGCCCACGTCCGTGTTGGAGTGAGTGTCAATGTTGTCCTTGTTGCTGTGGCCGTATCCGTGTCTGTGTGACCGTGTTGGTGTGTGGCCGTGTGGCTTCCGCATCATTGGGGAGCGGGCATCTGAACGCCACAGTAATTGCTGTTTGCCATTCGCGTTGGAGGGGAACTCCGGGGTTCGCAAGCGGACATTAACGAGATCCCCAGTGAGACGGCTTGGGCAGGTCTTAGTCCAGCAGTGGAATTATATTCGTGGCTGATGATGAGTGAGACCGCGAGCAGGGCAGGTTGGCAGGGCGGGTTTTCCTCTTCATTGTTCAGCCTAGGGATGGGTTTCCCGGGCTTCAACAAGGCGCGCGCGTTGACGACCCCGCGCCGCTGTGATTGCAGCGTTAATAATAAATGACATCACGGCCAAGGGCGCTGTTATTTGCTATGACCGTGGCTGATGTTGGTTGTTGTTATCATAATGATTATTATTTAAAGGGAGCTTTGCGAATGTCCGTGCATCGCTGCCGGACCTTGCATAACCCCCGTGGGTCATAGCCCACGGGAGCGAACGCACGTGGAGCGAGCGGGGAGTCGGATGAAGTGACAGGGAGGGAATAAGAAGGCGTTTAGCATCGACCGGGCACTTCAGAGCCGCCGCTCGGCAGCATGAAAAATTCACAACGGCATGGGGTGGGCAGCCAATGGTGGAGAGGATTTATGTGACCTTAAGGAGATTATCTCCAGCTACTGGCTTAGGGGACCATTGTTTTCGCCGCCCCCATTGAATGTCTCTGGCAGATGAGGGGGTTATGAAGGGAGGCGCTGATAAGAAATTTGTGATGACGCACATCGTGCATCCGAGAGGAGGTGTATTGGATGATGGGATGACGAGCTGCTCTCCACCTGCTTTCCCTCTTGTGCAACAGCAGCAGCAGCAACAGTAGCAGCGGCATTGCCTGGGAGTTCCTCCCATCGGCGGGGGCGGCAGATACTCAGAGCGACAGCGCGCGGGGCTGACGGCCCCACACTCCTGCTGCAGCCATGAACGACGACGACATGAGGAATGAGCTCCAGTCCATCCAGATGAAGGCCAACGAGGTCACGGATGAGGTGAGCGGCGTGCAACCTCATTGGGCCGAGAGGGCTGGTGTAGGACTTGCTTCTGAAAGCCTAATGTGTCCACCCCCCCCCCCTGATCTCATTGGAGATAGAGCCTAATGGATTAAAAATTAATTTTATGTCAAACTATAAATAGACAGATTTTTTTCCTTTCTAACAAATGCACAAAAATTGATGCTGGAAAAAATTAGGCAGAGATCTGATCGATCGACCCATTTGAAGGCAAAAAAGTAGCTTTAAACAAATATTTTAGCTAACCCTTATTTTAGTTTAGAAAAAAAATCCATAGCATGCTGGATGTATTTTTGTGAAAGCATTTTTGGGGAAAAATTGACCAAATGTGTGCATCTGACTTTGGCACTCTGGAACTGGCTATATTGTACCACTGAAAGGATGTCTACTGGCACGTGTGGGATTTATGTCAAGTGCAATTCGTGTGAGTGGGTGGTGCACATGCTAGCGACTCTGCAGCATGTGCGGTCTGTTTTAATGGGTGGCACGCGCAGTCGTTAGCGAGTTTGCAGCACGTCTCTAATTGCATTCATTCTCAAACCCACAGTCGCTGGAGAGCACCCGTCGGATGATTCGGTTGGCGGAGGAGGTAAGACTTTCCACCGTTTTCCACGTTCGTCACTGCGGTTTGTACTTGGCTCGTAAGTGGTTAATGTTAACGACTTCCCCAACAAGCCCTTGAGCTTGAGTTTATGCCCTTGCACCGACAAAATGATTATGATGGCTCGCTGCCGTTAGGCGCATGCTTTATTTTTATCTGGCGTCTCGGCGTGCATGTTAATTTTTCGTGAGGTGCGGCGGCCACGTTCGGTTGGGCGCTCCTCCCAGCTGAACGCGGCCGGCCGGGCGTGCACCAGCATTGCAGTGCCCCGGCATCATGGCCACCGAGTGGCCACTTGAGCCGCGGAGCAAAGCGTGCTGCATGGGCGACGTGGCTCGCGAGTCGGCCGCCGCCTCGGAGCTAATTTCAGCAGCACTCGACACTCGTGTCGCCACTCAGACGAGGCGGCCAAGCACTCGATTGAGCGTTGCCACCGCCGCTTCGCTAAAGCAGTCCTCGGATTCTCTTCAACAAACCGGCGCCTTGCCGGTTCGATGCGACACTTGTTCGTAGAGGGTCGTCGATGTGGTTTGCTCAGCGTTCCCTCCGGAGTCTGAGTGGCAACGCCCCCCTCCTCAGTTTTAGAGGCAGTCTGTGTGGCCGAAATTAAATGCTGAATTGCGCTTCTCCCATTGGTATTGAGGTGCAATACCGTGGCATTTAGCCGATTGAAGTTAATGTTATGTGATCAAGCACAGGCATAGATTCATTTCTGTGATGAACCCCACTAACTGTCATAACCAGTTTTTTTTTAAATCAATGATATGCTAACAGCGGTGATCATTCAACATAATCCATTTAGCTTAATTTCAGAGACCTGACGATACCCATCTGCTGATTGGTTAGTTGAGGGAGAGAAGCTGTCCAAGGTAGAGCTTCCTGGCATTCGCCTCCCATTGCTAATGAAGCTCTGACTTTGTCCTTCAATGCCACCGTCCCATGCCCTCTGACCCCTCTCTTTCTCCGTGACGTGCGCGTACGCAGAGCAAAGATGCCGGGATCCGCACGCTCGTCATGCTGGATGAGCAAGGGGGTAAGGCACCGAGTGACTACGCACCTGATCTTGTGTGTCCGTCAAGTGGGGATTATTGACTGTACTTCACTAAGCTAGTCAGTGCAGATTTGTGAAGAGGTTAGCAAAGATGTGGAAGCATAAAATAACACAACAATGGATTTTGCAGTACTCCCCTCTGATGCCCAGCACGAAGTCTCTCAGCAGCCAATAACAATGGTTTTGTGCGTGATTGTTCATCCAAGCACTGTCCAGACTGCAGGTGCATTTGAAATTATTTGGTCTGTAGCACCGTGAGCCACAAAGCTAATTATTTACATAAGACAGCCTCACCGAGTCTTGGGATTCTCTTTCAGGAGAGCCCTGCATTGAGATGTGTGGCCAATCCATTCATGATTGTTTGTTTTCATGTGGGAAAAGAGCAGAGAACCCAGAGAAAATCCACCAATGATCTGTTTACCTTTTCTACACTTTGCACTCCTATATTGTTTTTGTATTGTTTGTTGTAACGTTCTGACCTGCCCCTACTGGACATCTGTGAAAAGAGCTTTGTAGCTTATCGGGTTCCACCAGTATAAATACATATTCTGATTCTGATCTCGCAATAGCATGCGTACAGCAATTTGGCTGGTCCTGGTGGTCACCCATCCTGCTCAGCTTCTGACATAATAATGAGATCAGGCATGTGATTTAGTCACAAGCAATAATACAAATGTAACAAAAAGTGAAAAGAGAGCCAGGCATCGCAGTAGAGGTAGGATTAACGATAGAGCTGTCGCCTGGTTGGCTGCTTTGGGTCATGCCAGGAGAAGGTCGTTGTCTGATTGGATTGTGCGCTGTGCCCCTTAACAGTTTGCACCTCCTTCAATTACCGAACACGGACTTAAATGTTTTCTTGTCGGTTTTCCCTTGGTGCTTGCAGATTGTGTTCATTTGCTTCTTCTCATTTGGCACTTGTGTTTAAAAGAAAAAAAAAAACTTAT